CACCTTTTTTAGGGAAGTTCTAAATAAGTATTATCTTTCAAATGCAGTTGGAATTTAACGTTTAACGTTTAACGTTTTTGTATTTACCATGTTTATATTGTTAAATTGTTATATTTCTTGAAAGTGCCAAATAAATAATACAATACAATACAATACAACGTTTTCATTTTTTTGGCCTGCAAATGGGACATAGTACCTTTAAATCGGTTGTTGCAGGTCCAAATAACATCCCTAAGAAAATCAATCATGCCACACATATTCAAATATCCAATATCAAATATCAACGAACATTTGTGCGCGTGTGTGTGTGCGTGTGTGACTTTGCTTGTGCAAAAAGCATATGCAATGCATTTCATTTGATACATTCAATTCATTCTCTCACTCCGCTTATCCCAACATTATACATACTGATACTGATGCATGTATAACAATTTACTGTTAATAAATGGCAATTTTCTAGGTGTAAACTTTTTTTGACTAACACGGTATAGTTTTTCCTTTTTACATAGCTCAGACATTTATGTATTCTACTTCGTTTCTTTATCTCATATAGCTAATAATTATGACTTGTCTTTCTTTAGCTTTCTTTCTTTCTTGTCGCCATCACGAAATTGTTGCATAGTCTCCCTTCCTCTCTACTCTCAGTTCTTACCATTCTCTTTCTTTCTCCTTCTATTTATCTATTTCTTTTCTCTCTTTGTTCTCTCTCTTTCTACCTCGATTGATTTCTTTCTCTCTCTGTCACTCTGTCTCTCATATTTTCTCTCTCTCTCTCACTTTCTTCCTCACAAACACTCGTCTTTTCACCTATATCCTCCAGTTTTTCTCATATAGGCCTACCTTTTCCCTATCTTGTCAGCTTTTCATGTCTTCAATCTCCATGCCTGCCATCCCCCTTTCCCCTCCATACCTCAACTTTCACCTCAATTAGCCTAACTACCATTAATCTCCTAATGGCAGCCATATCAACGACACAGAGAGATGTAATTTTGGATTTTCGTTTCTACTTTTTATTTGATTTTATAATTTTTATCAAGTTTGTGGAGCGCCATTGTAAGATATTTGCCTGATTCTTTTGTTTGATTGTATAGATATCATTCATTTCATAAAGTTCATTCAGTGATACATGATGCCATTACATAAATAAATACGTCATTCAAAACATATACTAATTTCAGATGCACAGATAATAAAGCACATTACATTGCTACATTGTTCGCAGATTTGTTTAAATTAGCGAATGCGCTATTGCTGTTTGCAAATGAGTTGAATATTTTAACCTTTCAGACTTCAAGAGAGACAGTGAGCTACCATCGTTGTTTTCTAACTCCGTGACTACATCCAAAATCGAGTTTTCAGGTACGAAAAAGGAGAGCAAACCTTTAAAAAGTACACAGATAACAAAGTGTACCAGTTTGAGCCCATTTAAAACTATCAAGATATCTCATATTCGGTTACGTAATTAGGATACCCATCAAGCGCTCGAATAAAGAGAGTCTTGGTATATCATGAATGGGATCATATTAGTTCAAGGTAAATTCTCTCATCACGCAAAATGGGTAATCCCAGTCAAGATATGAAGATATCTTTTAAACTGGGTGAAATATTGTTGAGTAATGATAAAAGCGTTGATTCAGGCTATTGCTTTCCGCTGTAGCTCAACTGATGTTGAGTCGGTTTTTGTTTGGCACTGGACCTCAACTGATGTTGAGTGTGCAATTGCTTTAGAACTCAACTGATGGTGGGTTGGCTACTACTTTGAAACTCAACTGATGGTGATTTGGCTACTACTTTAAAACTCAACTGTTGGTGAGTTTCCTACTACTTTAAAACTCAACTGATGGTGAGTTAGCTGTTGGTGAGTTGGCTACTGCTTTGAAACTCAACTGTTGGTGAGTTTGCTACTACTTTTAAACTCAACTGTTGGTGAGTTGGCTACTGCTTTAAAACTAAACTAATGGCGAGTTGGCTACTACTTTAAAACTCAAGAGATGGTGAGTTGGCTACTACTTTGAAACTCAACTGATGGTGATTTGGCTACTACTTTAAAACTCAACTGTTGGTGAGTTTCCTACTACTTTAAAACTCAACTGATGGTGAGTTAGCTGTTGGTGAGTTGGCTACTGCTTTGAAACTCAACTGTTGGTGAGTTTGCTACTACTTTTAAACTCAACTGTTGGTGAGTTGGCTAGTGCTTTAAAACTAAACTAATGGCGAGTTGGCTACTACTTTAAAACTCAAGAGATGGTGAGTTGGCTACTACTTTAAAACTCAGCTGATGGTGAGTTGGCTACTGCTTTAAAACTCAACTGTTGGTGCGTTGGCTATCGCTGTAAAACTCAACTGATGGTGAGTTGGCTACCTCTTTAATACTCAACTGTTGGTGAGTTGGCTACTGCTTTAAAACTAAACTGATGGCGAGTTGGCTACTACTTTAAAACTCAAGAGATGGTGAGTTGGCTACTACTTTAAAACTCAGCTGATGGTGAGTTGGCTACTGCTTTAAAACTCAACTGTTGGTGCGTTGGCTATCGCTGTAAAACTCAACTGATGGTGAGTTGGCTACCTCTTTAAAACTCAACTGATTGTGAGTTGGCTACTGCTTTAAAACTCAACTGTTGGTATGTTGGCTACTGCTTTTAAACTCAACTGATGGTGAGTAGGCTACTGCTTTAAAACTCAACTGACGGTGAGTTGGCTACTGCTTTAAACTGAGATATATATATATAAAGTAGAAGAGAGAACAAGAAAAAAAGAGAAAGAAAAAGAGGAAGAAAGAAGAAGACGAAGAGAGAAGAAGAAGAGTTGGCTACTGCTTTAAAGCTCAACAGATGGTGAGTTGGCTACTGCTTAAAAACTCAACTGATACATATATATTTATATATATATATTGAACTGATTAGCAAACTGTAAGTCCTGCTCAATATGAACTACTTTGAAACAAATATCAATGTTCTTCTATAAACATTTGGAAGACTGTTCATAAAAGACACAATATTTGTTTCATAGCAGATCATAAATAATAACAGAGCCTCAAGATACAAATGGACTTACTGAATACAAATTGTGTTTTTCGTTAAAAAAATGTTCTTGATTGTTATGGTTGCTTAAATTCACTTGGTTACACTTGGTTCGTTTTCAAATAATAGTAAGTAGAAGAGAGAAGAAGAAAAAGAGAAAGAAGAAAAGAAGAAGAGGAAGAAAGAAGGAAAGAAGAAAAGAAGAAGAGGGAAAAAGAAGAAGAAGAGTTGGCTACTGCTTTAAAACTCAACTGATGGTGAGTTCAACTGATTAGCAAACTGAAAGTCCTGCTCAATATGAACTACTTTGAAACAAATATCAATGTTCTTCTATTAACATTTGGAAGACTGTTCATAAAAGACACAATATTTGTTTCATAGCAGATCATAAATAATAACAGAGCCTCAAGATACAAATGGACTTACTGAATACAAATTGTGTTTTTCGTTAAAAAAATGTTCTTGATTGTTATGGTTGCTTAAATTCTCTTGGTTACACTTGGTTCGTTTTCAAATAATAGTAAGTAGAAGAGAGAAGAAGAAAAAGAGAAAAAAGAAAAGAAGAGGAAGCAAGAAGAAGAAGAAAAGAATAAGAGGAAGAAAGAAGAAGAAGAAGAGTTGGCTATTGCTTTAAAACTTAACTGTTGGTGAGTTGGCTACTGCTTTAAAGCTCAACTGATGGTGAGTTGGCTAGAGCTTTTAAACTAAACTGATGGTGAGTTGGCTACTGCTTTTAAACTCAACTGATGGTGAGTTGGCTACTGCTTTTAAACTCAACTGATGGTGAGTTGGCTACTGCTTTAAAACTCAACTGATGGTGAGTTGGCTACTGCTTTTAAACTCAACTGACGGTGAGTTGGCTACTGCTTTTAAACTCAACTGATTGTGAGGTTGGCTACTGCTTTAAAACTCAACTGATGGTGAATTGGCTACTGCTTTTAAACTCAACTGATGGTGAGTTGGCTACTACTTTAAAACTCAACTGTTGGTGAGTTGGCTTCTGCTTTAAAACTAAACTGATGGTGAGTTGGCTACTGCTTTCAAACTTAACTGGTGGTGAGTTGGCTACTGCTTTTAAACTCAACTGATTGTGAGTTGGCTACTGCTTTAAAACTCAACTGATGGTGAATTGGCTACTGCTTTTAAACTCAACTGATGGTGAGTTGGCTACTGCTTTTACACTCAACTGATAGTGAATTGGCTACTGCTTAAAACCTAACTGATGGTGAGTTGGATACTGCTTTAAAACTCAACTGTTGGTGAGTTGGCTACTGCTTTAAAACTCAACTGATGGTTAATTGGCTGCTGCTTTAAAACTCAACTAATTGTGAGTATACTACTTTAAAACTCAACTGATGGTAAGTTGGCTACTGCATTAAAACTCAACTGATGGTGAGTTGGCTACTGCTTTAAAACTCAACTGTTGGTGAGTTGGCTACTGCTTTAAAACTCAACTGATGGTTAATTGGCTACTGCTTTAAAACTCAACTAATTGTGAGTATACTACTTTAAAACTCAACTGATGGTGAGTTGGCTACTGCATTAAAACTCAACTGATGGTGAGTTGGCTACTGCTTTAAAACTCAACTGATTGTGAGTTGGCTACTGCTTTTAAACTCAACTGATGGTGAGTTGGCTACTGCTTTTAAACTTAACTGATGGTGAGTTGGCTACTACTTTAAAACTCAACTGTTGGTGGGTTGGCTTCTGCTTTAAAACTCAACTGATGGTGAGTTGGCTACAGCTTTAATACTCAACTGTTGGTTAGTTGGCTATTGCTTGGCACAGGAGCTCAACTATCGGTAGCCAGTATCAATGCTGTATGAAATGATCGTCAATCAAATGTGTTATGTTTGACATTGATCTTAGACGTTTTTTGTTTTTTTTTAAAGAATGACAGTAACGAAGTTTCGTGATGCCATTTGAAACTATTGTTCTGTTAATCCCTGAATTGCTTGTCAGAATAGGCTAGTAAAATGATCGGAACTCTATTTCGGGGGAGGTCACAGAGTTAGATAACAACATGGCCGCCGACTCCATAAAGGTGCAGAAACAGAAGCAAGTTAACTGTCTCTTGAATCCGAAAGGTTAATTGAGGTTAGGTTGAGTTATACTAGGCGCTCCTTAATATATTTTTTAAGCTTTTCATGATTTCATCATTCAAATCTGCTTCATGAAATTTGAATTAATATTGCAAGAAGAATTGTTTTTGTCATGATTGAACAATGTACCTTTGCATCTGCTATAATATCTCTCAAAATATAAATATGTTGTATGAATTAACTACTGAAATATCTTCTGAATTACTTAAAACCTACGTATTGCGATAATTGATTCCAGGCATTACATCTTCATGAGATTGAAATGACTTTGCTCCTAAACTGTTGACAGGCACTAAGCGTTGCTTGGTTATTGAACCAGGATAACTAAATTATTATAATGCAATGTGGTTGAGTGAGGATGCAGCAGTTGAAAGCAGTTTGATGATTCCCGATATTGTTGATTGAAAGCGTTGTGTTTCCTGGATGCCTGCAATGTTGAAAGAATAAGTTAATGTCCGTACAATGTGAAAGATTCAAAAGAGATCCGGAAAGGGAATGAAAATAAAAAACATCGAGAACATTGAACGTTACCAATAAATCTATCAGAAACATCTTGTGTAAATCCACTTTTGTAGATATAAAAACGGAAGAGAGTCTAGGAAAAAAATAATTGAGTAGATTGTTAGGTTTTTACAAAAATAGAATCGTCCTTCAAGTTTCATTGGATGGTGATAGAGTGGTGAGAGGACAACATACAAACAAGCAGGCTAATAAACAAAACACACACGAAACGAATAAATATAACAAAATACAGATGGGTGGATGGGGAAGGAAAAGAGATGGGATAGAATACAATTGTATGAGAACATTGGTGGAACGATGGAATTAAAAAGAAAAGGTGAAAGGGGGTAAAACAAGAGAATACATAGTATTGAACAAAATAAGAGATAAAGGAGGGGGAACGTCTCCAGGGGAAATATATAGAAATTGAAAGACAGACACATATATTTAATTTACCTGATTGTGCATGTTTGGCTAGTAGTTGGATGAGTTTAATAAGGTAGATAGGGCACATCCTCCTGCCCGATATAAGGCACCTTGTGTTTGGGACGCATCACACCAAGGTAATCATATTCGATGTCTCTCAGCTTTGAGAAAATATCTTTGGTAGTCTGGATTCGACGAGCTGGATTGTTCCTGCAGCATTCATCACCAAGGTCTTTGAGGGGCCGGATATTGCAGTCTTTTCCCATCATACGGAACACCATGCCAATGGAATAGATGTCACTGAGAATCGAGGTAGGACGCCCTCTCATGATGACCTCTGGTGCAATGTTGTTATACATTTCTCCCTTTTGGTACATGCCCTTGGTGAACTCGTTGCAATCTTTCCTTATCGGGAAATACATGGTGCTGGCCTGGCCAAAGTCGATCAGGATACCACGCCAAAGTCCATCACGTCTCTCCAACAGGATGTTGTTAGACTTGATGTCGTTATGAAGGAGTTTCTCTTCGTGCAAGGCATATGTTGCTGTGACAATATCATCAGCGATTCGAAGCACGTCCTGCTTTTTTATCATGGGAAAGTCCTTGTCTCGTTGTTTGACGACGCTGAAGAGGGTCCGGTCTACTCCCTCCTTTGCGTCCCCGATGAACTCGAGGACAATACAGGTTTGGTTTGACAGGTTCAAGACACCAACAAGTCTAGGAAACAGACTATTCCTTTCAAGGAGATCATGGATCATAGCTTCCTTGCGAGAACGAAGGGTGTTTGCCTGACAAAAAATGAAAAAGAAATAAATAAAAAATAACACTTTACAAAGAAGACACGTGACAATTTCTAAACTATGACAAATTGCGTACAGATACAGGTAGAAACATAATATTTGAAGAAAAGAAGAGAAACCATAATAAGAAATAAATCAACTCATGATCGAATCTATTAGCACTTCCATGAAAAGACACATGGCAGACAAGCATTTACACAAGACGAGAAAGTAAAGATGGAGGGGTGGAGGGGTGGAGGGGTTTATTTCAAAGTTATGAAGTTTCTAAACCTCCTATCAAATCTCACCTTTGTTTCCATTTCTTTGCATGATGATGTGAGGCGCCAAGGTAGGAGGGGCTTCTTCACCACGACACACTTATTATTGGAGACTAATCTTGCCAGGCTGATCTCACCAAAGGTACCTTTCGAGAGGAACGACAAGGGATAGCGGTCCGGGTCGGTCTTCTCCTCATCGTACGGTTTGAGGTCGTGCTGGATATCGAGGGTCTCGAAGCAACAGCGGTCTTTTAACTCGTCGACGACAAGGAGATCCATCAGGGTTCTGTCATAGTGTCGAGGTACATCTCGAGGGCTCAAAGGCTTGCGCTCTTCGAAACTGATTAACAAAACATGAACAATAAGCTTTTGAATTTAATGACATTTACTTGTTCGTTAGTTTGTTCGGGTACGGTGATGCTTCACAAATGAGTGTACTAACTCTGCACACCTCAACATGTACAAAAGTCTGTAGTTTCCTATGTACCCTCCCATGCCATAAGTATTGCAACATGATGAAATTCGTTAAATTTGTGGTTAAATTTGTGTAGATGGGAACATTGATAATGCCAAATATCGAGATATTCTGGACGCCCACTTGTTTCCATCCATTGCTAACATCTTTGGCAACGCGCAACACCCGTTCGTCTTCCAGGATGACAACGCACCGGCACACAGGGCAGCCAGGATGGACCAATGGTATGACGAAACTGGCGTCAACAGGGTGCAGTGGCCGGCGCAATCACCAGATGCTAACCCGATAGAGAATCTGTGGGATGACATCAAGAGAGCCAACACCAAAGACCGACCAACCACGAGGGAAGGTTTGGTCCGCTCTATCTTCAGGGCCTGGGGCAGCATCACCCAAGAAAGATTGCAAGGACTCTACGCGACGATGCCAAGAAGGATGCGCGCCATCATTAGAAGGCGAGGATATCCAACAAAATACTAGAGACTCGTGAATCTTACATGAAAAATGACTATTGATATATCAATAAAATGTGCCTGATAGTATGATAAAAAATGATGCACTACATATTCATTAAAACAGCACTCATTTTCAATTATTTGTCTCCTGTGTAATGTGTGTGTCTATGTTGCAATACTTTTGGCACGGGAGGGTATACTGGCCTTTATATTCAAACAATCGATCAATCAATCAAAAGGGACCATTACGGTTACAGTGATTTAGTTTGCTTTCCTCTTCCCTGGCAGCCAACTGATGCACTCAGAGGACCTCCAGGAAGATCAGGGGAAAAATACTCAACAAATTTGGGGTGCTACTTTTCAAGCTTGCTTGCATGAAAATAACACTCTTTAATCTGTTTTGCATTGAACTCTATGCAATTTGGGGGGCTGTTTTATGACTTTCGGGGGCTCTTTTGGGCATTTCGGGGGCTAATTCGCCCCAAGCCCCCATGTTTTTTTTTTCACTGAGGAAGATTGTGCATTTATAATTGACATTTTCTTAATGTTTGTTTACTCATATTTACAGTTTTACATTGTTATGTTTTTTGTGAATTAATTGCTGAATAAATAATGAATAAAATAAATAAATAAACAAACAAAAAATAATCACTCACGAACGGATGACATCGTGTAGTTGGTGGGTGATGTCCGTCTCTTGTTCGAGGCTGAATTTAACCTCGAGAATGGTATCATCTCGTTCCTCAAGCTCTCTCTTGAGGTTAGTGACTGCGACTTCGAACTCTTTGATCTCTCTGTTGAGAGCACGGATCTCGTGTTCTTGTTTGTATTTCTCCTCCTGAATAACCCGCAAGCCACTGCATTTGAACAAGAGGATATTTTAATGTCAGTTTCACCGATTACCATTTACCATATATAGCAATAGGTTTCGCATAATTAAAACCTATTCATTCTGTTTGATGTATTTTTATGAATTCTATATATGATATTCTGAATTCAATTTCTTACTGTGAAAAATGCCTAATTAAATTTTGTTGTTGCTTGATTTATTAGTCTTCTTTTCCAAATAGCATTAATTCTTTTATACTATATTATTATTGTTGTCTATGACAAAAAATAAAGAAAAGAAAACTCTCCGATTGTCGGCAATAAAAGCCTCTTTGTTTTTGATGGTATGATTCCTTCCTCCTGCTACCTCCATTTGATCCTGTGATTCCCTCAAATGTTTCATCACGTCCAGTTTTGGTCACCGGTACTTAAAGCCCGTCTGCAATAGTTTGGCCAGGGGGATTAGACCTCCCTGCAAGTTCATTGACAGGTGGTTATCACATCAAATCAGCTCTCAATTAACATGAGAAAAAGGGGATCATGGGGGACCAACAAGCACTGATTAGGCATTGTTTGCTATATAGAGGGCGCAAGTAGCTGTGCATGGGGCTTTAAGAGGCAAACCCAGTCTTTCATTGACATTCTTAAAGTAAAAGAATGTGACGGATTAGATTTATATGTAATCATGTTCCTTACCGGATGGTATCAGCCTGGTCTTCAATTTCTTTAAGCTTTTCGTCTGATGTCTGTAAAATAGAGGAGAACATACAATTAGTCTGTAAAAAAGAGAGAACATATAGATCATACATGTAAATCATTTTGATCACGACAATGAAAGAATTCATAGTGTTGCCAATTTGCTAAAGAAATGATGGTCTTTTAAAAAAACTGAAATATATCCAAATTGAAAAGTTAAAATTGTATAAGTTTAATTATGTATAAAGTAGGTGTCCGTTCTCTGTTTTCTCGCTCTCTCTCTCTTTCTCTCTCTCTCTCTCTCTCTCTCTCTTCCTACCTACATATCTATTTATCTATCCATTTATTTCCCTCTCCGACAACTGTAAAATCCCAGCTTCTTATTTCACCTGTTTATGGACAAACTTGTTGATGATCATCCTGAAAAGCTTCTTCTTCTTCTTCTTTTTCTTCTTATCTTTCGAAGATATGGTGGGCTGCTCCAGCTCTTCCATCATCTGCTCCAGAGAAGACGCAAGCTCCTTTGGATAGACAGAAGAATAAAATGATAGATGAGATATTGATAGAAAGAGAGGCTGAGCCTGGGTGGGGTTAGGGGTACAGAGGGCATGTGTTTTCATAGCCAAATTATACTGTTAAACCATTGTCCAAGTTAGACCTTGATGCAGGCAAATGTGTTTTCAAGTGCCCCCCCCCCTTAAAAGCTTATCATTAATGGTAACTTTGTCATCAATATTAACTAGTAACTACCATGGCAACATCACCCAACAGCCATGGTTTTCACGGAAATTACCATTAAAGTCAAAGTTAACATCAATGCTAAGTTTTATGCAACAGGGCTAAGGCTCATTATGATAGTATACTAAATTTGATTTTATGAAATTAAAAAGAATCCTACTTCAATTTGTTTGTCCTTCTTGGTGATTTTCTTTTCCAATGACGTCAAGCAAGCCTCTTGTTTGTCCAGTTTGCTGCGGAAGAGTGCAAGAAATTCTGGGATCTTGGTCTTCGTCTTGAACTTGATGTCCATTTCCTTGGCAATTTTCTAAAGAAAACAAATTTTGATTTTATGAAATCGGGATCCAATAATGGCTGTATGTAAATTAATGAAAGGAAACTGATCATACCATGAAAATACAAATCGGAATAAATTAATACTTATGTACCAAGATGCAGTATTAAAAAGCGATTATTTAATAAGTTCTGAGCACATCAGTTATAAATTGCTATAATAATTGATCCGATTTCTTTACAATCACAAAATTATTTGGCAGATGATTTGGATTAGGTGAGTATCATTATTGCTAAATCATTCATTATGAGTACAAAGAGGTAAATAAAGTTTATTATCTATATAAGGCTTCCAAGTGGTACAATAAGTCAGTGTATTCAATATCTTTAGCGCAGGACCTGGATAACAGATCAATATTGTTTTTTTCGTATTGCTCTGTCATCCGGGAACTTCAACTGTCGATACCCAGGTGAGTCAAATTTTGTTATTTCACTAGTCAGCCTGATAAAGATAATAATAATAATATTGTATGGATTTGTTTTTGTGTGATATAAGAATATTTTGCTCTCGCTATGACAATGTATTCTCGAATCGCACTCAAAGCCGTCCAATATCATATAACTATCCGTTTAAAGAGTATAGCCAGATGCTTGGCCTCAAACCACTCGACTACAAGACATTACCAATCTCCACGGTTACTGCAGTGCCACATTGTGATGCAAATATTACTATCTTACCCTGCAAATATCCCGGATTTTCTCAATCTTGTCCTTTTTAGACGTCTGTGAGAAAAAGTTAAAAGAAAAATTAGATAAAGAATGGAAGATATTCAAGATGAATAACAAATAAATGAAAAAATAAACAAAGACAGAGGGAAATAAAGAAAAAATAGGAGTTATCTAGTATTTTTTTCTTTCAAGTTGTTGAAGGTGATAGTAAATAAGATTCATCCCTTCATATCTATATTTTTTTTCTTATTTTTTTTTTCCTTGTGAGTTTACTTGTGTTTTCAGTGAATAGATTATCAAATAAATATAACTTACCTTTTGATCCTTTTGATGTTCTTCGAGCTCAGTGACAAGGTTGTCAAACTTGAGAGCGTATTTCATGTCCTTTTCTCGAAGCTTCTCGATCAGGTCCTCGATCGTCAATTTACCTGGTTCAGCCTGAACAAGGTCTTCAATGGACTCTGTCAAAAGCTGTATTTTGTAATATGCAAACATTAAAAAAAAGAGAAAAGCACAAGTTGGTTATCTTCATATTTTGATACTGTGTCTTATATGAATTAGATAAATGCAAACGTTATGATTGATTAGAAAAAGTGGCTGAAAGATTCATCCAGACTCTCTCTTTCTCTCTGTGTCTCTCCAACTCTATATCATCCTCTCTCTCTCTCTCTCTCTTTCTTTCTACCTCGATTTTTAACTCCATGTCCTTCTGTCCATTTCATTTCTCCCTCGTTCCTGATCTAAATCTACAGTAGATATGAAATGACAATGATTTCATTTGCATCGGATCTTAAAGGTCTCAGAAGTCAGGTTGAATTCTTACCTTGATTTTTGCAACAAGATCCTTCTTTTTCTCGTTACATGTCTGTGCCTTGAGGTAGCGTTTCTCATGCTTCTTCCATGCCTCCTGGAGCTTCTCAGCCGAATCTTCTGGCGATACATCCTCCGGAAGACCGACAATGGATTGCACTTCAGAAAGGAGTTTCTGTATATCATGGAAATGTCAAAACAAAGAAAAACATAGCCAGGTTAACTTCTTTTTACTACAAGAACCCATAGTCTGGGCAACATTATACCTTTATTATACATCATGCACATGTGTGTTTCCGCGGCTGTTTCTATCTCCTTTCATCTTCCTTTTTCTGCCCCCAAGAGAGTGAAGAATGTGTATGGATAATGGATGGATGTATAAATCCAAAATATCAAATTATAAATTATTACTATCATATCCTCAGTTCATTCTATCTGGTTCAGGCTTCCCCCTTCATGCGCTTTCCCCCTTCCCCCTCACCCCTTTCACATAAAATGTATCCTGCTATTGACCAGCCCGAGAAAATCCCTTACCTGGAATCGCTCGTTATTCTTCCCTGCGACCTCTTCAAGGGTATTCTTCTCCTTTTTCTTCTCTCTCTCTTGCAGTTTTTTGAAGACCTTTTCTTGATCCTCCCATGCCTTGCGGAGTTTCTCGGCCGAATCTTCTGGCGACACGTTCTTTGAGAGACCGGCAATGGATCGCACTTCAATCAGAAGTTTCTACATTTTTTAAATGAATGGAACATAGACAAAAATAAGAAAGTGTACCATTCTTTTACGGGCTTGTGCGTTAGTGTTTCCATGACTTTTTTCCATCCCTTTTCCAACTACAAAAAAATCACATATTTTTGTTTTTCACTCTCACACCCCCCCCCCCCCCCCACCTCCAAAAAAAAAAGGTCTCTCGCACTCTTTCTCTTATCTCCCTTCATCCTTCTACACTACAGATCGTGTCCTCTCTCTTTATCTATGTACATGTATGTGTGTTCTGTGTTTGTATCCCCCTCTTTCTCTCTCCCTCTCTCTCTCTCTCTTCCTCCATTTCTCTCTCTCTCTTCCTCTCTCTTACCATCGGTCCTGGGGAATATTCCTTACCTGAAGTTGGTCAGAAGCATCGCCGTTATCCCCTATCTCCACCTGAAGGCTCTTATCCTCTTTCTTGATCTCTTCATCTCCCTGTTTCTGGGAAGGGTTCTCACGCTTGTTCCATTCCTCTCGGAGTTTCTCAGCAGAGTCAGCCGGCGAAATGCTCTGCGACAGACCGGTGATGGAGCGAACTTCAGAAAGGAATGCCTGTTTTTTAAAGGCAAAAGTAGAGAACATAGATTTACATTTTAAATAGAATTATAATACTATGCCCGCGTGTTTCTGATTATAATTTCAAACCTTCACATCTTCAACATCCCTCACTCCCTCTCTTTGTCTCTCTCTCTCTCTCTCTCTTTCTCTCTATCTCTTTCTCTCTCTCTTTCTCTTTCTCTCTTTCTCTCTCTCTCTCTCTCTCTTTCTCTCTAACCCTCTGCCTCTCCCTTTGCTTGCATCTTTGCCATATAAAAAAAACAGCAATAGAAATACAGGTTTAAAAGCGATTACTTATTTGGATAAAATTAATAAGTGAATATACATATACTTAGATATACAAATGATAGAATAAATAGATTAATTAATTAATAAAAAAATAGATTTATAGACATTATTACTCAAGATAAAATAAAATAAGAATTGAATTCCCCTCACCTCGAGCTCTTCGAAAGCACTACCTTTCTCCCTGGAGGCGGTGTTGAGATCCGAAGAGATGGTCTGATTCTCCTTCTTCATCTGGTGTAGCTGTTCCATCAGATCTTCCTTCTCTCCTTCGAGAACCAAATGCTAGATTCTCCTATAACGATCTGATCACTTGCATCCTAGGTGGGGTGGACGTAGGCGGGATTGGAAAGAGAAAACCGAATTGATTTAGTTTTTGCAAAAATACAATAATGCCTTAATTTACCAACACAGCCACCACTCTACGTGCAACGCTACAAACAACTCAATACATTTCGTATCAATCTTCCAATATACCTTATAACCCTTTCAGTATAACCAGTATTACCCATAGATGTTGTTGTAAGGCGTAATAACTTTTGATTCAGAGTCCCAAACTATTTTGTCAAATGTATTAACAGAGAAAGCCCACTTATCCCTATAAAAAAAAATTCATCATGTAGCCGCTACATGGTGAATTGGATTTTTTTATAGAATGAATTGTTTTACGGTATAACAATTCATTTGACTAGAAAATTATAAAACAAAAATATTACAAAATTTGAGTTTGTAACACTTTGGTAAATTCAACAACCTTATGTTAGCACACGAAGCACACAACTTAATTTCCTTTACAAAGATTTCCACATAACCCAACCCTTATCTTATCCAAATAAAACAAAATTATCATTGTTTCCAAAACTTATATTTATTATTTTATTTTTCTTTCTTCTGAATGACATATGAGTTCCCACCTCAAGACTTCTCTCCAGTTTCTTGATCTTCTGCTTGAGAATTGGTAAGTCAGCACTGACAGTGGTTAAAGATATGTTATCCATAACCAGGTCATTTTTCTCATTCTTAAGCTCCTCGATCTTTGTCACGGCTGCATTTCGCTCTTCAGCAAATACCTGGGGCATAAGAATAACATGATATCTAAGCAAACTGATCAGCACATGAATAATGATTAGTTAAAAAGATGAATAAACAGATTTTAAAAAATGAATAATAATTGAAATAAATAAATGTATGAATGAATGAATGCGGAATGAATATATGAATAACTTAATAAATAAATAAATAAATAAATAAAAACAATGAAGTGAAACTGTGGATCTCTCTCTTCTTGACAAGGGTTCGATATTGAAAGTTGGACTATCTAGTTGTCATGTTGATCTACAATGACATTGGTCTTGGTCTACCTTGCTCTGTTCCTGTGTCTTAATCAGGTGGGCCTTGGTCTTCGTCGGGTCTTGGGCTGCCCTCAGAGCCTCAGCATCACGTCGAGATTGGTCTTCAGCCTTCTCCTTGGCCAGTCGGGTCTTGGACAGATCCGATTTGACTTCTTGGAAAATGATGTCACGTTCGGTCCAGATGGATGTAACGAGCTCAGCTAGTTCGTCAACCGATGGGTTGCTGAATGGCTGCACGATCTTTGTCATGCTATCTGCCAAGACCTGTTTATAGGAGAGGTTGACTTTAATAACTCTCTATTTCTATTTCTCTATTTTCTCAAGTGATCGACGTTATAGCAGATTTAAAGCATTTACTCCAATATAGAACTATGGGGGATCATCACTGTCATGTATTTATCAGTGTTTGATTACAATTAATTTGTAATGCTAACAGTGGACTTTGCTTGTTAACCTGAACCATTAAGTTTGTTTAAGAATTATATATAGCCAGAGAGTCGTCATAATTGTGATCATTAACTTAGTTTGTTTGAGCATTTAACATTATGTTTTTTATGATTAGAGAATCAATCCTAATTTTCACTGGTATAAGTTGTTATTATTATTATTTATGATAGTTACTGTCACCACTATGATTGTTGTCATCATTCATATCTTTATCATCAATAATAAAAATTAAGTTCTTGCATGAGGATGATTTCTCATACTTGGTAAAGTTGAGTTGAGTTGAGTTTGAGTTGAGTTTGAGTTGAGTTTATTATTTTCACATTTCACATGCAGATATAATACAGATAACAAAATATACATAAAAGATATATTGTATCATAATTTTTAAAAAATTATTATAGTAATTGACAAGGTAATCAGGCTACAAAGTTACATGTCATAACATTTGTTTGACAACTAATATCATTTAAAGGAAACCCAGACAAAAGTACAAACTGTGAAATGTGAGCAAATAAAGAATAATTTTGAATATATACAAACTGACATACGACTTGGCGTGAGGTAAGCATTGCCCTAGCTTCCACTGGTTTGGGGACACAAACCACTTACCTTTTTCTCTCGTATGACATCTTCGAGCTGTTTCTTTGCTGTTTTGAGCTCATCGCTAAGACTTTCATTGGACATCAAGAGTTCCTAGGAGAACAGATAAAGATCCCATTTAAAATTGATCATGCAATTTGACGTAATCAGTAATGCAGATAACTATAACAAACACACGACCACTCCCTTTCTTCCCCTCCCCTTCTCTCTTTCTCTCTCTTTCTCTCTCTATTCCTCTTCTCTCTCTCTCTCTTTCTCTCTCTCTATTCCTCTTTCTCTCTCTCTATTCCTCTTCTCTCTCTCTTTCTCTCTCTATTCCTCTTTCTCTCTCTCTATTCCTCTTCTCTCTCTCTTTGTCTTTCTCTCCTTTCCATTTCATTATCTTCCTCCCCATCCCCATTTGTTTCTAATCCTTTTTCTTTGCATATAACTGCACTTCAATTGACTAACTCCATGCCCCCCCCCCCCTCTATTCATTTACAGAGATGATGAGAATGGACCTATAGATGACAAACCTCATTTTCCTTTCTCTTCTCTTCAAGCTGGGTCTCTGATGTCTTGATGCTTTCATCCAAAGTCTTACTGATGTCCTAAGAATTCCATTGAGAAAGAGAAATACTAATGTCTTAAAATCAATTAAATGCATCTACAGTGGTAGGCCTATGTATTTAATTAAATAGAAGTAGAAATATTGATAATATGACAATTGATGCAATTTTCTTATGAAATATTACATACATGTATAATGTACGGGAGACAGTTGACATTTTCCAAAATCAAATAATAACAATCTTTTTTTTCAGTGGAGACAATTCTCTTTTCACAAACTATGATCATATGACTTTAAACTTTCAAAAATAATCAAAGTTATTTGTTGAATGATTAAAACAAATTATAGGACTAAACAGATCTAGATGTAAAAATAAATAAATAAATGTATTAATTAATTAAATACACAAATAAATAAATGAAGGAATAGATGTACATGTATGAATAAATCTTAAAACAGATAAATCAATAAATATTTGAATAAATAAAAAAAAGTAAATAAAAAAAGATTGAATAATCAATTGATTAATAAATTTTTTTAAAGACAAAATATAAAGACAAATCTAATAAAACAAAAGTAAAATAAAAAGTAGCGACTATTTCCTCGGATCGGGAGCTTACCTGATACTGTTTGGTCGTATCTGCAAGCTGTACTTTCACTGAGTCAAGTTCTTTGTTGAGAGTTTCAAAGGTTTCCAAAACGCTCTGACATAAACAGATACATGTAGATAAGAATCGTGTTATTAGCATATGATTTGTCTTTTTAGAAAAATCTGCTTGGTCAAACAAGAATTAATCTATAGTCTTAGATCTATTCAGAAGTAGCAGAATTTCTATGTTTGTCGTTTCTTGTAGGAAAGCTGAATAGGATTTAAAAAAAAAATTAGATCTAGATAACATTATCCAATAATCCCCCCTCTTTCATGTTTGATCTAATTGATATGATCAATAAACTTACATTGTGCTCTTTGTTTCTCTTTTGAAGAGAGGCTTCTGCTTTCTTGAGTTGTTCCTGAAGTTTGCCTGTGCTCACTGAATTCTTTGGCTAAATGAGAAAGTCATATAATTAAAAGGGATTATAACTATTAAAGTAAAACAAATAGGGCTAGATCTAGATCTATTTGTCATTTCTATTTCCTCAGTTATTATATGGACTGCAAAATCCTTGACATCATATTCCTATTGTAGAGATGTACTTGTGGTCTACTTCACTAGATAAGTCACGTCACCGGACTGTGAACCACAGGGTAGGCTATGGGTTCGACTCCGCTAGCTGCCATTTCTTTGCTTGTTAAAAAACAAATCGTACCGCATGAAAATTATACACAAACGCATATTCCATAGACTCTAGATCCTATATCATATGAGAGAGTGTTTGACTTTGAGCAACTGGCAGTGGCACTACTAAAATATTACAAGTAAGGCAGCCTAGTCAATACCCCGTGTGCTGTCACAATGAATTTAGTATGTGTGTGAAGAGAATCACTTCCGTGTTCGCTCCATCGCAGCGAATTTGCAAATGACGCACTTGACGATGTGCAAGAGGTATTTATACGATACCCTTGCCATGCGGTATCGCTCAGCCAGTATTCGGTCAACGCATTGACATTCAGTGCTTTATCGCGCAATTGTGTGAAAATAGTGCGCAAATACGCTACGCTCCTTTGCAACGGAGATACCACGCACAAATCGCGTGACCGAATTCTAGTCGGCGCGACCGAATTCTGGGCAGAAAAATGCTCCGTCTTCTTTCGGAAGTCTTTTGCTTATCGTTATTCTATATTTTCAGTGACTATAAAATCCTGTTAGAGGAATAAATTTCTTTTCTTTTGATGGGTAGATTGCCCAATGAAAGAGGTAAGAATTCAAAATATTAGTGATTTCCCCTTAAGTGACCGAATACTGGGTACTCTACCCTATATCATATGAGAGAGTGTTTGACTTTGAGCAACTGGCAGTGGCACTACTAAAATATTACAAGTAAGGCAGCCTAGTCAATACCCCCTGATCTATAGATCTAACATCCACCAATTGTTTTTTATATACTTATCTGTCAAACATCTTCGAAGAGCCCCACAGGCCACAGCCACAGGACTATCTTATGTAGCGCCTATAGGGTCCATGAAGTTAGCCGTCGCTAGGCGGCCGGACAGCGCTAGCAATAGAGCTACCCTTGCGTACAAATACGATTACAAGCACTGTTGATGTTACATCGCGTCTACTACGTACTGCTTGCCTAAAATGTATCAAATAGCTAAATTAAACCTCTTTCAGACTCACCTAACATTATGCCAATGACACGAACATCATTCCATGTCACCATATTTTAATTCCAAGGACTAGATCTATAGACCCTATCTATAAGAGAAAGATTATTTGCGACACGACAGCTAAAGTAAATCATAATTTACAAGTGCGCGTGCAGGCACAGGCTAGGCTAGGCCAGGCTAGGCTAGCTAGGCGCTAGTATAGTTAGGCCGCATATATGCAGGACGGACATGCAGCTAGCTAGCAGCACGCGTGCACGGTGCCCAGATCTGCGCGCTGCGCAGCTGGCGCGCGAAACATCTTCGGTAGTGAGCATTTTTTTCTTCTTGGCCCTCGAAAATTTGAAAAATCGCACCCCCCCCCCCTTGAGCGCCAAGGGAGGGGGCCCGGCCATCTCAAAAAAGGGTAAAATTAACGTGTTTTTACCTATTTTTTTCCTCTGGGGAGGGGCCGGCCCCACCCCCTCCGCCCCCCCCCCCCTAGGTCCGCCCCTGGTAGGCCCTATGCTTAAATTATAGGGTATATTTTATAGATACCTCGATTGTATTAGAATACGACAAGCTTAATTTTAAGCACTTTGCTCAGATACAATATCTACATGTATATACGGTACATATAATTATACTCTCAACAACTTAATTGGCCCCTAGGTCTATTAAATGCTTTTTATAAAATACACATTTTTGCTAAGCAAGACTTTTTTCTTCATTAGTTTGGAAAAAGATAATAAAAGGTTCTCAGATTCCATGCATGCTCAATACGTTTATTAAACAAGGGCCTACATTCCCAGACGTGTTATATTTTAGGAAAATACACGTACATCAGATGTTCCAGGAACTACACACACACACACACACAGAGTGGCGTACGCAGGATTTTTTTCAAGGGGGGGGGGGGGTTTAAAATCGGGTCCATAATTTCGCAACGACTCAGGAAAATTTGAAAATCGCGCGGCCAAAAAGTCGCTCAGCGGGGGGGGGGGGGGGGGGGGGGGGGGGGGGGGGGGGGGGGGGGGGGGGGGGGGGGACACTTTTTTTTTTTTTTGGTCTCGAAATTTGAAAATTTGACATTTTGCTCCGTTGGGGGGGGGGGGGGTAAGGTCACCTTTCTTAGGTCAGCCATGGGGGTAATTTTTTTTTATTTTTTTATTTTTTTAAATAATTTTTAAAAAATTAAAAAAATTAAAAAAAATCCAAGGGGGGGGGGGGGGTTAATAGGGATATTTAAGGGGGGTTTACACACATAAAAATACCAAAGGGGGGGGGGGTCAACCCCCCAAACACCCCCCTGCGTACGCGCCTGTTACCGAGACACAATCACGCACATACACCTTTCTATATTACGTGAATGAATAACTAACTAATTGAAAGTGTAAGAAAGAATATATGAATAAAAGCAAACACATATATAAATATATAAACAAAAATAAATGAATGACTTCTTATAAGAAATATATTGACAAATATATCAATAAATGAATGAATAAATAAAAAAATTGATGCAGAATTGAATAAATACATACAAGTATATTGAATTCATCGATATGACTAAATATATAAATACATGAATAAATGAACAAAAAACACATAAACAAACAGAACGCTCGGCCTACCTTTGTCTGTGGGGGTCTAGGCCTCAACTGACTAGGTCCTTGCCCGCTGGTGGTGGCGCCCGGGGTCGAGGGAGAAGGCCTGTGTGTGCCCTCACCACTCTGTGCTGCTTTACGGTTCCTGGCAACTCTGGCAGCACGACGCTTGCGGGTTTGTTCTGGCGTCTCTACTGGGCATCGGGGACCCGGTACTCGTGGTCCCAAAACCATAATTGCGGTCGGCTGTTTGAATTAACAATAGAAAGATAAAATGACTATTATTCGTTTTGTTTATTCAAATTATGAAAGTATTTGCTTTCTTCCCCATTGATTATATACTTTGTTACGCCTATGAGAAATAAATATACGACCATAATTATGTGCCTAATAAAATTAGAATAAGAATACGACTGAGCTTCTTAAAATTAAATTATAAACAAAAACGAGGGAATGAAATTTTGACAAATGTTCCCTTCATTTTGTATTCATTCGATTCAGAAAAATAGGCAGCTTGAGCTTGAATCCATTATGCTTTTCACACTCACTCCTTCTTTCCCATTTGTTTTCATCCTTTCCCTCTCTTCGTATGCTGTACTACGGAATCATTATTTTATACTCATCCGATTAAAGCCAAATCTATACAATCAAAATCACTTGCTGTATCGCTTTCGTCAAAATTACTATTATTTGTATATTCTCAGATTTGCTTTCTCGCATCTTTTTATGCAATCTGATTAGAGATCTTATAACAGTAGCACATCAAAATAATATATAAACACGCGCCTACGCACACACCATGACATAAAAAGTAAAGAAAATTCATCATTCTAATTCACTCACAACTATGTCAATAAATGCGCTAGAAATTTGAAAAACTCTTCAGTCAACTCACCACAATTTTCCGGATTGTTGCTTGTCAAGGTTTACTTTGTATTGTTGTTATTTCTTCAATTGCAAGATAAAATCCGAAAATATTGAGCAATTGCCTCTTTATATGTTTAGAGCCCCATGCAGTGTGTACTGTACACAAGCCTAAGTATATGCACGAGAAGTTTTGTTTACATAGGATGCGCGCGCATACACTAAGACCTACGTAACAAAACTTTTAACCAGTACGACGCGCCGTAACTTACCGGGGGAATTCCCTGACGTAGTCATGGTGTAGACTTTATTCAGTCACTCCGTAATAAATGAATAACGTTCTGATAGAATTCTAGCTTACAACCCACGTAAAACACAAAGATGTTTGTTCTACATGTGTAGCTGAGTTTAGTATATAGTTAAGTTTCAGTAAGATAATTAAACTTACAATAACCATGCACAAAAACAAATCATCAATCATCTTTTATGAACAAACGACTAAAAACACATCTAACATGTAGGTCACTTCTACAAAGTGCGATGAACCCGATAACATTACTTCACAAGGAATCACTGTATTATGTTGCAAGCAGGCGCGTACGCAGGGGGGGGGGGGGGGGTTTGGGGGGTTAAACCCCCCCCCTTTGGAAATTTTTTGTGTGTAAACCCCCCTAAAAAAAACCTAAAACCCCCCCCCTTTTGGATTTTTTTTTTTTTTTTTTTTTTTTTTTTTTAATTATTAAAAAAAAAAAAAAAAAAAAAAATTATTCCCATGGCCGACCTAAAAAAGGTGACCTTACCCCCCCCCAACGGAGCAAAATGTCAAATTTCCAAATTTCGAGACCAAAAAAAAAAAAAAAAAAGTGTCCTCTTACCCCCCCCCCCCCCCCCCCCCCCCCCCCCCCGCTTATTCAGCGGCTGGCTGAGTCGTTGCGAAATTTTCGGACCGATTTATAAATGTTAAAACCCCCCCCTTGAAAAAATCCTGCGTACGCGCCTGGTTGCAAGTACATACAAATATAGAAATTTTTCAAGAAAACGGCAACGTAGTGCAACAAAACAGGGTACAAAACGGGCTAAAACCGTTTTGTACAGAATAGTTAACAAAAACAATCCTATATGTAGCTCAATGCAGTTTTTATCGACCCCCAGAAAAGAAATAAACAAACAAAACAAACAAATCAACAAATGGATATAAAGACTATACATTTAAAAAAAAATTAACAAACAGGACTAAACAAAAACAAATCAAACACCGACATCCAAGCGATTGCTGCTCGGGCTACACAATATTTTGGAGGAAACTTTGTTCAGAGAATGAATTGCATTGATAGAGAAAGTAAAATCCGATGTTTTTCAGATATCAAGGAAAACACCACTTTTATTTTAAACACCTAGCTACATTTTTTTTTTTTTTTTTTTTTTTTTTTTTTACTATTAATGATGAAACATGCAAAAATCAGACGTATTTACAAGGAACCAGTCTGTTCTGAAACTTTCTGCATTCCTCGGACTTCTCGAAGAGAGCTCCGTGTTATCTTTCAGTTACCTTTGTTTATTTACTAGGGCCATTTTCAGCAAATACATTAAGTGATTAAAACAAAATAAATAAATAGATAAACAAAAAAGAAAGAAATAGAAACTAAAAAGGAAGAAAGGAAAAAGAAAAGGAAGCAAAAGAGAGAGAGAGAGAGAGAGAGAGATAGAGAGAGAGAAATTGAGCCAAAATCGTGTTAGAAGCTTGAGATAAACATTTTGATTACAATGGCAAACATTTTGTCTCTTCATGCCGATTCAACATTTGTTCGGCCACATTTTTCCAGGATTTTTATTTCTTTAAAGGGATTGGGTATCTTTGCCTCAGATTCTAAAAATCCTGGATTTAGCTCATGCTGCAATCATAATTATAAACCTATAGGTCAGTCAGAAATCCCATGACTTTTACAAGCCGATTATATAATAATATTCCGCTTTCAATATTCACCATATCACAGACACTGATAACACATAGGGCCATGCATCTCAGATTTGTAAAAATGGAAACGCCTCTAAAGATATATGAACAGGGATTTGGTGTTGATGAGTTTTAGATTATGTTTAAGTTTTGGTTTAGATTAAATTAAGGCATAACGTTGGGTCTAGGGCTAAAGTCAGGGTTGTGGACAGTGTAAGAAAACGACTCCAGAGCAATTATCGCTGGAGCATGTGTCGTACAAAGCCACAATCATACATTGAGTAAATTTACGCGAAATGAAGACACAGACATTGCTTTATTGTATAAAATATTTGTATTGTACACGGTATCGGTACATGTCCATATTATTGTTACAGTGTAATGTATATATGTACAGATATAATGCTAATGTACAGTTTGATTAATTGTATTGATAAAAATTGAATTATCTTTATAGTTAGAACAGTTTAATTGACTTTAATTATAATTGTAAGACTCATCTCCCGCCATGTAAATGTTATCATTACAATGTACGCCATTCTAGTAGTTTCCCTCACTTTGTTAGTTTCTCAGACGAATGTCTCCTTTAAGTTAAGATATCGTCTGTCTATAGCCAGAAGGGTGTTAACTCATGTTCTTTAACACAGAGTTACTCCCTTCTGACTGCAAACAGACAATAATATGTGAAGTTAGTCCGCGATACAGTTGCAAATAAGCTCAGGGCAGCAATGATCCTTTAACCAATGCCATTGCAGAGAAAACAGAATATCTCTCTGAGGCAACCATTTTTTTAAAAGACCTGAACCGCCTGCATAACTGTATAAATTTGGGTCCCTTTTTAGTAATTCCCAATGATAAAGATGACACTGGTGCACAGGTCACTGAATATAGATTTAAACGAGGAGGACTTGTGTTAAAGGCATCTGAGGTAACCACTTACTGCTTAAAAACTCTCTTTACACTGTTTGTTAAAATATATCATCAAAACATGGATTAAGAAAACTGAGGTTGCATTGCTTAAAAAGGCTAAAATCAGAAAATATTAGAATTAAGAAGTGAATCAATTGCAATGAGCTGCCTACCTCATTTGAAATAAAACAAAACACTCCTGTCTCCTGCATGCCCATTTAAAAACTCAAAAATAATCTAACTATCTAAATCTCTGGCATACAGACATCTGGAGTGATTATTTACATCTGTACAGTTTTTAATACTGTTGTAGGTCAGAATTACATATTACTAAACATTTGTGGGCACAATAGACTTGCTACAATGATGTAATCTACATGTAATACACTTATTTGCAGAACAGCGAAAATGATAAGCATGTAAGGGTGTACGTATTGACAAAACAAAGCTTACATAATAACCTTCCGAAGAAACACTTACAAATCAAGTTAGTCATTCCAGTGCTTTGTCTTAAAAGTTGTGTTTACAGAAAGTATAAATGAGAATATTTTTTGAATCAGATACATTATGAATCCAGATAAACCAGATTAAAGATGAGGAAAAATAAAAAGTGTAAAAATAAGGACTGGAGAAAATTAGTCCATACATTCCATCTGCCGTGTAAATTCTCATTTGATAATTTTTAGCTTTCCTTCCTGGTTTTCAATAAATAATCATACCGGTATACATCCCATTAAAAGGTACATCCCTTGCTAAACAGCCATTATACCGGCCACATGCAATTCTTGGATGATTTCTGAAAAAGCATTAAAACAGCAGCTTCGCTAAGTTTCACATTATAAAACTTCTTTTGACTAACATTAAAAGAAATCAATGTATAAACGCTAAAACACACTATCACATCTCTATACAAGTAGGTTAGCAAGAAAGTTTGTGACGCTTTGGTACACTTATTTACAATACATTTCAACGAGCACCATTATGACTTTTCTTTATATCTACATGTACAGGTAAGTCTCCTCTTATGATTTAGGAATACTACTCCGTAAAGATTCTATAAATTATGCATAAATATCTATAAAAATTAGATTAAAAAAATTAGTAGACATTTCTATTTTTTTCTTACCTACATGTATTTACAATCTACAAGCAATCATAAACCAAATAACAGTATCTGAATCACACTGACAAAAATTCTGCTAAATTATCTGAAAAACATTGTACTTTTGTAAAATACCATACTTCATACTAATTTGCTTACAAATATAGAAACTAAAAAACAGAAAATAGGTACTTTGTTTACACTATTAAGGAATGGTATTTTAAGCGATTTAAAAAAAAAAACACATGGGAGGGAGACTATTTAAGATTTTAATTCCAAAACAAAGGAAAGGAAATTGGAATAGGATTTAATCCAATTGTGCAAGTTGAATCTTTGGAGGGATATGAATAGTTAGAATTCCATATAACACATGTGAAGAACGAGAAAAACTCCATAAATATTAAGTTATCAAGTTATCATTTTCAAAAATTATTTAAAAAAGAAAAAAAAGATCAATTAGATTTGAACAATTGAATTGCATTACAAATTATGTTTCACATGTATTTATCAAAATATCTATGAAAATAGAAGTAAATCCTTCCCTTTTTAATTCATGAGCAAAGACAGAAATCTTAATTTAATGTACACAGACAGTTAGCTACATAATCAAGTCTTAAAGCAGACTAATAATGATTACAAGTCTCACCTTAGTTCTATTTTTTTTCTTCAAAAATTGCATGGGCGTAAAGTGGCTCTTCAAATCAAAGTTAATAATGTATAGGCCAATTGTATTGCTGCCCAAACTCTTTTCTCTCTTAATGATAAGTATACTGTTTTGTTTCCTTACTATCAGAGGGAAATTATGTGATCACAGTTTAACAAACATTGAATGCTCTTCTAGCTTACACTGAACAGACGATTTAAGCATAAAGGATACTGTACTGCAACTACATGTACATCTCTGCCTGAGTTTAAAACAAACAAAATGCACTTTTGACTGTAAACCAAACATTAAGTAACAACTCATGTAAAATACATTAACATATTGTGTAGAGCTTATTTGGAAATAAAAGTTTTTGCAGCATATTCAGGATTCTCATTCATAGTGTTATTATGATTTTGTAATTCAAATTATGTATGTGATTAAAAGAATATGAATGTGTAATACTAGCAAACAACTGCAGAAACTAAAACTTCATAACTAAAACATTATCTCATATGTGACGTTTCTGCAAAGGTGGTATCAAAAGCACAAAAACCTGTATTCTCAATATCCACTGCAATTTCAATAAAAATGTTTTGTACAAACCATCATATTCTTTTGTTCAAATTATGGGCAACTTTACTTTAACATACACAAATTATCCATTTCAGAGTTCTGGCACATAGGCACTTTTTTTAAGGAAACATAACCAAACAGCACAGCAAGACAATACTTTTGAGGCATTACAAACCTTTTAAATTATCATCAGTCCAACCTTAAAGTGAATGTGAGCACTGAGATGATGTACATTGGTATACATACAATACACATCAGTGAGGGCATTAGTAAGAGTTACCCACAAAAGGTACCTTTGGAGCAGTCTAACACGCCAAAGGCCATAGCCAAGGGTACTTGGACTGTTTCACAGGTACCGAACGTGGGTAATTTTACTAATGCCCGAACAAAATAATGTATTATTTGTTTCATAAGATGATGTTTTATTTGTTTTATAAAATGTTATATTTGTTTCATAAAATGATGTTTTATAATGTGATTTTACTAATGACCGGTCATATTAAAGTACTTACTAATGACCGGTCATTAGTAAAATTACGTATTAGGCAAAATAAATGCCAGGTCACATGTACGCTCTTAACTAATCATCTGATTAGGATCTACTTCATCATTTTAATATAATTTATAGTAATAGGTGGGAAAAATTCACTTTCAAAATTGAGAGTATATATTTTTTTGACAATGCTGTAGACATGTAGTGATGGCACTTTGGTCATAATGAGGTACCATACAAGAGAATACGAGCTTAAAGACGTTTACAGTGCATTTTATGAATAAAAGTCTCATTTATACAGTGAACAAAAATAATGTAAATGAAGTACATGTATACACGATTCATTATGTGTTAAAGCTTGGACGTTACCAATTTCCCTGCCAATGTTGTTCTGAGGGTAGTAAGGAAAACTTAATAGCGTTTCCTGTCTATGCAAGGGAATAAACTGGTCAATTGTTATCTACATGTGATAAAAAATGGTGAGGGACTGTACCATTAGGTACTCTCAAAACATAATTTTGTTCCACTTAGATAATTCTTACAACCATTTCAGTTAAACCTGAAGGCGATCATGACACCAAATGGACATGGAAGCAAAATACATGTGTGTTCATCACTGAATATTAATTCGTAAAGATGAGCAGAATTGGGATGCTACACTCAAAACCGAAATGTGAACAGTCATCAATATGATAATTCCTACAACCATTTCAGTTAAACCTGAATGCGTTTATAACACCAAATGGTCATTGAAGCAAAAACATGTGTGTTCATCACTTAATATTAATCGCACATATAAGCAGAATTTGGATGCAACATTAAAAACCTATTGGGTGCATAGTCATCAATATGGACAAGTGATCTTTACAAGCCGTACAAATTAACAACGAGATACAAAGAGGCTCATTTGCATTAGAAGCAACATGTTAAGAAATAGGATTAGGCTCCAGCCATTTTGGAAAATTTGCATTCACTGGTAGCATTTTTAATGTTCTTGCTTTTCGATGAAAAGAAACAACCGACTGAATTCAAATGACAATTTTATCTGGGATGCAGAACAATGAATTTGTCACTTCTTCTTCTTCTTCTTTTTTTTTGCCTGTACTTGCTTAGTGCTCATACATCTTGTTAACGTATGAGAAACTTGGATTTTGAGGGAAAGACTGATACATGTCTACCATCTTCATATCAAAGCCAAGCCAAGGAGCACCAGAGTAGCACTGGTTCTATCTTTCAAGTTCAACTGTTCACCAAAAAATTGATTGAATGAAGGAGGATAACAAAAAGTGAATACAGCCAGGATAAGAGCAATTATATATATGCACATTTGGCAATGACCTACGATGATCAGTTCCTTTAAAATAAAAAACCTACAAAATACAGAAGGACAAATAGCACAGTTTATGACTCAAAAGTCTATATAACTAAAAAAAATGTATTTCAAAAAAAGGCAAAGTTAAGAACTATTGAATAAAATAATGAAATGAGAGGGCAGCAAGCACTTAAGACAGCACCATAGTGAACAAAGGTACTGCCATAAAACACAGCAATTATAACCAAAGCCAAGTCCTATCTATTATGAAAGGAATAAGCATGTTCCTCTTCCAACTGCAGGCCCGTCCATTTTTGGAGGCATAAAAAGCATTGCATCATTAGCTGTCCCTTTATTCTCAAAAGGGAGGGGTTTTTTTTAAAAAACAATACAGCAAGAGGAGCATTGTACAACTAAAAGATGCTGTTCAGAACTGTAATGCTAGAATACCTTGCACAGATTTTCTACCAGTGTGCAAACAATGTGAGTTCACTTAAGAACTCCACAGGCAATATCGATGTTACAATATCTCGCAAGAGTATTGTACTAGAGTGTTAATCATGTCAGGGCTTTTCAACGATGTCTTCTAAACAGTGGCTTAGTGGTGGATATTTTACCTGATTGCTAAAAAAGCATAAATGCTTGTTAGTAAGCAACCAAGGGACCGACAGCTTTAGGTCCTCTCTGAGAGACTAAATACAAAGATACTGTTCATAAGGACTCCACAGGCAATATTGATGTTACAATATCTTGCAAGAGTATTGTACTAGAGTGTTAATCATGTCAGGGCTTTGCAATGATATCTTCTAAACAGTGGCTTAGTGGTGATTATTTTACCTGACTGCTAAGAAGCAACCAGGAGACCGACAGCTTTAGGTCCTCTTTGAGGGACCAAATAAAAAGATACTGTTCATAAGAACTCTACAGGCAATATCGATGTTACAATATCTTGCAAGTGTATTGTACCAGAGTGTTAATCATGTCAGGGCTTTGCAAAGATATCTTCTAAACAGTGGCTTATTTAACCTGACTGCTAAGAAGCAACCAGGGGACCGACAGCTTTAGGTCCTCTCCGAGGGACCAAATACAAAGATACTGTTCATAAGAACTCTACAGACAATATTGATGTTACAATATCTTGCAAGAGTATTGTATCAGAGTGTCAATCATGTCAGGGGCTTGGAAGGATGTCTTCTAAACAGGAAATACATGTACTGTATGAATGATGAGGTTTTGGATGAAGTCTCTGTTTGTCTTCATTATTTCCAGAAGGATTCGGTCGGGTGGCCCTGGTTATCTGGCTGAGTTGCCGCTGTTGTTCAGGATGGCTTGTGATCTACGGCTTGAAGCTTGCCTCTGTCGGGCTAGGAACGACTGGCCCCCGCCGGTTTGGGACAATCTGTCCTCAGCTGCCTTGCGATGGAGCTGCATCCCCTGTAATAACACAGACAAAACATCATATATTACATCTGACTCTACATTGATGTCATTTTCGAAAAGTACCTCTTAGCTAACTACATGGCTCCAGGACACTTTTTTGTGTACTGCGATAATTAAAAATAGGCTCATGCAATGTCTATGTAGAAAGCCATGAGGTTGTTGGGGTTATCCTCAAACCTAGAGAGTCATTTGGTCCTGGTCACTTGATCCTGGTCCTGTCAGTGTCGAGCCTAAAAGTATTTGAATACGGAGATCCTTTGTTTTTGCAATGACATCACCTCCTTTTCTTGTGAAAATGACATTGTTGATGCTCAAATTTTGGTGAGATTTTCGGCACATTTACTCTCTAGAATATAAGGATTTAAGTTTTTGGCACATTTACTTTCTAGAATATTAGGATTAAAGTTTCAGGATTAAGGATTAAAGTTTTTAGCACATTTATTCTCTAGAATATAAGGATTAAAGTGAGATCAAGCAGTAGGGGAATACAGCAATTCTTGTCAAGGTGCGCAGACATAGGGCCCCCACTCATATGTACATGTAAGAATAAACATCATACATTCTCATAAATCAAACATCCTACAATGTACATGGACTTACCAGATTATACCATGCTGATACAACTAATTTCTCTTCTGTATCCCTCGTGATCTTTGACTTGTCTCTCTCATGCTGAAAGAGGAAGAGAATAAAACACCATTAGCAATATTCTTTTATTTTTGTTTACCTGAAACAAGCATGTTTTCTACATCTGTGGATTATGTCTTCAATGCATTTCTCACATCTTTTTTAAATTAAAGGGAGTCAGATACAAACACGAGATTTGTAACATTTTTATCTAAATGTACATTTGGAAGATCTGACGATGTCTACCTCTTGACACCAAATTTGTTAATCAGTAATGAAATTGTGATGTTATTTTCCTTCCTTTCTTCAATTTCTGTCGTATAATTTGATATCATAAATTTACCACTGTTTCAACATCTCCTCAAGCCTTTACCCAATATCTTTTGATGGTAAGATGACTCTGGGGGTATTCACAGATGAATGACATGTTCTCATGCGACTGGGGGATGTTTCACAAAGATCCTAAGTTGAACTTAACAATTATGGAAAGCTGTTAGTATCTTTGAAAATATTTGGTGAAAGTTCTGTTAAAAGGCATACAATGTTGATTCAAATCATTCATATTTTCTATTATCATGGGAGATTTCATGTTCTTGACATGGAATTTACAAACAAATCTAAAATACTTTAATTTTAGCTTTTGAATATATTTTATTTTAAGGCTACAAATGGCTCTCTATAATTTAAAGTCCATCTTAGAGTTAAGTTTGACTTAGAATCTTTGTGAAACACCCCCTAGTCTGCAGTTGACATCTTGAACTATGTGAATTCTTACGCCTAAGTCACACTGCCAAAGCACCTCCAGAAAGACCGATTTTCTACCATTGTGGATAGTGTACTTTTCTGTCCTGACTGTTGCCAACTAAATTTCATTAATCTGACTGGGGTACACATGTCAGCCTTTGACCAAACACATTACTACGGACTTGTTAATTTAATTACTCAATATTTCTAAGTATCATTTGAAGTGTTCACACTCGTACAAGCATTGCTTTTTAATGGACCCCTCTGTTTTCAATATGTATTTCTACATTTATTGTGAATGTTTATAATTGATTTGTAATGTATTGTCGAAATTGATATCGAAAATTGAATTTAAATTACCCTTATATACCCCTACCCCTAACCCTCATCCTAATCTTTACCATAACCATAACCCTAATCCTAAACATAACCTAAAACTCTCTTGAAACCCTGCCCCAAAACTTTATACAGTTAACTAAATTATTCATACCCTTAACAAATTTTTGTAATTTTTAAGGTATGATGAAAATTGATTTGTTACAATTTATGTTTATTGAAAATGTGACATTTTGAATTATTCAACAAAGGCCTTCATTTAAACAGTCCACCTTTCATTCTTGAGTGATACAAAACACATAAAACATCAAATTTGTGGCAAGGGGTATGAATAATTTAGTTGTTAACTGTATAGAATAAACCTGCTGTTGGCTTTTAAAATCTATGGACAGGGGGGATAGAACAGGAAAGTGTCTTCTTAAAGGTAAAGACCAGTTTTGGAAACACCCCCCTCTCAAAAAAAGAAAAGGAAGCTCTTATTACCAATCATGTGAAAGAATATGTTTTGACTAATAAGTGCTGAATATAAACTTTGCTGAGAAACCGCCAACTAATTGATATATTTGGTAAATTATTATATCTATTTGGACCTGATAGATATTGTGCACGTGTCGCGTAGTCCCATATACATATTTTTGTGTACAGTGTTTGTAACTTTACCAAGACTGGGCCAAATTTCTTATCATTTTGATGATTCCAGAACCTTGGAGTACACACCAATACTTATATGCCAGATGATCAACCTTTTCTGATCGATTCCACAACATTTCTTTCACAATGCAATCGATTTCACAACGTTTCTTTCACAACTGGTCTTTATCTTTAAATTCTTTCCTTACCTCCAGATGTTCGATGAGCTTCTGCTTCTCCTGGAGTTGGCTTCTTAGAAGCTGTATCTCCGAGGTTGATGCTCCAGTGCTGTGCTTAGGGTCTAGGGTTCTTATCACTGACTTGGCCTTCTCGAGGTACTTGCGATACCTCTCCTCCATCGATCGCATCTCATCCTCCTTTTTGTGTAAGACGTCTTTCAGCTTGTGTACTTGCTCATCTACAAGGGTGTAAAGAATTAAAAACTCAATCAAACATTCAGTCAATCTATGGAATCATTTCAGCTCATCACGATAGTAACACATGTATACCGGTATTCAAATCAATCAATAACCAATACAAATAATACATGTTTGTGAGTACATTAGTCAATATGCACTACCCGCAGGTCAAGTCACAGTAGGATAATGAACAAGACTTGTCAAGTTAATTATCAGTCTCATTATGACTTAACCAAGTGCAGTGCATATCACTAATGCACAAGCTAAAAACATGTTTATTTGTATTATAAGATGGGTCTACGATATGAGTAGAGTCGAAAAATTGACGGTTGTTATCACCCGGCCAAAATGCACCCCGTGCATACATATATGGTAAAAATTAATGCACGCACATGTGATCCATTTCCACGCTTCTCATTGGCTACATTCTTAAACTTATTTTATACAAAATTTGTAATGGTCCATTGATGATTATTGTGCATTTAATTTCAGTAAAGAAATGCCAGTCCTTGTGGGCAATACAGCAATGTAGAATTATAATGCATGATTAAGTCAAAAGCCTTCAATTATAAACCAATAATTTGTACACTCACTTGTATTTGTAAATTTAGGTTCTAGGTCATCAATATGTGCCTTCTTTCTCGACAGTTCCGTCTCACTCTCTCTTAGTTTCTCTCTGCATTAGAAGAAAAAGAACATGTAATTGAAGTCCACTGACCATACTTTATGCAAGTTTTATAGACTATATGTACATATATACACCCATTCTTGTAAAGCTTGGACAATGATTTTATATTAAAGGCAAGGCTTAGGTATTTTGTCCCATACATTACCAATAACAGCGAGGAATTTACTATACCTGGCGATTGCTTTAACACTCCAGCCCTACTAGAGCTGTGATCCTGTACTCTTCATTCTGTGATACTTGGTAACATTTCAGATCAAATACACTTTACCATGGAATCGCCCAATTCTATAAGCAATTCCTAAGGAGGTAATCTTCATGAAATTTTCAGGTCCCACTCTTACAAACTAATAGTTCTACACTGTTTTTAATTTACAATACAACATTTGGAATAAATAATTTTAATGCTATTTTCATACATACCTGGTAATTCAAGTTTTACTGATTATATAAAAATATTGAAGTTTTAGTAATGTTTATGATTTAACTTATGCCCAATACTCCACTTCATATGTTAAGAGCTTCAAAACTTCACAACCATTTACAACCAGGAATCTTGCTATTCATAAACATACAATTTTGTTTGCTTACATAAAGAAATTTGAGCTTTTAAATTGATCCAGAATTACTTACTTGTGTTCTTGAAGTTTCTTCCTGAGTTCTTGATTCTGTTAAAAAGAAAAAAAAAAAAAAAAACATTTTACCTCATCAGTCAATTAATTGAAATAAAAATATACAATCAAGGAGATGAAGTAGTATAACAGAAGTAAACAAAAATTAAGCAGATAAATGGCTAGCAGTAATCATTTTTCTTGTTGTAATGTTACAAAAAATCTTGCTAAAAACAAATTCATCTTCATGCCTATAGTATAGAGTATAGAGAATCTACCTCTATCACACTAATTGTAATTATTACTTTTCCGGGAGTAGTTTTTAAATTCTTTCAAATGAACTTTGCATACATTTACTGTACGTTCGCACATGTATTTCTGAAGGGACAGTGATTTTATTGCAGGCTATACATTATATTATTCTTGCTATGATTATCATCGTACTACACTTTGATGCCAATTTAAAGTCATGATGAATTTCTTCTTTTTTCCCCTTTTTTCAGTCCTCTTCATTCAATGTGCAGCTACATTGCGACAAGACAAGCTAGTATGAGCAATGCATAGATGTGAACAGTGAAGCTTCTTTGTGAACCAGGGTCCCATTGCACAAAACTTACCATTTATGGTAACTTTGACATCAATGGTAACTACCATGGAAACCTTGATTTTGATTGGCTGTTGAGCCCTGTTACCATGGTAGTTGCCATTGATGGCAAAGTTACCATCAATGGTAAGTTGTATGCAACGGGCCCAGAAGTAAAAAAACGGCACCAATCACCATTAATAGCATAACGATAGTATGAAAGTGTTTGCAGAGCAAGGAAAAGCTGGTACATTGTGTCAAAGAAAGTGCAACTGCAATATCTTCTATCAAGAAAATGAATATGAAATCATGGTTGTATTAATGTCCCTGCAATTAAGGTTCTTGTATAGATTGCAGCACTGTAGCAGCTAACCCCCCCCCCCCCCTCCCCACCGGAATCGGTATATGAAATCTGCACTGCAATCGCGGTAGATGTTCTTGATGCCACAAGTTGATAAAATTTAAGTTTTTAAAAAAAAATCTTTTTACTAAACTAACAATACCAAGAAAATTTAAAGCCTTCTTAAACCAATAAATGAAAATAACAGATAATGCATGTAAATCGGTTTTGTAGTGATCTTGTGAAATGCACTCAGTATTAATGAAATTAATTATTCAGATTTCAAAAGGCTTTCGGTAAATCATTTTGATTATGACGAATAGCAAGGGTCATTACACTAACATTTTGGGATCAATGAAAATATATTTAATGCCACTGAATATAAACATGATTATGATAACATAAGTATTCAAAGGCAGAAAAATGTAAAAGCCATGTTATATACATGTATGTAGAATAATGATATATAGTAGTACAGAGATGGGAGCTATCTGTGATTATAATAAACAAGTGTATGACTGGTTTCATTTTCTCATCAACTGAAACCATTAATGGATTGCGGCTGCTAATGAAAAAGGCTAGACATATCGTCCTTTATATATAGTATACATAATGGCAAGGAGTACCATACATGTATGTGGATTCTAGTTTGATTTAAACCAAGCCATGGAACAGAATACTTTCAGATTATACTTGTAGGGTATAACTCTGTTAGAGCACAACAACAAAAACTACAAATGAGAAGAAGAATGAATGTTTTTTCTACTCCAAAATATTATAAAGAGCAACAAGTTTTGCATAGATGTGAGAAGTTCCTGGAAAAATAACTTTGTTTAAAGGATGGACAGAAAATTAAAGCAAGGAAGTAAAAGCAAACTGTAAATACAAATACGAAAGGGAGAAAGAAAGAGAGAATATATATTTGACTTATATCAAGAGAGCTGAATGATGAGACTGCCACAATATAATACAGAAATTCACATCAATGTAAAGCAAGTTTTGAAAATATCTTTTCTTCTTGGTAAAAGCAGTCACACAGCAAGCAACAACAGGAATAGACTGCCAACTTTTATAAATAGACAATGGAATTGTTTTTTTAACACCAAATAATGGAATTGTTTTTTAACACCAAATTATGAATTATAAGACCTAAATAATGTATCTAATTCGGACTTAATGGGGCAATTTACCCCGATTCCAGTATTCTTATCTATACAAGTTATTCTATTTTACGTCCTTCGAAATAAGAATGGGTGTGAAGTATGACAAAACTTTTGAATTGGTTACACATTATTTATCCTTACTCATAAATTTGCATGTCAATCCCTTTTTATTCAAAGCATGGGTTGAATATTTCAATATGAAAGGAATCTCCAAATTATGTTTTATCTTTACTTTATTTTTCAGTCTTCAATTAAATACCATGATAACTTTTGTAACCCTGTACCTATTCACAATCTATCGAAACCTTCCGTTTCCATAATCATTGGATGCGCACGTAAAGCCTGCATATACATGTATGTGCACTATCTCCACTCCCTATACAACATTCTGTGACAATGCAACAGAAAAATGCCTGCATGCATACATGCAAAGCATCGACAATTCCATGCGCGAGTGCATTGTCATTTTCCTTGGTGTTTCTTCATACAGACGACTTCTCTAAGTGGAAGAGACCCCTTAACCTCAAAGAAATAAAGCTATAAAAAAGATCATGGCAAACAGCACTGCAATAGCTCCTACATGACTCTAGACACACATTAATAGCAAAAGCAACATGGATGAAAGGAATCAAATCTCAAATAGTCAAGTCATACTCACAAACTGAATGATTGGTAGAAAGGGGGTAATATAGAGAGCGGCAGCCATATTGGATTGAAGGGGAGGGGGGAAGGAGGATTAAAAGGGGGGGTAGGAGGATTAAAAGTGGGGTTGGGGTTGGAAGATGCAAGGTGGAAAATGGGGAAAGTAAATACAAATGCATAATAAATAATACAAATCAATGAAACATATCAATTAGTCAGATATCATGCATGGATTATTCAAAATGAAGTAAAGAAAACATGTTAGTATAAATATATTTGATAAATAAAACATTCAAATGATATCAAAATGAATAACATGGCTAGTTAGTTAATTTGTTAATGGAAGTCTTTCCCATCAAATATTTTAGTTTTAAATGCAGGAGAGTGCAAAATTAGCTAATGGGTATTCAAAATGTATAAAACCAATTTACAAATCAATTATACACTCTGGTATTTAAAGATAAAAGTATACTAAAAAGTGAGAAGCTCAACATTTTCAACATATAACTTGATATAGAAGAGATTGTCTTACAGTTCGATTCCACTGAACATCATTAAATGAGACACAATAAGCCAACCCATAGGAAACATGTCTAGACAATTATTTATGTATCGGTCTACACAAATCATCAGCTGAGCGCCAGAAGGGCATTGATACATTGACTTGACAGAAAGGGACATGACTTAATGCCCTCTGCTTCTTACCAGATACGCATGTACATAGAATATATTCTTTTCCAGTATGTGCCCCAAAAGCTCTGCCCCTTCCCCCCCCCCCCAGATTAGCAACTGCTTACAATACTTTGTACACATATTCACATAGTTTAAGCCTATAAATTATATCTAGACATTAAATAGGAATATTGAGTATCAGGTTAGCTTCAAACAATTTCTAAACAATCACACACAATCTAATCACTGCTTTTACTCATAGCAGAAATATGCAAAATCATATTGAACATATTAAAGTTCAGCAGCAGAAATTAAAAGGTAACTATCTTTGCATAAAAGAAAGGCAATTTTCCACAATGTGCACTGTCTTCACAAATATATTTTTCACTGTGTAAATCAAAAGGATGTGAGTCCAGATAGGTTTGCTAGTTTCAAACAGTAAAACAAATCAAATAATCTTGCTTGCAGATTTTCATGAATCTTCAGAAGGGTATGTTGTCTATTAAATGTACATGTCTTCAATGGTATGCATTCACTGTAATTAGTGTTAATTGATTAATCCAACAGCAAACATGGCAGTTTTTCAATCATTCGTATATTAAGTTATTTTTATAAGACCATTTCATGTATGAGTACAAGTGCATTCAGACTACTGTTTTTTTAAATATCCTTTACTGATCCAAATGCACGCTTTTGGGAGATCATCGTTTCGGTAAAGACAAATATAGGTCTAAATAAAATAGTGAATTAGATATATCAAGCTTTATATGAATATATTTTAACAGTTTCACAACCTTGAGATAAGGAGGCCCATGACAAAAACACATGTTTACATACAAATGTTTATATTCTGTTTGAAAGACTAATTCAAACCTTTATCAGGTAAATCAAGATTAACATATCTGTATTTGAAGAGTCGTTTTCTGAGTTTAAAGGGTTTAAATGATTTGTGAATTCATGTAACTTTACAGCTTTACTCAATAATAAAATCATTATGCATCTACTTTTTGGAGATGATAATGTGTATATTCCTATGGCGACTGAAAATAAGGATAAATAAAATGGTGATATATATACAAATATCATCCATGAAAATATATTATACTATGGACCAGTGAAAGTTATAAATTATAATATTGAGATTAAAAACAAAACGTATTATACATGTGAGTGCATGTGAGAGTTATGTCTTGAGTAGTATGCTATTGTAAAAGCGAACAACTAGAAGTAAATAATATTACCCATGAACATTATGTAGTGGGCCAATGGTTATTGGTAATGAAATACCCCTAATCCCATTTTTAATAAATATGATTATATTGGAAATGAAATAGCCCTAATCCCATCTTTAATAAATATGATTATATGTTATGTATGGTGTACATGTAAATACCAGTATTGTTGCACTTTATTACTACACTTTATATGCACAAACTGAGTAAAATATGTGAATATAAATCATTAAACTATAGGTTATGGAACAGTATTAAATCAAGATTGAAAAATATACTAAATGTTAAACATATTCAGAAGCAGCACAAATTATAATACACCAGTTAACAATTAAATATTCTAGAATAAATCATGTGCTTGGCAGACTTGCTCAAATAAATTTTTTGTTAAATTTTACCTTTTGTAATGAAAGGATAAAACAATAACAGAAAAAACTTAATCTTAACATCTATCAAGTTGGAAAATAATATACTCCGGCAGCCCACTAAGTCAACGATACAGGTGTGTACGTATAAAATGGAATGTGTTGTGTAGTGTTGTGTACACATCGGCTATGAAAAGTCGCACACAAATTTGCATTTTTCTAAAAAGTACATCTCACATGTACCATCACGCTCGTCTGCCAAGCACAATAAAAGTATATTAATGCACACATGTACATGTACATATCATATCGGGTTATTATGCATATACCATTACAATCATCAGCTGCTGAGAGCCAGAAGGGCATTAGATCAATTGAAAGCACTTAACATATGACCTTATGACCTTATGACTCTCAGCATAGGACATACAGTTAACAACTAAATCATTCACACCCCTCTTGAATTTGATGTTTCTTTTTAGTTACCGGTATCTGTAACTCAAGGAGTAAAGGTGGACTGTTTGAATTACGACCTTTTTTTAATACTTTAATAGCGAGGGCAATATTTTGCTCCCACTACTCAAACTTCCCTTTAAGTTTTTATATGTTACATTCTCAAGAAACATAAATCAGAACAAATCAATTTATCATATACTTAAAAAATTACAAAATTTGGTAAGGGTATGAATAATTTAGTTGTTAACTGAACATTATACATGTGCATGGGTGGTTTAAGTTGATTAAATCATAACATCATCTACGATATGTGGGGTTAGTATAAAGCAGTCATATGCAGGCCAAGAGGCAACACAACTTTCCAGTGAGCATGGTGGGGGGGGGGGGGGTGTAAGAGTGGGGTGGGGGGAGCATAACACAGGGTAGTGTACCTCATTTGACATGTCTGCGATCGATGAAGATGATGATGGTGGTGGTGGTAACTTTCCCGGGGAAGACTGCAGCACCGCGAAGAGAGATTATTAGAACTCAGAGGAGTTAGTACCTTGTGGTATACATGTACCCTAAGACTGAGAAGCAAGCCCACTCTGACCCACTCGGCATGCATTACAGTCCATACCACATGATCACACTTACATATCGAGGGTTCAGTGACTCGAAGACGTAACTCCATATTTTGCCAAAATGAGTATTTGATATCAAAATGATCAGAAAAATGTGGGCTTTCCAGGACACACAAAGACTTAAATCCATCCAACACCCCATTGAAGTCAATGGCTAGTGAAAGATAGACTTAACTCCTTAAGGCCCAAGTGCTCAGTGAGACATAAACCAGTTTTTCTCAAAATAGCCAAAATGGAGTTACGTATTTGTGTCACTGACCTCTCGATATATGGACACACATGTAGAGAGTACAGGTTAAAGGAGAAATTTAGAATTTGATATTCTATCTTTTGGGTCATAGATTTCAAATACATCCCCAGACGTATCCCAAATATTTTCTTCCTACAGACCATGTTTTTCATTTGGATTTTGATCTATTGGACATAAGAATAGATAATCAGATTTGTTTTCAATGTTTGTTTTCAAAATAATGACTCTCCCCGGAATAAAAGGAAAAGTATTCTGATAAATATGCATGAATAAACATGTTAGTGGTATTCCAAAACCAATGCGTTAGTTTATCCTTGGCAGCTAGAATATGCCTGAAATTAATCTTGAGTACTAATGGCCCGATATTATGTAAACTGGTAATAAATACTTTAATGTTAGAAATATGACAGACTGAATAAAAGAACAGATCTAATCTACAACTACATAATATATCATTCATAGTACAAGTTACAACACTGCACCATATATTTCATACACAAAAACATATAATAGCAAGAACTGTATTTGTAGAGTAGCTTGTTGCATGCTAGTAGCATCAGAAATTGTAATATGAAAGTTTAAGACGATATTGATCTTGGTTCTGACAGAGGTGGTGTGGGTTGTGTTTTGTGTGAATGGCTCTACTAGAAATAGAATGTGCACGGCTCAGCTGATGCTGTGCCACCACAGAAAGATATATGTGGGACTGAAGAGAAAAACTTACTTCTCCTACGACGTTTGAGGATACGCCTTCTCTCTGTTGCTGTTGTTTCAATTCCTCACACTCTGCTTCGAGTGCCAGTATACGCTGATTACCGATTCTTTGGAAGACAAGATTAAAAAATAACAAAATGGTTAACAAACTTCTCGACGGTCTGTTAAAGGCATCGTTTAACAATGTTAAATCTGAGATGCATGGCCCTCCCTGATATCAGTGTCTGTGATGCCCTAAAAAAAAATCTCGCTTCAAAATGATCATGAAGTGCCTCAAAAATTAAAAATCTTTGAGTGACCGGTTTTACCATACTCGTTTTCCCCAATAGACTGTAGTGTTATGAAAACCATTAGGAAAATGCAAAAATTTGATTTTGATTTCCAATCATAAATATCTTGATAATCAGATAAGCGATCGGCTTGTAAAAGTCATGGGGTTCCTGACTGACCTAAAGGTCTATAATTATCATTGCAGCATGAGCTAAATTCATGATTTTGTTTCAGAATCTGAGACAAAGTTACCCACTCCCTTTAAAGACTGCAGTGACAACTACTGACTTTTCGAAGGAATAGGTATAATATGAAATTTAGTGTAGACACAAATTTACTGGATAATTTGCGATCGAGATAGTTCAAATAGCGGGATATTTGGCAATCTGAAGCTGATGAAAACAGGCCTATTGTTCACTGAATGAGAGGATGCTGTCTCACCTGTTCTCAGACTCCAGGTCATTTTTCCTAGCGTTTGAATCTTCTAAGAGGCTCTGTAGTAGCTGCGTCTGCTCATCGGCTGTCTCACCTTGCTTCATCTTCAGCATCTTATTCTCATGCTGTAACCGAATCATCTTCTCTCTGCAATAAAATCATATTAAAGATGGTGTCATTAAACAGGGAGATGTGACTTGGTCTAGCGGCATGTTCACTTGGTCAGCTCTCTGTCTCTTCGCCTACAAACTGACTCAGGCGACCCCAGTTTGAAACTGAGTCACATCTTTCGGATGGTGACGTTAAAGGTCGGTCCCCAGACGTAAATAATCATATCTGATTGATACACGTCTGTAAAAACCAAATTACACACACATGGCACTTGCAGTCATTCATTGAATACAAATGCAGGACAGAACGTTTTGATACCGAAGGAACAATATGAGATCATATTCAACAAGATTCATTTCAATTTCCATTCTGCTACCAGAATCAGAAATTGTTACAAGCAGTTAACTACTGAATTCCGTCAATTCCCTGGGCTTACTACAGAAACCACACAAAACTAATCTACAGACAATCGGTCCTTTTGGTTTACCATTGGCTGAAAGTGAAACCCTTGGTAGTACATTGTACCTGACCTCAGGTTTTAACATGGCAGTGACCCTGGCAATTCTATCTCAGGACTGTCTACTTCCCCGTAGCTACTCAAACTACAGATTATCTTAATCCTTTGAATACTAAATTCTCTGATTCTTTAAGCTTTAATACAGAGATCAACCAGTTCCGATACAATGGGTTACATAGTAATTTTATTACAGATCATTTTAAACATTGATAATCAATGGAGGCACAATGGCTCAGTGGTAGAGCAGTGGTCTTGTAACCGGGAGGTCCCAGATTAGAAACAAGTTGATGCGCTAGTGCCTTTCAGAAAGGCATAAATCCTCATTACCAAGTCCCTCGGAGAGGACTTAAAGCCGTCGTTCCCCTGTTTGCATACTTACAAGCATGCACATGCTTTCTTAGCAGTCAGGTAAAACAAACGAACCAAACCAATCGGACAATGATTCTTTTGGTTCTACCAAGGTCTGAAGAACCCTTGGTCTTACCTGACTTCCGGTGGTAACATGGCAGTGAGACCTGACGATCCTAGCTCTGAACTGTTGACTCCGCCTTCACCAAAGGCATTCCCTTGAAGCTGGTTCAGTGTCAGTTCTTCATTGGTCTCCTTCAATGAATCTCTTTCTAGTCTGAACCTCTGTACAAGAAAATGATAAGAATGTATGAATTGGAGCTCTCTTTACACCTGGGCCCTGTTGCACAAAACTTACCATTGATGGTAACTTTGCCATCAATGGTAACTACCATGGAAACCTTGATTTTGATTGGCTGTTGAGCCCTATTACCATGGTAGTTGCCATTGATGGCAAAGTTACCATCAATGGTAAGTTTTATGCAACAGGCCCAGATATTCTGCTGATACTGTCATGAAAAGAGATTAATATCAATAAGCTTGTAACACTTCTTTTCATTTGCCATGGTCACTCCTGTCTCAATCCTGATGGGTCAACAATATTTTCATGATCTTTTTTAGCTGGGGATGCCAATTCCAACCTCCTTCACACAAAGATTCACATCCTTAACACAGAGTGACACTATGGAACTTGGGAAATAAAATATCGGACATGTATTATGAATATGCCCATAGAAGTTCATATTTTGAAAGGGTTTAGGAATAACTGCTTATTTATTTGTTATGTATTCATACAAAAATCCTGCATTACTTGTAAAATGTAATAGGAAATTTTTGCTCTTTGAAAGAGAACTTACACCATTTACGCACAGAAATACACATACACTGCTCTTTCCATTAAATTGCACAAAGTCAAAGAAAGATAGTCTTACTCCAGTTCTAGATAAATATTAAATTATGCTACAGTAAAAAATGGAAAATGTATCCTTAAATATCACATTTTAGCGATGTAATCGGCGGTCCCGCTACCCGAATCTGAAAAAATTGAATATCTTGCGCGTGCATTCAAGGAATATGGGTACCATAAAATGAGCTGTATTTCAAGTATTTTTCAGATTTAGAGCATAAAAAGAGTGAAAGTGTACCTCGGCTTCAGCTTGGAGTTGAGTTGTTTTCTCTTGCGCTCTGGTGGCTTCAAACTCTGCCTTGTCTGCTCGTCTTGTTTCTTCAGACATCTTGGAATGGAGCTCATGTACCTGTCGCTTGTAGGTTTCTAGTTGGCTCTTGAGTGCGTTGGCCTTCTTCAGCTCCTACAATCATACAAATCAATGCCATAGAGAATTTATAGAGCTGAGACCTGTTTCACAAAGCCTTTTTTCAATGACAAATGACAAAAATCATTGACAAATCTGTAGATAACCAATCAGAAGCAAGGATTTCAGTAGCTTACAAAAACTGTCATTTGTCACTGATGACAAGTTTTGTGAAACGCCCCCCTGGACCATCTCTTGAGATGTATCAGATGTGGCACTAATGTCCTTTGGTATTAAAGACATTAATCTACATTTGCCACATTTAACCCAGGTGAGGTAAATGGGTACCTGGTAGGATTATTCCTTGAAATGCACTGTGCGCCGATTACGGCTGCCGGAGCTAAAGCTAGGGTAATAATTTCCAAAGCTCTTTGGAAGGCATAGGGATGTTATATAATGTGATATGTGCTATACAAGAACTGAATTTTATTATTATCAACTTTGTATTAAAGAAGATAATAAAGATGAAGAAGTTAATCACTGTATTACATTATATACGTACCTTGAAGTTTGGTAATAGTCAAGTTTATCAATACTTTCATAGATATGTTTCCTTTCTTTTCTTAATTTCTTTGTTCGATGATAGTTAAAGGACTTGATCATTCTACCTCGGAAGAAAGTACTGCAATCTAAACTATTGTATCTATTGTAGTTTAACACAGGAATGAAGCAGAGCAGATAAAGAAAGACACATTTCAAAGATAGATTTAAGTTACTCAATGAACTAGTTCAGTAACTTCAGTGTAACAAGTACTTATCAGACCTTTCGTGATTTCAAAAGTAAATGAAGGTTCAATTAAAATGTATCACTGTAAACGCTGTTATTTTAGCATGATTAATTTTTCACGCTGAATGACCCAATAAAAACGCTGGTTCTTAAATTTGTGTTGCACGCAATTCAGTCCGTTCAAAAAATGCATACGAAGTCATGCTTATATTTTTCGCAAGTTCTAAAATTCGCGTTTGCCGATTTTAGCTGGAGATACACGAAAATTAATATACCGTGAATATTTCTACTTTTACAGTAGTACTTTATAAATGAACTATTTTATAGGAGAATCTTTCAAATAAAAATATTCATCACACTTTATGAAAAAGAGCTTGAAAATAGATTGCAACTACTATTCAACATCAGAGCAAATTGCCATACAGACCAACAAATCTCTACTTCTTCTTTTTTTAAAGAAAAATGAAAGAGAAAGATGAAGAGTCTACGAATAAAGGAGGTATCTCACTGAGCGGCGAATGCTTGCAAATGTAGCAAATTTGGGGTTTCGCCAGGGTTCGTAAAAGTTCCCAAACATTCACAAGTAGTGGCAAAGGATTGGTAACTACATGTACTTGCTCGCAACAACTGTCGCTAAAATTTGCTTACAGTAACTAATAGTCGCCGACTGCCAAAATTCCCCAAATTCGCAATGTTCGTAAGCAATCGCTGCTCAGTGAGATACTCCCTTTAAGAATCCCTGATTTAGCAACTCACCTCTTCAAGTTCCATGGTGTTCTGCATGTACATGATGTTCTTGTCTTCCAAGAGCTTGACTTGTCTTTTCAGGTCTCCAAGGTCTTCCAGCTTCTTCTTGAGCGTGTCTATGGTGCCTTCGTATTTGCTGACCTTGTCCGAGGTATGCCTGAGAATATCCATCTCATCTTTGAGAGAGCGAGCTTCTTCTGCTAGGTTCTGTAGCTGCTCGTTCTGTGGGTCAGAGGGAAAACAACTTTTTGTGTAACTTCTACGTGTATGTACCGGTTCATATGAAATCAGTGAAAGTGAACAATATACAGTAGGCCTACGGTTGCACCATGTGAATGAGAGGGGAGGATCGGGGAGTCCTGAAAAGGACTGTTGGTAATCTTTCTTATATAGTCTTAAATAGGACGATGGTAGTCCTAAAGGGAAATATATAGGATGGGTAGTAGGAGGGCTCGATGTTTCAAACAGGTTGACTTTCCGTCGTCAGGAATGGGGGGATACATATTACTCCTCCATACCATAATCTACATGTAGCTCACATCAATACAGTACTACATATTTTCTAATATTATGAAACTTGTATCATTATAATAGCATTTCTTCAAGGTTATGCCTGCACGGATTGAATTCCTGCCTGGGAAGAGCACATATCGTCGCACGGCTGGCAGAAGGGCGTTAGCGCGCGATCGACTCGAAAACTACTTTTCGAGTTATTCGCATTTAAAGATTTGTTTTATATTTAAACTGCTTTCCGTCCCGAAATTTGGTTTAAAACTTAAAAGACTAATAGAAATGTTAAAGCAGAACACGACAAGACATTTTTTCCCGGAAATAAGTCAGTTTTATAAAAGTTTGAGGCGATTTAGTGCTAACGCCCTTCTGCTTAACGCATTATTGCGCATCTTCTTTCATGCTAAAGGGCGCAAGCCGCGTAACGCCCTTCTGCTTTGAGTAAAATAGATACGCTTCGGCGCGTAAAGCTTATAAAAGGGCGTAACGCGCATGGTGTAGCCCGGATGGAGCGTGTTGTCATTCAGACTTTCTGAAATAAAAAACAGACGCATGCAATTGTTTGTGATGATAAAATATCAAATTTGATTTTTCGTTTGCTTTTGTTTTAGCATTAACTAATAGTATTAGGTTATGCTTTACGGATTTCGCTTCCAATATTTACAAAAAACTCATTAAATTTATCAGCAATTTATTTTAAATCATAATGTATCACGACAATTTATTGACTATTATGCAAGGGTAATTCTTAATGTATTAACCAAGTACATCGCTTATAATATCCAAGGTATTTTTCATGTTTCCTTAAACCTATTTGGAATTTCAAATAGTAATAATTACTTTATGCTGATTTCCGGAATGTATTCCCATGATTTCGAACTCTATTATATTTCCTCTTATTCGTATCTCTATACAAAGAGGTCAATATATTCAAAGAGTAATAGAGTAAAAAATAAAATTACACTGATCACATCACTCTGCCCCATCCTGATATTTATCTTTAATCCTTCACAGGATGCAGGAAAAAATTAATGCATTAATTTGTTACAGAATGCCCTTTATGTCTACAACTGTATACTGTACGTTGTGCTTCATATGTGATTTAAGTTTGATTGGATATTGTTGTCAATGATCAAAAGTATATTTGTATACTTTTTTGGGGGGGGGGGCACACCAAGCACTATGTACAATTTCTTCTCAATTCTTTCTCTTTCTGTCTCTCTCTCTCTCTCATGCAAACAAGAACATCCCCTCACTCTCTCTCTCTCTCTATTTCTATCGATCTCTCTGTCTATCTCTCTTTTTCTTTCTCCATTAAACACATCTCATAATCGTTTGTTACCCCTCTTTTGCAGTTGCGTGTCTATCTTCTTGTCGCATTAGTCATTTCCATTCTAGTACATTACTCTCTCGGACACATTTTTCCCATGAACAAATGTAACTATATAAGAATAAACGCAAAATAGCACAAAGCAATCAAATGTTAAGATGAACACTTCCGTCATGGTTATGACTGAATTTATTTCTTTGCAATATAACTGGAATCCTTTTTGTACAGTTCATTTTACAATTCCATGTACAATCATTCAAAATTGATCAATCATAATGAATCATGATTAAATATAAAAATTGGAACTTATCTGTAGCACATGCTCATGGCAGAAAGAACAACATGGTAGCTCTCAAAAGAAAGTTTTGTATTCTGTGTTGAATCTGTTCTAGCTCTAGTGAGCTTTTGTAGCATAGTTTTAAAAACTGTGCAGTAAGTTTACAAAAGAGAAAATACTTGAACAATATATCAGCATTATCAAAGGCAAATAAACAAAATTGTATGACAATAAGTGAAACTGTAGCACATGTTCATGGCAGAAATTACAACATGGTAGCTCTTAAAAGAACTTTGTGTATTCTGCAGTTAACGTACTGTGCAGTAAGTTAACAAAAGAGAAAATACTTCAAAAATATTTCAGCATTATCAAAGGGGATACAAAAAAGTATGACAATAAGTGAAACTGTAGCAGCTGTTGGGATCTGCAATACGTTTCCTGGCTCTCTTATTCTGTATTAGAATAAAAAATATAAAAGTGGTGGACAAAATATTAGTTTAACATATTCATGCTTTGAACTGTACAGAGTGCAAAATTCTATAAAAGTAAAAGTACTGGTGAAGGATGAAGGAGTCAACACTGCAGCAAGTCAATGTAAATGACTGTAACCTTGCAATATGACTGGCATGCTTCTCTCCTTTTGCTTCTCCTCTCTTGCCTTGATTTAATGAACCAATACATTCACTCTCTCCCCTACCCCACCTTTAAACCCAGCCATCATCAAGAAATAAGGGAGTGAAAGAGAGAGAGAGAGAAAGAGAGATGGGAGGAGAAAGAAGAGAATTGCAGTACGTCTGCATGGTCATTTATCCCAGAACCCCTCCATCAGAGGGAAGCAGAGCAATTATTCCATTTACTCTGTCTAAAGAGATGTACACCAGCCATTTTCTGGTACAACAAAAATACATTTATCTTTTTCAAAGAAAATTCTCCACTCCCTGGGCAGAATTTGTAACAGGCAACCATTTTAAAGCTTCAGACTTTTACCTCACATTGTTCAGGACGTTCTCCAATATCTCTGTGTAGAAGCCACTCTCTGTAAAGTACACAAGAATAAACTTTATGACATAGAAATGTAAAACCCATTTTTGAAGTAAATATTGTAGGAGAAATAAATGGTTCAAAAGTTAGCTTAAGAGGTTGTTGTTTTGATTAATGAATATTGTAGAGGTGTCTGCAACAGCATAATTCCAACAAACTGACTTATAATTCCTAAAGACAATGCCCACTGTAAACTACAAACTCAAATTGGTGACATTTGAGACATTAATATTTTTCAGTACTACCTTCACTGTCTGCTTGGATAACTTGAAACTATGTCAACTGTCTCCTGCACTTCGATTGCTAAGGGAACAACCGTCATCAATTCCAGAACTGTGTCGATCGCTGGATGATCTTCTGAAAACCTCTCCGGAATTTGAAGTAGATGCTATGGTAGTAAAAATATGTAAAGCCAGGAATAATATTATAAAGAGAGCACTGTACTATTTTGTAATATAGTTAGCATGATACCTTCATCTTTCAGCTTTGCCGCAGTCAAAACTTAAATATACCGGTACCCATAATCAGGGGAGTGCCACTTACATTCTTTTTTGAGAACTTTTTGAACATATCCTGAAATTGTCATGGCAGCAATGACTTTAAAGTTAACGGTTTTATTGTTTTTGTGATTTTAAACAATTATCAGGGGGGGAGGGGCAGATACTTTTAACTATTGCAACATCTTCAAAAAATGCAAGCAAACTAGCAGAAACAGCTTAAGGAATAATGTAGCAATTATCATGGATTTATAACTTCTTTTTGACCATATCAATACTGTATAAGGGCTTTACGATAATTTATAAGGCATTTTTAGTGAAATCAACATAACGCTAGTTTAACTTACAGCATAGTTATTGTGGTTTGCACATGGGTCTTCCTCTTTGAAGTGGTGTTCACACAGGGAAACAAGACACTGGGAGCATGTACTAAACACTTCATGTAAACATATGAAATGTTGACACATTTGAACTTCAATGAGGCATGTCTATGAATAAAAAGAGAACGTTACAAAAATATAGAAAACAAAGAAAAACTTGAATATCACTTCATCAACTATCTCATTCTGGTATATTAATAGGCCTAAATAACTAATATCATCGGTGGGGTGACAAAACCTTGTATCTCAAAAATCATGAATTTTCAGGAGAGCGAAAAAACTTTCCTGTCTCAACAAATTTACCGCTGTGACACCGTCTTTTCTTTTTAAAACTGGAATATTTATACAATTTGTAATGTCATTGTTGAAATACAGTAAAATAATAGTTTTTATATTTAAAAGTGAGTTACAAGGTTTTTGCGTTTATCTACATTGAGATACAAGTTTTTAGTTTTTATTCAAATTGAGATACGAGTTCTTACTTTCAACTCTGAATGAGTTACGAGTATTTGGTTGAATAAGTTACGAGGATTTTAATACACTAACTTCGGTACTGTTAGGCCGTGTGTGAGTTACGAGAAAAAGGGATTACGTATCTTATGTTACGAGGTTTTGTCAGTGCAGCTTCAAAGGGGGTTAAAGTTACGAGGTTTAGTTTAAGGGTGTTTGTGTGGAATTTGTAAAAAAACAGAGAAGGCGTTCCATGGATTTATCAGGTGGTGTCGTAGGCCATTAGGTACACAAATTGACATACAAGGTTTTGTCACCCCACTGACGATATATTTAACTTTACTACATTGAAAATTTGATGAAAACTATTTTTAAAAATGACACTTACTGCATATGAATAAAAGCTAACAATGATCATCAAATAATTTTGGAAAGTATGTAAGCCAACAATGTTTCTTCGTGACATTACTTTTCATTGCTTTACATCTCCATCATAAAGCCTACCGACACTCGGTTGATCTCGTATAGGTCCATGATGTACAATGAAAATTGTTCAGAAATATTCATTTAGAAATCATGATACTGTATAGCATTTCAGTTCAATGATTGCTGTCATATTGTTATCAAACCAAACAGAATAGTATGTAGGCCAACACTGTTTCATCAATAGTATCATACATTACCTGTCATTGTGACCCGACATCTCCAAAGTCAAGCCTTGGTTGATCTGGTAGAGGTCCATGGTCTACAATGAAAATGATTCAGAAATATTCATTTAGAAATCATTATACTGTCAGGGGCATCGCTAGACCTTCTTCAGTGGGGGGGGGGGGGGGGTGTAGAGGCCAACGATTACTGACAAAACTAGCCACCAATTACCGACAAAATTAAATGTCCCAATATCTACAAATTTAACCCTATAAACCTGGGGTCAAAATCTAAATTGTTTTTCATATGAACTATCTATAGTACTTGTGTATGCGCAAATGGTCATTTTCCTCGACGACATAAATATACGAATTATTTTGTCAACTAATTTGGTGGTCACATCCCGCCGTACTTGCAAGTGCGTGCTGTCTACGTGCAAAAACGTGTGCAAAATTTGGGTATCGGTACGTGGTGAGTACCGCCTCCGTACGGATTTGGGAGCACGCAGACACACCGTAGCACTTTTTAGGGAGGGGCGGTAGTGGGCAAGCGTATCATTTTTAATTGGGGGTGGGTGATACGCCTTAGAAAGCTTAGACGTTTCCTTAAATTATTAAGAAAATATGACAATTTATTGTACCATCCTCGACTGTTAATCCGTGTCTGAATTCAGTTTCTCCACCTTTCGCGGAAGCATTGACGTTTCATTAAATAATGAGAAAAGCAGACGATTCGGTGTACTGTTCTCGACTCTTAATCCTTATCTGAATTCAGTTCTCCCCCTCCCGCACGAAGCGCCAAAGTTTTGATGTTTCATTTAATTATTAGAGAAAGTAGACGATTCGTTGATATGCTCGACTCTTAATCCGTGTTTGAATGAAGTTTCCCCCTCTCGCGTGAAGCTTGGTAGTTTTGAAGTTTCATTAAATTATTAGAGAAAGAAGACGAATAGTTGGGCGTTTTTTACTCTTAATAAGCCCTAATTGTCTGAATTCAGTTTCCTCCTTTAACGCGAAGCGCGAAAGCTTTGACATTTCCTTAAATTAATAGAGAAAGCAGACGATTTGTTGTACCCGGCGTTTGCGACTCTTAATCCTTATCTGAATTCAGTTTTCCCCTCTCGCGTGAAGCGCGGAAGCTTAGACGTTCCCTTAAATTATTCGAGAAAACAGACGATTAGTTGTACCGTTTTCGACTCTTAATAAGCCCTATTTGTCTGAATTCAGTTTCCCCCTCTTGCGCAAAGCGCGGAAGCTTTGAAGTTTCCTTTAATTTTTAGAGAAAGCAGATGATTTGTTGTACCGTTTTCTACTCTTTATAAGCCCTATTTGTCTGAATTCAGTTTCCCACTCTCGCGCGAAGCTTTGACATTTCCTTAAAGACCGTCAATACTACTGGGCCAGAAGGGATTAGACCACACAGCGAGGTCACTGAGAGGTGGCTATTTCATTAACTCTCAACTAACATAAGAAAAAGAGGATCATGGGGGACCAACGGGCACCAATTGGGGAAGTTTTCTATAAAGAGGGAGCAAGTAGCTACAGGTAGGACAGTGGGGCTTAACATTATTAGATAAAGCAGACAATTTGTTGTACCGTTCACGACTCTTAACCCTAATTTGTCTGAAATCAGTTTCCCTCCTCCTGCGCTTTCGCGCGGAAGTTTTGACGTTTCCTTAAATTATGAGAAAAGCAGACGATTCGTTGTACTATTCTCGACTCTTAATCCTTTTCTAAATTCGGTTGTCCCCCTCCCGCGCAAATCGCGGAAGCTTAGACGTTTCCTTAAATTATTAGATAAAGAGGACGATTCGTTCTACCGTTCTCGACTCGTCTAAATTAAGTTTTCCCTCTCGCGCAAAGCGCAGAATTTTTGGCGTTTCATCAAAATATAGAGAAAGGAAGACGATTCGTTGTACTATTGCTGACTCTTTATCCTTGTTTGAATTTAGTTTCCCCGAAAATTTTAAACCTCTGATTTCTTTAGCTGATATTATAGGAAAGTGAAACTTCTAGAAAATACAAGTTTTGTAGTCGTAGTCACTCTCGAAGTCATCGCAGCGGATAAAAAGTCACATTTCGTAGGGAAAAAAACTTGTAGCCGACCGACAATATAAACCTCACCGACTTCAAACTTCTGCATTGATATAGTACATGAGGATCGAGCAAGAATACCGACACAGCTGACCCGACACAGTAACATATTTACTCGTGTCTTTCTTGCTCCCTCGACGAGACGACTCCACCCAACAACCCCCTCTCTCTTTTACTCCCACTCCTCCTCTCTCAGGCTCTTACCTCCCCTCTCTCTCCTCTCTTTCACCCGCGTTTCTTTTGTTTCCCCCTTTTTTGTTTGTTTCTGTCTTCTCCTTCTTTTCTCTTTTTTCCTCTCCTCCCTCTTTTTCTTTTTCTCTTTCTTTCTTCTCTTTTTTTCCCTTTCTTTCCTCTCTTTTCCTTTTCTTGTTTTTCTTTTCTTTCCCTCACTTTTTTCCCCTCCCACTTTTCTCTTTTTTCACGAGGGCAGCGCAATTTTACCGACAATATCCTGACAGGTGGGGGGGGGGGGGTGTCGTGTCCCCCCCCCCCCCTTTGGAGACGCCCCTGGATACTGTATAGCATTTCAGTTCAATGATTGCTGTCATATTGTTATCAAACCAAACAGAATAGTATGTAGGCCAACACTGTTTCATCAATAGTATCATACATTACCTGTCATTCTGACACCGACACCGACATCTCCAACGTCAAGCCTTGGTTGATCTGGTATGCTGTCATCATCACTTTCCTCAGACTCATCATCCACTGACAGGACAACTCCCTCCCATCTCCTGCCTTTCCAAGGCATGAAGACTTTTGTCCCTTTTATTGGAATACAGGGACATTGAATATGTCTCCATACACTACCACGTTTTTTGGAGCCATCTTTTTTCCACTGAACAAGCAATTCTCTTGTTGGCTCCATGCTGCAGCCTACCTGTGCAAATCCTGACAAAGTGAGGGAAACAAAAGGGTTACATTAATTTTGACTGAAAGTAGATCTAATCCAACTTACAAGCTACTTTACAATTGACCGTCCCCAATACTTGTAGCGGAAAGTAGAAACTTGAGTTCTAGACATGCAACTATCATTTGAGATTGCCCTTGATTAAATTTGAACAAAGCCACTAAAAGACAAAGGTATCAAAATTCAAACCATTCTCCTTTCATATCTGTAGACTACTATCATTTTTGCAAATTTAATTTGAACAATAAAAAGTATTAGACCTCTAGAGTCTAGAATCTGCTTGCACTGTTGCAATTGGTATAATAATACCTGAATACGGTATACTACTAACAATCTGGCATTTATTTAACTAATTTTGTAGATCTACGCTAAGCTAGACCGAAAGCTTCAGTCTCTATAATCGTCGGTTGTTCCACTGAGACTACGTCTGGCTCCACTAGACCTCCGGTTATAGAGACTGAACGACTGCCTATGCCAGCCTGTGTTGAACTTATTCCGCTAGATTTTAGCCGCTAGGCCCCTCCCACAAACTTGCCACGGCCGTATTGTTATGCCCCCAAAATCCCCCAAAATGTCATTTTACCTCGTTCATTTCCAATTTTAAATTAGGCCTAGGCTATAATACATCGGTTCCATTTACTAACTTGATTGATATAATCCGTTTAATGGTCCCTTTTAAGGAAATTATCGGTCAAAATCGACATCCATGTTGAAAATCTTGCAAGCCGTGTTAAACTCTCGCTGCCGTCAATCTCATCCCTTCTAGTCTACGCCGAAGGCAAAATGATTATGAAGGAAAAACTGTGCGCCATCTACACGTTCGTAATGGCGTTATCACAGTTTTTCCTTCATAATCATTTTGCCTTCGGCGTAGACTAGAAAGGATGAGATTGACGGCAGCGAGAGTTTAACACGGCTTGCAAGATTTTCAACATGGATGTCGATTTTTACCGATAATTTCCTTAAAAGGGACCATTAAACGGATTATATCAATGAAGTTAGTAAGTGGAACCGATGTATTATAGCCTAGGCCTAATTTAAAATTGGAAATGAACGAGGTAAAATGACATTTTGGGGGATTTTGGGGGCATAACAATACGGCCGTGGCAAGTTTGTGGGAGGGGCCTAGCGGCTAAAATCTAGCGGAATAAGTTCAACATAGGCTGGCATAGGCGATCGTTCAGTCTCTATAACCGGAGGTCTAGTGGAGCCAGACGTAGTCTCAGTGGAACAACCGACGATTATAGAGACTGAAGCTTTCGGTCTAACGCTAAGCATGCTTTCAAATTTCAATCCGTACCACTGTCTTTACAAATTGTTGTCTTGTCTCGTCTTTCCATGAGCGAAAAAACAGTGAAATGATTATCACGGCACATAGATCTATAGATTGACGACTACTCCTACATACTGTACATGTATCTTGATCTAACTGAACAACCTCACACAAACAACATCACATCCCGCACCCAACTCTACCGGAACTGACGTTTTCCCTCGGGACAGCTAGTATTAGTAACTGCGTGGAACGCACTTTCAAAAATCACCTTGACTTGGGGCTTGATGCTAGTTGCTAGACCTAGATCTACTTCATATTTGGAGGCCTTCAACTTCAAGGGAGCGCTTCCATTGCAACCCACTCCAGCAAAGCATAGAGTCAATGCCACTCAACATCCACCCCAGCACAGAGAGTCAATGATAATGCGTAATGACTCTACTTGCCCGTGATACCATATAAATCAATACATGGGGCAACGTATTAATTATCATCATTATACATCGCATTTTTACCCGATAAAATCAAAATATTCTAACGATCCTAATCATAATGTAATCAGTGTGACCAATTATATCAAATCTTCCAGATAATTTGACATTTACAACACGTTATTTAAAAGAAGAAGCAGTTATTTTGCTTACCACAGGCCTAGCAGACGTCAGCTTCGCGATAACGCCCTTCTGCTTTGATCAAAAGTTACGCTCGCGCCTAATATACAAAGGGCGTAGAGGGCTTACGCCCTTCTGCTTAGCGCGATATCTGACAGTTTGTGCTAACGCCCTTTTACTATTGTCGATTACGTAATCATTTACTTCGTTTTATGCCATCTCGATCACATCATTTGAAAGAGCTTTGAAAACTCTATTAAATGACATGAAATATCAAAAATCGATTTTTGACCTGAAATTCGAGCTAACGCCCTTCTGCCAGCCGTGCGACGATATGCTCAATTAGATGAAACAAAAGTCGTCTCGTTCATATCACTGTCACAAGTATGCCCATCAATATCGCATCCAAAAGACATCAGGTTTTAATGACTTGGTCATGAAGCATGCATCCCTACAGCATCTTATGAATAAAATAATCCATTAGGACTAACAAGGTGAAAGGAGCAGATGGCAGGACGTTACAGTCCAATGACAATGACAAGGCTTCTAAACAGTGACCACGAAGATGAGGCAAGCAATTCAGCTACATGTCTATTCATTCTATCAAAACAAATGAACCTTACTTATACACTTATACACTTATACACCCACAATCCCTCATTGAAATGCAAAACACAAATTTTCATTAGAAAACAAAATCACTTCAAAAAATCTATCCCAAATGTCCTCATTAAAGCATTTTGGTACATACCAATTGAAAAAAATAGCTAATTAAAAGATGTTTGCTTAAACCAGTATATAAGTCTAGTCATAACTCCTCACAAAGGTCAACAGTTCAAGGTTGAGATTCAATTCAAATTTTGTGAATCTGGACCACTCTTGAAGTTTCCAGATTAACATTGTACCGTGCACATGTTCATGCCATAACAGGCATGGAAGATTTACCTTATGAGTACAGAAAAAATTTGTAAATAATCACCGAAATTGAAGTAAAAGACTGTCACTTAGAAAAAGGGGAGCAGACTCTTATAAAGCATTTTGATTAATCTGAATCAAATTTGACTCTCATTCCCATCCCCAATCAACTGCAAGTCATTATACAAATGAATTGAAAATGGGCAATCCAACTTTCAATCACTTCATTTTAATCATATCAGGACAATTATCCCCTGGTCAATCATCCCCCGGAAAATAACCCCCCATAAAATTACCCCCCCCCCCCACCAAGGACAACCAACCCTGAGGACAATTACCCCCAATCCCTAAAATAAAAATTACCCCCTAGGACAATTCCCCCATCCCACCATTCATTAAAGGGGAAGTCTACCGTGATAATAAGTTTTTAATACAAGCAGATTTTTTTTTTTTTTTTTTTTTTTTTTTTTTTTTGGGGGGGGGGGGGGTTATTATAAACAAAAAAACATTGGGGGGGGGGGGGTACTTTGCCGGGAGGTGATTGCCCAGGGGGTTGTTGTCCTAGAACCCATATTGATTGCAACTCTTTAACAATCATGACCCAGAAGAGATTAGAAATCTTGTTTTACCTTGTGTACCAGCTCCATGTTCTCTCTCTGCAGCATGTCCACCTTGATAGTGTAGTCATCTCTGGTGCCCTCTATGCGATACATCTCCTCCTGCAGATGATCACATGTGGCCTGAAGCTGTTGATATCTCCTTCCCGCTGGAGTGCTGTATCGATAAACAATGGAACAAGTATTAATGCTTGAAGGACATAGATCCTAGAGCTCTTTATGCCATACATCTCCTCCTGGAGGTGATCACATGTAGCCAGGAGCTGTTGATATCTCCTTCCTGCTGGAGTGCTGTATCGATAAACAATGAATCAAGTATTAATGCTTGGAGGACATAGATCCTAAAGCTCTCCATATGATCCATCTCCTCCTGCAGGTGATCACATGTAGCCTGGAGCTGTTGATATCTCCTTCCTGCTGGAGTGCTGTATCGATAAACAAAGAATCAAGTATTAATGCTTGAAGGACTTAGATCCTGGAGCTCTCCATATGATCCATCTCCTCCTGGAGTTGATCTACTGTAGCATGGAAGGGGAAGAAGGAGAAGAAGGAGAAGGAGAAGAAGGAGGAGAAGGAGGAGAAGGAGAAGAAGGAGGAGGAAAAGGAGGAGGAGAAGAAGAAGGAGAAGAAGGAGAAGAAGGAGAAGAAGGAGAAGGAGGAGAAGGAGAAGGAGGAGAAGAAGGAGAAGAAGGAGAAGGAGAAGGAGGAGAAGGAGAAAGAGGAGAAGGAGGAGGAGGAGGAGAAGGAGGAGAAGGAGGGGAGGAGAAGAAGGTGAAGGAGGAGAAGGACGGGAAGAAGGAGAAGAAGGAGAAGGAGGGGAAGGATAAGAAGGATAAGAAGGAGAAGGACGGGAAGAAGGAGAAGAAGGAGAAGGAGAAAAAGGAGAGGAGGGGAAGGAGGAGGACAAGGTTGGAAGTGAGAAGAACAAAACACAGAGAGAATGGGAAGAGAAGAAGGGAGAATGAATGAGAAGAAGGAGAAATAAATGGTATGTAAAGAAGGAGAAGACGAATAAGGAGAAAACGAAAATCACAGAAAGTGCAAGAAACATATGAAATGCAGATGAATATGGGGATCAGATTATGGCAAAATGAAGAGGAAAAGAAGCATACTTGATATAAAATGATAATAAGTATATGATTCCTACCTTGGGTCTCCAAATGTATCTCCATGGTCCAGCTTGAGTGTGAGGTGTTCATTCTCAGCTTGTAGAGCATTCTTCTCCTCCAATAACGATGCAACCTACAAACACAAGTAAAAATAGATGTACATTTTAAAGCTGGTTTGTTTCTTTGTTTTTGTTTGTTTGTTTAGTTTGTGTTTTTTTGTTTGGGTGCCAATCATTTATATGTAACTAGTGTTAAACATTTAGTAAAAAACTTTGAGTGATTCTGTAAGGTTTATTTCCCTATCAAGACAACAAGAATCAACGATTTACATGAAATGCAAAAATTATCGCGTCTACTAACCTGATGGTCTAGTTCATGACACCTCTGCAAGGCCTCATCCTTCTCCTCAGTCGTCCTCTTGAGTTGACCTTCGACATGTGCTAAGGCTTCTTGAGGTGGCGGCGGCGAGGTGGATGCAATCTCCTTCGTCATGAGCTCTTGTATAGCCTCCATGACCACTTGCTGGACGGACTCCTCTAAACCCATGATAGTGCTGATGTATTCTGTATATTAAAGAGATAGAGTCATATATATATATGAAAGACAGTTGAATGTACCTTTTTATTTTCTCACTGCAAAAGTTTTAATTTTAAAGAGCATATGCATGTATATATATGCCAAAATAGTCCCCCCCCCCCCCCCCAGAATCCAAACACCATTTGAAACATTCCTGTAAAAAAAAAATTAAGTAGTAATTCATTTAAGGAGATTTCCCTAACATACTGTATTAGGAAATTTAGAAAAGAAATTCTCTTCCATACTCTAACAGCCATTCATCTGTGAATTAGATGTAAATACTTATACAGGTTCAATTGTACATGTTAAGTGAAAGACCACAAAGGTCAATTGCACTCTCAATTGTTTGTTAACAAAACAAAATAGCATGAACATGTATGGTACAAAGCTTATGAAACCTGTTATCATATGGAATATCATTTTGAGTTACCGCTATACAGGTTAAAAAGTCATAATCTATTAACTTATTGCACTTGTTTGAGAGAGAAAGAGAGAGAGAGCTAGAAAGAGAGAAATAGGAAGAGAGAAAGTGAGGGGAGAGAGAGAGAAAGAGGGAGAGAGAGAAAGAGAGAGAGAAAAAGAAAGAGAGGGAGAGAGAAAAAGAAAGAGAAAGAGAGAGATGCATGTGGACTCAGGGGATTTCATTGATTCAGGAAGTAGAATCTTCCACAGGAAAAGAGGTCTGATTAGGTCATCAAATCAAATCTCTAATAATCAAATATCTCATCGGAATTACAGTACTACTTGAACATTTCTTGGTCCAGTTTATGAAAGAGGTGTGGATTCACATAAAACCTGATGCTTATTTTATAATTTTTTATAAATATCAATTGCAAATGTTTAATACATATTACAATCCAGGAAATATGTACCAGTAAAAATAGATCTGCAGTATCCTAAAATAAACTACAAGTAAGCATGCCACGTAGGATTTTTTTTCTTCTTCAAAGCAGGGACTTGGGATATCCCAAGTCCCTGTTCAAAGGTTGAACTTGAAGCACTGGTGAAAGTGATACAAAAATATGTACAGGATATGTTGGATGAGGAAGTTTAATGTAAATACCATATATTGTAGGACAATCAATGGAAGCACTTAAATGGGAAGTAATTTTAAGTACATTATCAGACCTCTTTAAATCTACATGTAATTATCAATTCATGTACATGTAGAATGTAAATATAATGCCATTCCATTTCTATATTTTCAGAAAATGAATGTCAAATACTGTACACATGCAAGTTTCATACTCATGTACGTGTATTAACATGTCAATGTTTAATAGTTACTGGCACCAGTTGTATAACAGACTGTAGATGTACTGTACAATCAAGTTGGGAGATAAATCTTTACGATAAAGATTAAAGGGCTCTACAGTGTACCGGTATGTACTGGTAGTCTGGTGTGATACATGTACATAAACAGTAAAACCTGTTTTAGTGACCACCTGTCTACAAAGACCACATTTTTGTTTCTCATTGAAACATGTACTAAATGAACCTGTACATGTACATGTACATAAAGACCACTTTTCTTGTCTCCCTTGGGTGGTCTTTATAGACAGGTTTCACTGTATATCAAACAGGCCTACTCATTACATGCCCGATGAACAATACAGTTTCAAGTGTCAATCTACATTTGATGCTCCTTGATTGTATCCCCTTACCATACTCCACAGTCAACTGATCCTAACGATTCTCCATTTGTGAACGGAGCATAACACTTGATTGAATACAGACAATTCACACATGTCCCTTTTCATCTACTGTAGGTGTGTAATACTAATAGAGCACAGGCTTTTCAATGGATCCATACACTGGTAGTAATCAATATAATCACAATGCCTATTTACAGTGTATCTGGAGAGCTTAACAAATGGGCCATTGTTATTACTCCTGGGGGGTGTTTCACAAAGATCCTAAGTCGAACTTAACACTAAGTTGGACTTAAAAATTATGGACAGCCATTGGAGTCTTGAAATTAAATGTATTCAAAAGCAGATATTTAAGTATTTTAGACTTTTTATAAATTCCACATCCAGAACATGAAATCTCCTTGAGGATAGAAAATATGAATGATTTGAATCAACATTTTATGCCTTTCAAAATAACTTTTACAAAATATTTTCAAAGATGCTAATGGCTTTCCATAATTTTTAAGTCCAACTTAGAGATAAGTTCAACTTTAATAAGATCTTTGTGAAACACCCCCTGAAGGTAAACTAGGATCTGGTTCTAATCTCCCACCAGCCTAATATAGCTTGCATGGAAGTTGATATGTCCTCCTACACCATTTGCACGATAAAATAGTATTCTGCTCAGAGGGGTCAGTCCATTCAGATAGATGTGGAGCTGAAGCAAGATTGATTTTCATGGAATTGATTTTTGTTCTTCTCCCTTAGACCTGTATTAAATGTACATACATTAGCTCTATATTGATCTTTCCAGGGCTATATAAACATGTACATGTACATGTAATAATTTGGTAATATTTTCTAATATTTCATTTACTTATCACTTACAAATGTACAAATGTACACGACTACCAACTGATACAATGAAATACTCCACTCAAAGGCGAGGGGGCTTACAACTACAAAACACAAAATACCGTACATGTACATTTACATGTTCATGTACACAATTTTTCTGTAATATTTTCATTATATTTTTTTTCATATTTTGGCCCAGGCTAGAATGAAATTGCTCCCTATAGTCAAGCAGCACCTTGATTTTTACTGAGGGTCATTAAAAAAAAAAAAAAAAGATCTGAAAATGGCCCTAGGACCCAAGTCAAAATGTTTTTTTTTTTTTAAATCTCCTAGCCTAGGAGATTTATTTAAAAAAAACATTTTGAGTTGGGTTATTCAGCAAAATGTTCAAGTACTGTAGGGTCTACATACTGTACATGTACATTGTACATGTATGTTAGTAATTTGAATTCATGCTAAAATAACAATGGTTATGGGAAGAAGTGTAAGGCCTACATGTCCTACTACAGCTAAATTAAAACAAAAGTAACAGGATTCTCTTTCTTTATGTTGAACCAGAATGTTTGCTTGAAAGTTTGCAAAACAAGGCTGCCATTTGATTGGGCTCAATGATGCAGGCGTATCATGTCAAAACGTCCTCTTATTTTCTTCCCAGTTGGTGGTAATGCATCATCTCAATTTCTTGCTTGGCCTCAATATGACCTTACAGACTGCTGCCATGTTCAAGGTGTTCTGTTATTGCCTTCCTTTCAATAAGCATCATTCACACATGATAGTAAACTGCCTAAAATAAAACCTTTGCTGCAAAACTGGGTATTAAAGCCTGTCTGCACTTGTTTGGCCAGGAGGGATTAGACCACCCAGCATGGTCACTGACTGGTGGTTATCTCATCAAAACAGCTCTCAATTAACATTAGAAAAAGGGGATCATGGGGACCAGCGGTCACCGATTAAGCACTGTTTGCTACATAGAGGGCGCAAGTAGCTACAAGTAGTACAGTGGGGCTTTAAAGGTAAAGACCAGTATTGGAAACGCCTCAATTTCAAAAAATGAAATGGAAGCTCTCATTACCAATCATGTGAAAGAATATGTTTTGACTAATACATGATGATAACAAATTTGCCGGGGAAACCGCCTACTAATTCATATATTTGGTAAATTTGTTTCTCTCATTGTCTGTGAGAGATATAGGGTAGTCCCATATACATCTTTCTGTGTATAGTGCTTGTAACTTTACGAAGAATGGGCAAAATTTCTTATCATTTTGATGATTCCAGAACCTTGCAGATGCTAGATGCTAGATGATCGATTCCACAACGTTTCTTTCACAATGCAATCGCATGACCATAACTTGTTTTTACCTTACATGGTGTATATAGAGGTGGTTAATGAAATCATGTGTGAACTACGCTTGAGGATCACAAGTGACTGCACATCCAGTATCAAAAGTGCACCTGCCCTCCTCCAAGGGGGGTTCAATGTGGGTAGGTACATGTTCCCTTACTTGACCCCCAAGGCCCAACTGAGGTCGACCCAACTAAAACTAAAAGTTCATTCAGTTCACATGTGAGATGGGAGACCACTTTACAAAAAAACATTGCAGCAGAATGAAAATGCAGTGCGCTTCATCTTTCTGTACATTTTATCACACATACAAGTACACTGTAGGTGCATCAATGTACCTGTAGGGTCTATTGATGTGCACAGCCATGATCATTTTACTTTACCCTTGCCATCCATTTCTCATTTCAGATTTTGCTGGGATGGTTCGAAGGTGTTTTATTGACTTGTGTGTGGATAGCACTCAAGGGTGATCAAATTTCCCAAGTGAGCATGGGCCCTGACTGCATGTAAAATATACATGTATATTCACAGTGGTTTTCTTTTTCTTTCCTTTTTCTGTAATGGTCACAGTCGACTGTACCTCCCAGTACAAACATAACAACCTGGCGAGATCTTGAGGTTGATCTTGATGTTACCTGATCTGACTTTTTAAGACGGCGTCATCGTTACACATCAGGGGGGTGTTTCACAAAGATCCTAAGTAGAACTTAACACTAAGTTGGACTTAAAAATTATGGACAGCCATTGGAGCCTTAAAATGAAATGAAATGAAATATATTCAAAAGCAGAAATTCAAGTATTTTAGACTTTTTATAAATTCCACATCAAGAACATAGAATCTCCCATGATAATGGAAAAAATGAATGATTTGAATCAACATTTTATGCCTTTTAAAATAACTTTTACAAAATGTTTTCAGGGATGCTAATGGCTTTCCATAATTTTTAAGTCCAACTTAGAGATAAGTTCAACTTAGGATCTTTGTGAAACACCCCAGGGGTCTTCTGTGCAACCCTGCTAGGAGCAGGTTAATAGAGTGTGGTGAAGTGTGATGTCATCAAAAATATATTTTTAGAATTTCTCAATTTTTTCTTTATTTTCCGAAAGAGCATAAACAAATAATGTTGAAATGTCGAAAACCAGTTAAAAAGGTTAAGTATTGGCTGAGATATACGTATGACCATCTGACTGAATAAAAACATTTCCCATAGGAGCTCAGTGTACAGTGTTATAATGCTCTGGTTCATATCAACATTAGGAGCCAGAGCAATATAACACTGAGCTTCTATAGGAAATATTTTTATTCAGATGGTCATATCTCAGCCAATACTTAACATTTTTAACTGGTTTTCAACATTTGGACACTATTTGTTCTGCCCTTTTGTAAAATGAATGAAGAAAAAAGTGAGAAATTCTAAGAATATATTTTGATGATGTCACAGCTTCGGTACTCTATATCCCTACAAATGTGAATAAAGTCTTACATTTATTGTACAGTATGCTGCTATTCATGGTGTCTGTAGTATTAAAAAGTTACCTTCTTTATGATCACAGTTGACTGCACATCCCAGCACAAGCTGCAGTAACCTGCCAAGCTCTGTGGGGTTGGCATGTTCCCCAACCTGACTCAAATCAGGCAGCTGGAAATCTGTCAGCTCCTGACCAAGCTCCTAAAAAAGAGACAATTAAATCAAGAAAATTATAATTTATAATAATACTATACAAGATTTGTAAGGCGTGGAATCCACTTTATAGCAAATGCTTGAGGAGCACTCATCAAACAAACACAAAAAGAGATCACATAAAAGCATTTGCATTATAAACTATTAAAGATAGAACATACAAAAATGACAGAACAATAAATGCCAAATCAAACAGATAAGTTTTTAAACACTTCAACTGATCTGCTATTATAAATCTCTTGAGGGAGAGCATTGCACAAGCACAGATTCTTTCACCACTGAGCATCGAGCTTTGCTAGGAGGAACAAGAAATGCAGAGTTGTGGACACAATAACATAAAAGCAAAAGAAATTTGAAAACCAATGCGTTCACTCATGAGCAACGAAATTGAGTGCTTTGAGAACTGGTGAGATGTGACTGTGTTGAAGAGGGTCACTATACATGTACGAGCAGCAGCATTCAGAATTATAGACATTTATTATCTTTTGCAAAAAACAGAAACTTTTGCAACTGGTTGAAAATGGCAATATTTCCCACCAAAAACTTTAGGAAAGGTAAACAAAAAATTAAATATTGTGAAACTTGTGATTCAGTTAAGTTTTATCCTAAAGTTTCTGAGACTTGAGTCTGGGCCAATCGTGAAATTTGAATGTTTTTTTTTTTTTAATGTAGGCAACTAGGCAAAATGTTCTGGTTTTGACATTATTGTAGAAGTTTATATTGATTCTTGGGTCAGGAGAATGTAAGTTTATACAAGTCATGACCTCTTTCCGAGAAGAATTTATTTAAAAGTGAAAATTATCATCCAGATATTCATGCCCGGCACCCGGTTTTCTTCATGAAAGATACTTTTACATGTGGTACACTGAACATGTATTTAGGCCAGAAGACAGTTGCAAATTGCATTAGTTTTTGTTTTCTTTTTTCCCCAAACAGGAAAATCAGTAAATGTGTACATGTACAGATGTATATGTAGTTAGGCATGTACTCATTTTGTAGACGTACTGTAATACTGTATACAAATAAAGAACACAGTGAAAATTTACAACTATAAAGCAAGGTTATAAATTAAGTCATTTCCTCTCTCAAACACATGTGTTTATGATCATTGGTTTTTTCCAATCCATCAGACTCTGATAAAATAGGGCATAGTGTCTAATAAACAATCATGATTAGCTTGTACAGCGTCTAATCCTGCCTCCATGTCCACACACAAAAATATTTATCCCGAAACTCTATAACGAAACGTCGTATAAAGAATCATAATATAAATTTCAAAGTTTCCACACACAAGAAACGTCATATAAATAATCATCGTATAAATTCAAGGATGTCCATAAACAGCAGAAAGTAATCCTGAAACTCTACAGTCTGGTCTCCTTTCGCTCGAGGTCATGTTAAGCCCCGCCCAGTTAGTTACACTAGTTACACTCCCCCTGTCCACACACAACATTTTCCGTGATTTGGCGTGATTCTTTATTGAGTTTCAGTTCGAAACGATGCCCAAACCTGCGTTTCGTTAGACTAGTTTAGTTATACGACATATCGTTAGTGAGCGTCCACACACACAATTTCATCGTAAAACTATCGCGAAACGGTATCACTATCGCGAAACAGTATAGCTAATCACGGAAAATGTTGTGTGTGGACAGGGGGTTAGTTGTCATATGTTGGCAAATGGGTAGACAGAGCTTGGCAAACCAACAACACTATTTAGAATTCCTGAACAATTAAGCCTACAGTACTACATGTACATGTACATTGTATGTCATGTTGTAGACTACATTTTCATCCTACAGAGTGTGTGACTTTTGATTACCGGTAAATTTAAAGAGCTTTACTACAGTACACGTACATTTTGTAAACATCCATGCTTGTACATGTACATGTATACTGTGTCTACAAATGTACATCACTTTATAGTCCAAGTACATGTACAGTACTTTAGTCTTTACATTCTGTGGCAGTCAACTTTGATTGCAAATTGATTTTTTTTTTCGCTTGCGTTACTGTCGTCTTTGCCTTCCATCGTGTTTGCAAAATTGCTCGAATGATGCTGAGAATTGCTCTTGAGCCAAGTTGAGGAATGTCGATGGTGTAAACTCAGCCAATTCAACTCCAAATGCAGGTGCTACACATACACCCTTCATTATTATTTATTTCATTCACAATTGTATTCAATGCACAGAGCCAGTCACCCATATTACAGTGTACACTGTACACCTGTACATGTCAATAAAGTCAGTGAAGGGGGAATAACTACCTTCCTTCTCATAAACTCGTCCATGGGTTTGGCTATCTACTCATGTTGACTAGAAGTCAGTTTATTTCACTAGTAGTTGCAGTGCCTTTGAACAGCATTCTGTATTTAACATGTACATACATGTACATGTACATTATACATACATGTACAAATATACAGCAGATTTTCAAAATTTTGAAAACACAGATGTACATGTACATGTTCATATGTATCTGATCCTAATTTTAAAAGCCCCTTTCGAATTGATTAAAGGGATCCGGTAACTTTGTCTCAGATTCTGAAACAAAATTCTTGATTTAGCTCATGATGCAATGATAATTATAAACCTTAAGGTCAGTCAGGAACCCCTGACTTTTACAAGCCGAACGCCTGTCTGATTATCAAGATATTTATGATTGGAATTACAAATTTTGAAAACCGTTCGCCTGACAGTTTTCATTACACTACAGTCTATTGGGGAAAATGAGTATGGTAAAACCGGTCACTCAAAGATTTTTACTTTTTTGAGGCACTTCTTGATCATTTTGAAGCGCAATTTTTTAGGGCTTCAATATTACACCATATCACAGACACTGATAACACGTAAAGCCGTGTATCTCAGATTTAACATTGTTAAACGATCCCTTTAAAAAGCTATTACATCCATCATCCATGTACAAATTTATTTTGTTATTTAGTTTTCTTTATAGTCTACATTCAGTTAATTCTATTTCTTATCATTTGTTTTTAACTTTTATTCATTCAAGCTTTCACACTTACACTGTACATAAACATGTAATTCATTACGTATACTTTCTTATAAATTTGCTTTGTATTCCATTATTGGTAGGTTAATTTTACAAGTTTGAAGTTACATGTATATAAGTTGAAAGTTTACTGGATATCTCAATATAACTTCATGCCCAGAACATTTAGTGGACAACATCACAATGCCAACAAATGTCTCATGAATTTGTTTACAAACAAAGATCCTTCAGAACTACAGACAGGACTCTGGCACTGCACTACATGCACTACATCTCCCATGAATGGGAAGTCTGCTTATTAATTATGACGTGTAATACCTGTGTCTTAACAAGATTATAGATCTATTTTGAGAGTAAATCATGTTCCCTGCAACTTCTTGCTCAAAGATTTCCCTCTCAGCTGCCCTTCGTGTACATGTACAATGCACATACATACATGTAGTACAGTACAGTACTGTACATGATACTACAGTGTATTTCTATCACAGCAATGTACTCTGCATATATCACCAGTGCCAATTTCATGAAATGTGTCCTACATGTATATGAAATATTTTCATCATGTTATCTACTTGTCTTCCATTTAATCATAAAAACAGGGAAAGAAGATCATTTTGTGTGACTGTTTTTTTTTCTTCTACCAACATTATATACATGTGTATGTACAGTGTAGGCCTACTATTAGACAACCAACAACAAACTACCCGGTAAGTCCCTGATGTCGCAATCTCCCATACCGATACAAAATTAATGTACATGTACATGTAAAAGTAATAATAATAATATTAATGCTACATTTACATAAAGTACATTACATACATGTACATGTAGCTCATTATTACATAACTGTACAACCGTGTATAGACTTTAAATGTACATGTACAACTTTAGCAAGTAAAAAACTTTTGAGCAAATGCTAAATGCCTGGCTTTGTACTTGTACATTGAGTGATTTCAAGTTGGGTGTTAGTGTTAGTGTTTAGAGCATTCAAGAGCTCTTAAATCGAGCGAAAATTTGCTGATGAAATTAAAAGCCCGATACCGATATCAAAATCGATAGCTTAACACCAGCTGTGACGTCACCACATACTTGATTTCACGACGATGATTTAAAAATAGTACATCAAAACTAAAGATATTATGAAAAGTACAGAATAAATTTACACCTATTTCTCTGGTCTTATAAAATAACTCATTTTAATAAAAGAATATATGAATTACCTGTTTCACATATTTTTATTTGATCGTCAGACAATAAATTGGCGTCGTTCGTGCGTTGACTGTGTGTGGGTACAACACTAACACCGAAATGGAAATCAACATTTGCTTAATCCCTAGGGGCTAGTGTTAGTGAATAGGACATTTGTACGTAAAATATTAACACCAGCCACAAAGGTCGGTTCAGCAGACGACAATTTTGCAAAATCCATAACACTAGCTACCGGAAGTTGATGATATTCAGAGGTCAAAGCCTTAACACCAGCTGATTTCCATTTCGGTGTTTAGGCTGGTGTTAGTGTTTATTAAACACTAACACCAGCCTTAAACACCCAACTTGAAATCACTCAATGTCATATAAATACACAGTGTACATGTATTTTACATGTACATCATAATAATAATAAATAATAATAATAATAGCCTAATAGTCCACTCCAAATTTTATTAAACCGAAACGGAAATTCACATATATCATTGATCGTCAGTCCTGATGCATCCAGTAAACTTATTCTAACTCAAAGAAGTACTTCAAACTTGAAAATGATGACAATGTGAATGGTCCCTAGCCTGCCACTTTCTCCCAAGTGCAATACACAGGAACTTGGTTAATCGGATGCATTAGTGGACCAAATCAGTCAGGCAGTCAGGCAAGCCAGCAGATCTATTTTAAGCCAGAGTCTTAAAAATAGACCACACTGTCTAGTTTCTTGCCTAAAATGTACACATCTGCCACTGTAATACATCTATCAGCCACAAGAAACCATTTGACAATCTTCGATATGAGATCGGGTCAAAATAGGGGCCAATTCCACATGAGAAAAATTATAAATCTCCACACAATTTTTACAAAGTTGGTACATTACATTGTATATTGAAACCAGGCAGTTCCTACATGTACATGTATATGTACATGTAATATGGATGTACAGTGTACAGTATGTGTTAAACAAATTAAAAGTTCAAGATAAATAAAAAGCATACTAATTGTGTGTGTGCACTGTGCAAAAATTGTCTTTATTACACAGGGTGTATTTTAAAAAGAAGTTAAAATAATCTTAATTTCTTTTATAATTTTATGAAATGTCACAAATTTGGAAGAAAGCCTTTAACCACAAGAAGTGTAAGAGATATTCTTTCTAATGTCTAAGCATGGCATACATGTATGCAAAAATGATGATTTAAGAGCTTCCATGTTAGCTACATTGTACATGTAGGGCATCACCTGACCCTACTCCAATGATATCAATCAACAACGCTGCTACATACATGTACAGTCAAACCTGCTTTAGTGACCACCTGTCTACAAAGACCCCATTGTTTGCTTTCCCCCTTGAAAATGGTTTCTCATTGAAACATTTAATAAAGGAACCTGTCTACAAAGACCACCTGTCTACAAAGACCACTTTTTGTGTTTCCCTTGGGCGGTCGCTGTAGACATGTTTGACTGTACAGGGTGTATGTATAATATGTGGGCCTATACAGTGTAGGTCATTCTTGTGTAAATTCCCTGTCTGCAATTCACCACTGTGAACACACTTCTCTACTAGAGTAGAGATGACCACTCTAATAAATATACAGGATGCGTACCAATAAGATCTTTCCTTCCATCACGAATCGAAAAACATGTTTGCGTGATTAAAGTGTTGGCACTCGTGTGCAATTACACGGAAATTACGTGCATACCCTACACTGTACATTACATTCCATCCAGATCTTTACGCTCTCAAAACTCCAGATTTCATGTTATTCCTACACTCAATGCTAAGTGGGAAGAAAGAACCTTTGCTCATGCAGGGCTTTCGATGTGGAATGCTCTCCCTCGAGAGATTCGTAATAGCAGATCAGTTGAAGATCAGAAGACGAAAAAGAGATATAAATTATATTTTTGTACAACACACGGGAGAGTTTTCCCATGACCACGTCACAATCAGGGGTGATAATGAGAGGGTTTTTTAAAAAGTTTTTAGAAATTCGAGCGCTTGCACGCCGCGTTCAAGCAAGTCATGAAAAAACAGCTCACCTCCCTAATTTTAAACAGGATTTATATCGATCTCGGGGACTATCCATTTTTGGAGAACAAAAAATCAACAAAAAATCCCCCAAAATCAGGAAAAAAGATAGTAAAATCAGGAAACCGACTTAAAATCAGGAAAAAAAATAATAAAATCGGGAAACCGATTTATATCAGGAAATTACCAAGCCTACACAATCCAATACCAAATTGGCAATTGAGATTTGAATGGATTTAGTCATTTTAGTGATCTTATATTTCAAACATCCGAAACACGCTTATTATTAGCCAGATTTGTGTCAAACTTTCACCATTCTGTTTCTCTTTTTGTCTGCTTCTATACCAGTGGAGTTATTACAATGGATGGATTGCCCTTTAAGACCTCCTTAATACCCGAGACTGAGAAGAAAACATCTCATCATCACCTTGACCTCTAAAGTGATAAAGAAAGGATTTCCCCGTTGTAAAAAGGATTAGCCAATGATGTAATGAAATTCTCTCACTTAACTCCTATCCTTGTTCATTGAATATCTACATGTACATGTGCATTGTGCCTGTTGAGCCCAATTTTTGGTTGACTAAATGGATTATTCACTGAAGCCTTTGAAATGTTACCAGCAGATTCTCATTTAGAATCTTACAAGAACTGAGTCATCTTTTGTTTGGAATCTGTAGACGGACCACAGTGTCACACACTATAGAGGCTGGCCAGGCTGCTGTATTACAGACCTGTAGAAGTTTCATAGTTGTACAATATTCTCACACTTAATATTTGTGCTGTTCAGCACACTTGGGCAAATACCCTGCAAAGATGCAGGTACATGTATGTCTATAAACCTTCAAATACATTCATGAATATTATCTCTTCCAAAAATACTGCGGCCTTAATGCCGGCAAATACGGTAGCGCCTTTTCCTTGCGGTTATAAAGTGCTGAAAACACTGCTCCACAACTGAGCGTTCAAGACTACATGTAGAGATTTAAATTATTTTGAAACTTTTTTTTCTTGAATTGACATTTATTCTACTTTTGACATCATGTAGATCTATGAAGGAGTTGAATGCTACTCACCTCATTGTAAAAGTCGAGGATTCCCTCTTGGACCTTCTTGAGGTTACTGACTCGTATCCTCCAGCTATCGCCAGCATCTTGCTTCAATCTACCAAACCAGGACGGTGTGAAGAAAGATGACCCACTTCAACATCAGAAAGAAAATTAAGAAAAAACGAAGAACATGTAAATCAAATAGTTATGAAAAGTAATAATAATGCGATCAGTTTTGCCTGGATGCAAAAAAAAACAGATGGCTTGTACTGTAGATAAGCAAACTGAGGACCTGGAGCTTAAACTTGTTTTGATTGGTTTGTCTGATTTTTCTGCTTCTATTGAAAGTAAGTTAATTTTGGAGTGGACTTGCCCTTTAAGTCCTATTTGTCAAACTTGAATTTGATGACTAATGCCTTACACATAATGAGCTAGCTCATGGAATTTGTTTTGAACCCAGAATCTCCCAGTTAAAATGTTATTGAGCCTTCAAACCTTCTCCAATTTAATTTCATAAGTACCTGACTACCTGTATGTTTAATAGACAAGCACTTCGAAGGAGGATAACACAACTGTAAACAGTTATGATATGGAATTTTTCATACATCATAATGATCTTCTTTGCACAACTGACGATGCCCGCACCCTCCCCCACCCCTAAGAAATTTAACTGTAAGCTGTAGTTGGTAACATTAATTACTCACATTATCTTTATTAAACTATTCTAATAACATGAAGCCTTTCTCATTCATACAATAAACATAATGCATTGATCACAATAAATATGACTGTATTGCAAATCAAAGAGACAAAATCTAAAGCATCCTGGGTTTTACCAGAACATTAACTCTCAGTTCTTATGATTTTTTTTTTAAAACTGCATACAGTGTATACATGTACTGTCAGTGCACACTCTTGATCAATTTTTATTATGTAGGTCACTACCGTAACTACACTACACCCAAGTAGGGTGTGGTGCATGGAGGATTGCGAGAGAAGCATTAGCACTATATCCCAATGCTGATGAGTATCATTAAAAATAATCTTTCACTTGTGATGTTATCACATACCACAAAAGGCGCATCTTCATCATCTCGAGATTGCCAAATAGCCCGCTATTTCTGATTTGGGAAATAATCCCGAAGTAACAAATCACGTCTTCACTATCTCGAGATTCGACCTCGAAACTTGAAACTCGACCTTGAGAAATTAGCTCGAGACATTTTGCTCAGCGTTAGCGCATATTGCGAATCTTTGGTCTAGTGAAGACGCACGGGACAAATAGCTGGTTATTTTGCCAAATAGTGGGATATTTTGCAAACTATCCCAAGATATCTTGGGATGACAATCCTGACCAAATATCCTTCTAATTGCTACTTCGGTCTGATGAAGACGCAAATTAGCTGGATAGTTTGCGATCGGGATAGTTCAAATAGCTGGATATTTGGCAATCTCGAGATAGTGAAGACAGGCCTAAAGTGTATTCTCCTTATTGGGTTAGAAATATCAGAGACAAAGTCAGAATAAATTAAAAAGAGAAAGGGGCAAGAAAGAGAGGAAGACAGAGAGAGAAGAGAGAGAAGAGAGAGACAGAGACAGAGACAGAGAGAGAGGGGGAGAGGGAGAGAGAGAGGGAGAGAGAGAGAGAGAGAAAGGGCAAGAAAGAGAAGAGAGAGAGAGAGAGAGAGAAAGAAATACAAAGAGAGATTACATAGGAAGGTACGCCCCCTAAAGGGCAATTATATAAATGTTTCGTACAACTGTACAGTACTTACATCTGGCATAGAATTTCTCCTAATGCTACTCCATCAGTTAAATCCTGTATCGTCTCACTGGGTGCATCTAGGTCAAACGTTTGAACCTGAGAGAAAAATCAAAACAATTTAAATTTAATCAAATAGTGCATATGTACAGTATATTTATGATATACTTTCCAGCATGAAAATAGAAAGCATTTTAATGAAAAAGGCTACAATGCGAATGCGAAGGCTGTGATGCTGATGGGCCTGCCCAAAAACGAAAAGTTTGACAAATTTCCAAACAGATGACATTTACACAATGTACAGTGTACATGCAAGTATGGGTTGGCCACTTTGATGACTCCACAACACAAGCCTCTTGTTCGAAGGAAACCCAAACTTAAAAGGGAATTCCACCTTGATATCAAGTTGTGTTTTTTTTAAGGCAGTAGGAGCAATAACATCAAAAATTAAAATCCTTCTTTGCAAGATTTTTAAGGCATTTATGAAGAATTATATCTGGAAAGATTGGGGGACCACTTTTACTCAGAAATTGAAACGCAAATTTAGAATGCTACTGATTGGGGGAGTTGCAGGAAGAGGTCTAGATTCTAGAAATTATCTCTTATCATTTTTTTCCCTTCCTCTCCTTTCTCAATGTTATTTCTTTATGTTTTCACCACGCTGGTCCGAGAATGAGGTTCGGCTGCATAAACGAGGATATATTTTCGTAAACGAGTACAAATTGCGTCCTTTAATTAAGATTTGTCTGCATTTTTCGCAGGTCTACACATTTTTTTCATCAGTGCTCTGCGGGTTTCGGGTCCCCGAAGGCCCGACCTTCGCACCGACGATGCAACAAAAAAAAAGGATTCCGCGTAAGAAAATAACCCCAGTTCATCGATCTACTTGTATGGGTTGACCGTCTTTCGTAGGATTTATCGCTCATAACGTCAAAGTCTCTGTACAAAGTCAATGTAAAATGCATCAAGAAAATCATCGCGGCTGTGGAATCCATTTATTCGCATCGCCAACACGCGGATTGGAAATAGGTCTAGATCTAGAGGGATCTAGGCTAGACCTAGATCTAGAGAGTAGTCTAGACCTATACTAGAGCTCCAGTTTTCGGCCGATTGGTTTGATGCATGGTAAAATCACATTAAAATACATGGCATAATAGCACAACACATATCCCACACATACCATACCATGCCAGTGTCACTGAGACACTGAAGAACCACATTTGCAATGAAAAATATATCCTAAAATATCACATTTTAGCGATGTAATCGACGGTCCCGCTACCCGAATCTGAAAAATAGAGTATCTTACGCGTGTCTGTAAGAAATATGGGTACCATAAAATGAGCTTTATTTCAAGTATTTTTCAGATTTAGAGCCCGATTTTGTGCTAGTCGCAAGCTCAAAAGTATCTCATCGCAAGTATTAAATCAATGCAGCCGCACACCGCAACGCACACACGATATCTCTGTCTAATTCAGATTCCAATTTCCGATCACGGCAGTACTAGTTTTCGGTCTGGCGAGCTCCGGGGAGCTCCGGCGTGGGATACCTGCTCTGCCCGCTAGTGCTATAGATCAGCGCAGAAACGCACGGCGCGCGCACGCACTTCCTATTGACTTTGTACATGCGGCCGAAAACTGGTTTGCTATGCCGATAACTGACTCCGAAACAGTGAAAATTGAAATGAATATTGTCATGGCAATCCGTGATTTTTTTCTGGGATTCTTTTTTTGTTTAAATAATAATATTTGCTTCATGATTTGAACAAGAAATGATAATAAATAGGAAGTAAAGGGTCCAAAAAATAGGATTTTGTCTTAAGTGGCCGAAAACCGGCTCCTTTAATATAATAGACCTACATGTAGACTTAGACCGAAAGCTTCAGTCTCTATACCGTCGGTTGTTCCACTGAGACTACGTCTGGCTCCACTAGACCTCCGGTTATAGAGACTGAACGATCGCCTATGCCAGCCTATGTTGAAGATATCACGGCTAGATTTTAGCCGTTAGGCCCCTCCCACAAACATGAACAAACTTGCCACGGCCGTATTGTTATGCCCCCAAAATCCCCCAAAATGTCATTATACCTCGTGCATATCCAATTTTACATTAGGCCTAGGCTATAATACATCGGTTCCACTTACTAACTTGATTGAAATAATCCATTTAATGGTCCCTTTTAAGGAAATTATGGGTCAAAATCGACATCCATGTTGAAAATCTTGCAAGCCGTGTTAAACTCTCGCTGCCGTCAATCTCACCCCTTCTAGTCTACGCCGAAGGCAAAAATGATTATGAAGGAAAAACTGTGATAACGCCATTACGAAGGTGTAGATGGCGCACAGTTTTTCCTTCATAATCATTTTGCCTTCGGCGTAGACTAGAAGGGATAAGATTGACGGCAGCGAGAGTTTAACACGGCTTGCAAGATTTTCAACATGGATATCGATTTTGACCCATAATTTCCTTAAAAGGGACCATTAAACGGATTATTTCAATCAAGTTAGTAAGTGGAACCGATGTATTATAGCCTAGGCCTAATGTAAAATTGGATATGCACGAGGTAAAATGACATTTTGGGGAATTTTGGGGGCATAACAATACGGCCGTGGCAAGTTTGTTCATGTTTGTGGGAGGGGCCTAACGGCTAAAATCTAGCCGTGATATCTTCAACATAGGCTGGCATAGGCGATCGTTCTGTCTCTATAACCGGAGGTCTAGTGGAGCCAGACGTAGTCTCAGTGGAACAACCGACAGTATAGAGACTGAAGCTTTCGGTCTAACCTAGACTAGATCTATGAAACGTCTGCGAAAATGAGGACGGTCCTTATTTTTGCGGACACGTCTGTCCGCGTTTCAAAGACAATCCTCGTTTATGCAGACGTTTCATAGGTCTCAGACCAGCGCCCATAGTGGCTTGGCTCGAAAACAGTTACTGAGCTGAGCTGAGCTGTGTTTGGTAGTCGACTCACAGTCACACACACATCATTTGCAAACTCACACACAATCTTCAACTTCCAGGCGGAGCGCGACCGCGATCGCGAGCCATAGTCAAGCCGTCCACAGGCGCAGGCCACATACATGTAGACTACGTACACAATTCTCTCCCGACAATTCTTAGATCGACATCATGTATTTACCGTATGTCTGCCGTTAATTTGGAATACAATTTCGTGAAGATATTCACTTACCCATATAAGCAAGCTCTCACATAACTCATCGTCAGCCATTCTAGGCATCTGAAAAGGTTGGGAATATCAACAACAGGAACAGAGTTAATTAAAGTTGGGGTGAACAACAACTTAACGAACCGGTAGGCGTTACACTAATTTTCCTATAACATTTATTTACGTACCGGCGGCCGTATATACGCCGTACGTACGTACACACTATAATATACGCGAAATTTAGCACCCTTTTAACCATATACAGCATTGCCAATTTACTGCTGAATAATCGAGCTATAGTACAAGAGACTCACATTTAAACAAAATCTAATTTCTTTGGAGTTATTGTAAGCGTGTTCTTACGCAAACTGCATTTCATTTTAAATTTTAATGACACATCTAGGGGGAACAAGCATCACTCTCATCCGAATTGTGCATATGTAAATAGTCAGATTACTAATACTAGCTAGCTAACTCTAGGCCTATTATGCATTTTATAAAATCGTGTTTTTGTAGTTATCAAGTTTAATATTATCGTTATTAGTATAATTATTATCATTAGTATTATCGTTCTTATTGTCATTATCACCATCATCATCATCATCATCATCATCGTTGTCGTCATCATCACCATCATTTTCATTATCATTATTAAAAAAAATACAATTGAAATGAATATAAAAGTTTACATGAAAAACCTGGAAAAAGAATTCCAGTGAGTATAAGCCTATTACTTTTTTTAAATAATTGTTAAAATTTTGTTTATAACTGAGACGGGAGATAATTGTGGCCAATTTGAGTATATCGAAAAGGTATTGAATAAGATGGAATGGTCTGGATTACAGAGTGGTGTTATTCTTCTTCTTCTTCTTCCTCCGTTGTTCTCGGAGATCTGCAGTTGTATTCTGCAAACGTCAGTGTTGGTGCCTTTCGTCTCCAGCTGTTGACATTGTAGTTACAAACATTCAAGTGGGAGAGGAAAGGATAGAGGTACGGGCAATGTGAATTTTATGGAGGAAGAGTAGAATTAGAGTGTTCAGTCTATCATATAGAATTGATGGGAGCATGAGGTGGTTGGGAAGAAGTATAGCTTTTGTGAATGCAAAGCCATCATTGAAGTTGAAGTATGAGAGGGTGGTTTCAGAAAAGTGTCTGCTCTGCATTTCTCCGATGAAGTCACTTCGGTGTGACGCTAGGATACTACAGGAGGCCACAAAGTGGATATTATCCTCATCTTCCTGGTGACAAAGACGGCAAGTGGTTGAGGTTGCTTTCTTAATGGTGACAAGCCTAGTTTGGGTTAGGTATGTGTTGCATGCCAACTGTGATCTTATTATGATCGCTTGCCTCAGAAACTGTGAGCTGCTGGTCTGTGGATACAGGAGCATTGGGTCTGGTATGGGCATGTTCCTCCATAGTGACAGGGACGACTTCTTTTCTATTGCTTGTAGGATGTTGTCATTCACTACGTCCATCACTGCCCTCTTGGATTTCTTCTTCCACAATGTGTACGGAATTGGGTGTTATCATTATTTGGGGGGCGGGATCTTTATTAAATAAAGAGAACAGCTAGATCTATAATTTCAGAGGGACGTATCACATTTGAAAAAGAATAGGGAAATGTGATTGACGTAGCCACGGGGGAAGGGGCGGGGGGCTTGCATTATCTGGACTATAATTTTTTTTTTAATTCTCCAGGAAACGTATAATCTTTTTCTTCAGTGGCAGTATAATGGGCTTTCGTACTTCAGCATTAATCAACTACACAGACGCGAACATAGGGGGGGGGGGTGCCCCTAACCCCCCCTGTATAAACTGTGCCCTTACTTATCACAATAAATTATCCCCAGAATAATTCATATTAAGTGTAACCAGCTACGCAAATATTGTTAATAAGCATTAAAATAATTTGTTTCTAAAAAAAACTGCTGCTTCGAGAGTTCCGCTACACAGTGGAAGGTTTTAAATAGTCGTCCCCCCACCCCCAACAATAAACAAAGTGAAAGTTGCAATTATGTACTTTTTCCCCCGGGCCCCCCACTCAGAGGTCGGAATGACCGCATGCGTGTTGCCAAAATGTCCGGTAAAGGGGTATTTTTCGTGCGACAAAGTCCGGCCCGAGAATTGTAAAAAAAGGGGTGTATTTGACTTTCCACCCTGAGATTTCTTTAAAAAGGGGGTGTTTTTCTTTTTTTCTCTCATCTCTTTGGACCCCTGAGAAAATATTCTGAATTTAGGGGGGTACATTGAGCATTTTTCCTGATTTAGGGGGGTCTCCAAGGCAGGAAAAGCCTGTGAAAAGCCCGCGAAAGGGGGGTTTGGAAATGTTGGCAGTCCTCAGATAGGGGGTGCTTTCAAAAAGAGGGTACGAGCATATGCGTACCCTAAATAACACTGAGTGGGGGGGGGCCGGGTATTTTCCTCACATGACTATGATAAAACCACATAAAAAGATCTTCTCGTTTTGAACATGTGTTAAATTGGCAACATCCGATTTCCTATTCCCTTTTCCACCGAGTGAACCCGCAACGTCAATTCGATGATCCAGATTGCGTTATTTTTTTATGCGGCACAGATTGGGGCATGGTACGTGTTGAGCCTATGGGAAGTACGTTCTTTCCCTTCTGAATAATGTCTGCACGTACGTGAGACTAGGCATGTTCGCTAGCGCATTAGCGCTGCGAAGAAGTTTGAATATCCATCGCGAACTATGTGTTTAGATAACATTCCTCTTCGTTTAAGTTAATTAAGTTTTATTGACTAATTCGTCGCTGTTTTCACGAAGTGACGGTAGTGAAAAAAAATTGCATTCACTTTGCGTGACGATTTTCCTCACTACCGTCACTTCGTGAAAACAAGGACGAATTATTGTGATGTTCTCCTTGTTGACGTGCTGCCTCCTCTTCAGATTTTCAATTGCATTTTAATTGTTGATGTAATGATTTCCATACGGTAGTGGATTACATGTAACACTATTAAAAACAGACCTCTACAACTAGTACGCACACGACCACTATTAGTCTGTAAATCAAGACCCCTTTTAAACAAAAGCCCCAATCTGTGCCGCATAAAAACGCATCCAGATTTATATGGAAATACTGTATATTTCACAACGTTGATGACGTTTTCACTTCGGCTGCTGCCGCAAAATTTAGCTGCTATTAATATAATTGCTGAAATTCGTCCAATTATTTACTTATTCATTCATTTATTTATTTTTCCTTTTTTTCTGCAACAGCATAATGTCGGACTACGTTCATTTCCTCAACGTCTTTAGCCAAAAAGAATCAGAGCATATTTTGTAAACGTTAGGGGTCTATACATTTTTCTTTCTTCTTTTTATCATAAGCCTACCTACGACTTCTTTTTTTGTTTATTTTTGTTTCTTTTTTTGTTAGTTATAGTATGGTATATATTTTTTGCTTTGAGTATGTGTGTGATGTGGGGTGGGGTCAAATTCAGGTCGCTATACTGCATGGTTAGCCAACCTATCATTTTCTCCATGCAGACCGTCGACACATGGGTCTCTTATCGCATTTGTCATGCCTTAGACGGCCCCTCCCAAACAAAATTTAAATTCAATTTTATTATTAATAATATTAATTATTAGTGGGCTCTTGTATAGCGCTCATGTCTCTGGATCAGACTTGACACCCCTGGCGCTCCACAATTATGATTACCCCGGATTTAGCATGGCATTATGGCGCTATAGCATTTCAAGGAATTAATTCCTGCCATACCCATTTACCTCACTTGGGTCAAGTGTGGCAAATTAATGTCGAGTAATGCCAAAGGACATTAGTACATCGGAGAGACTCGGCTAACTGCGGACCATGTGATCCAAAGTCCGTTGACATATCCACTCGAATACGTACATCGACACTATTATAATCTATTTATCAGTTCTAATTAAATCTAACATAATTTTGTTACTAGGCCTAACGAAAAAAATTTTGGTTTCTTTTTTTAAAACTTTGTAAATAGTGTAAATAGTTCACTACAAAACTTTAGGAATTTTATTTGTCATATATTATATATTTAAAAGGTGTTGTAACGATTCAAGCTCTATTTGCTTATGTTTCATCACCTTTGTGTGTTCATTATTCAAACTGTATATAAGTTGCAACTTGTCTTTGATAAAACAATGTTATATTCTTTTTCACGTGAAGTTAATTCAAATGTATTGTAAAATTGAAAATGATTTGTCATCTTATATTAATTTTCATGTGATGTTAACTTCAATGAATTGTGAAATTGTGAACATGCATAAATAAATAAATAAATAAAAATAAAAAAATAAATTATTATAATAGTTTTTATTATTACTATTATTATTATAGGTCTACTTCATTAATGGCCGGGAAAGCGTCTATCATCGTGTTTTTCATGCCTTAGCCGGACCCCCCTCTCTCTCTCTTTCTCTCCTCTCCCTCTCTCTTTCTCTTTCTCTCCTCTCCCTCTCTCTTTCTCTTTCTCTCTCTCTCTCTTTAGGCATACAAATTATGTCTCTCTTCCTCACTTCCCGATACATACAGTTTCGCTTTGATTAAATTTGCCTTTGTTTTTCCTGTTTTCTATTGAGCATGCTATTTTGTTTTGCTCTGATTTGTTTGTTTGGGGTTTGGCGGATCTTTTTTTAAATTTTCAATGCCAGGATTTTATTTCAATAAATTCATTGAGTTTGATTTGAAGAAGTACTCCTTTTTTCGTCCCCCGCCCCTCCGGCACCGCTTCACTTACCCCAGAGATTAACCATCGCTATTTCGGAAACTTCAAAAATTACAGATTTACACTACAAATCATGTGAGAGAGGAAAGCGAAAGATAAGGAATATCTTAAAGTTTGAATTGAGAAGCCGAAGACTCAAAAGCATCTTCAGAGCCTATATAAACAGTCCATTAATTAATTCTAACCGGAGATTTCAAATATGATTTATATAATAATTTATATTTAGGGCATATTATGTAAGTCAAATACACTGTTGGTCATAATGGTGGAATATTTTTTTTTTACCCCGATTTATGGAAAGGTTTTAACAATGATTTATTCCTACTAAATCTAGATAAAAGTATAAATTCTCAGATTTGATTGAATAATAATTTGGTGAGTGTTTGTTTTGCGTGACTGCTAAAGCATGTGTATGCTTCTATGCTAATCTACTAGGGGACCTACGTCCTTAAGTCATAACTGACAGTAATGAGGAATAATGCCTCATAAAAGGGCACTAATAAAGCATATGTTAACGGTTTTGATCCTGGGGGCTCACAGTAACGGGGCCATTGCTTAGCCACTGAATCATGACTGTACGCAGCGGGGGCAAGGGTACGTCGCCGCCCCCATAAATACAAAAAAACAAAGAAAATGCAATAAATTTTCAATAATTCATTGCATTTTGCCCCGACCCCTAGGATAAAAAAAATCCTCTATGTGGGCATGCCTTGACCCATAATGCATTGCCCTACAGAGGAATTTGTGATGTTGGGGACCGGGGGGAAATGCAATGAATTATTGAAAATCTATTGCATTTTCTTTGTTTTTTTGTATTTATGGGGGCGGCGACGTACCCTAGTCCCTGCTGCGTACCGTTATGATTCAGTGGCTAAGCAATGGCCCCGTTACTGTGAGCCCCCAGGATCAAAACCGTTAAGATATGCTTCATTAGTGCCCTTTTATGAGGCATTATTCCTCATTACTGTCAGTTATGACTTAAGGACGTAGGTCCCCTAGTAGATTAGCATAGAAGCATACACATGATTTAGCAATCACGCAAAACAAACACTCCCAAACTATTATTCAACCAAATCTGAGAATTTATACTATTATCTAGATCAAGTAGGAATAAATCATTGTTAAAATCTTTCCATAAATCGGGGTAAAAAAAAAATATTCCACCATTATGACCAACAGTGTATGTATTGTATTGTATTTATTAAACTTCATTGATGTACATCAATATTCTTTGTTTAAACATATAAATCAATTTACCATGCAATGTAGCTAATCAATATTCTGTTTGGAAACATAGTCTATACATCATAATTATAAATCAACTTATAATGTAATGTGACAAATCAATATTATGTTTGTTAACATAATCGTATAAACCAATCGACAAAGCAGTGCTTATAGCAAAACAGAAGAAAAATTATATCCAGCAGAAACACTCTTTTTTTTTTCTTTTTGTAATGACATGACAGATATAATGCATAAAGTAAAAATTATAATGTATTATTATACATCCGAAGATTTAGATATATGAAACCTTATACAGCAATTTTCTAAATAAATTATAACTCATACTTTACTAAAATAAATGACGTAATAGTACTTATACTGTCTTATCCAGCAGAAACACCCCTTTTTCTTTTTGTAATGACATGACATAATTATTATATAATGCATAAAGTAATTAATATAATGTACCATAAGACATCCGAAGATTTAGATAATAAAACCTAATACAGCAGTTTTCTAAATAAATTATAGCTCATGCTATGAATGCACTGCAAAAACCAGGGTGTTAAATTTCTAACACCAGTATGGTATTGATTTTTTTTTATACCATTGGTGTTTTTTTTTTTAACACCGGTCAGATTTAAGCATGCATTAATAATTACTTGGTGTTAAGTAACACAGTGTTGTTTTATGCTCGTTGTTGAAAGTATCATCACGTGATTTCGTTTAAGGTGGTTGATTGGTCGAATAAGTTTTTTACGCGCGCTTAATGATTACTTTACACGTGTTCACAGAAGAATACATTTATCATGATTTGTTAAGCAAATTATGACAATGCACATCAATTTTGTGATTTGTATTTTCCTTTGGCAATTATTGACCAATAGATTATTTGTCCGATCTTGTTACAATTACAATATACCTATTGGTGGACAGTAGCCAACATCGATTATGAATTATCAGTTTACCACTTGTTCCTCTACCCTGGTCGATAATAGGAAATATGGAATGTGGGACCATTGGATCAACAAGAATATAAACACCAAAAGTGGAATTGAATTTGTTATGATTCCAGACATTGTTGTTAATCTACACCAGTAGGAGTTGTCAAATATTACCACCAAGAGTGGAATTGAATTTGTTACGATTCCAGATATTGTTGTTAATCTACACCAGTAGGATCGAGTTGTCAAATATTAACACCAAAAGTGAAATTGAAATTATCTAATTCCAGAAAATGGTGTTAAGTAACACCAGAGGAGTTGTCCGATATAGATACCAAGAAAGTGTTAAATTGAACACACTTGGTGTTAATTTTAACACTCTGGTTTTTGCATTGTGCACTCTTTTGAACTTTCAATTTGTATTATTATTCAACCACTTTATTCTTATTTTCAGTTTATGAAGTTGGTGGAAGTTCTAGATTTTCACACTATCATTAAAGGTGATCAATGAATATTACTAGAGAATTCCTCTTCTATTTCGCTTTCGTTTTGTTTGCTCAGTTCAGTCCCCTTTTCAAAAACACTTCCAGGAAAATGGTTTCAGATTTTAAGCGGACACACATCCGACGGCACATCAAAAATGAGATTAAAACCAGATGTCGTACAAGAGAGGGGCTTCGGGGGCTCCAGCCACCCCCACCCCAACAAAAAAGTATATATATTTTTTGAAAAATTAAAATTAAAAAAAACCTTCAAATCCCTCTTCCCTGAAAATTTCTTTCATTATCAGTTTAATTAGGTGAAGCACAATCACGTAGAAAAGATTAAAGGCGAGAATACCCAAACCCCAGCCGACTCCCCCTCCCCCCTAAAAAAAAATCCCTGTAAAATGGCCGGGGGCAGAATCCAACTTTCGCCCTTTCCCCCGCCTTTTTTCCCCTTCTTAATCTTCTTCTCCTTTCTTTCTTTTTGCACCGCGAGCTATCATGACTTTATGGCCTGGAGTCTTACCCACTTTTCATACCAAATCAGGAGGCGCGATGGCTCAGTGGTAGAGCAGGGGTCTCGTAAACGGGAGATCCCGGGTTCAAAAACCAGTCGATGCGCTAGTGCCCTTTGGTAAGGCATCAATCCTTATTAGCAAGTACCTCGGTGAGGACTTAAAGCTGTCGGTCCCCTGGCGGCTAAATAACAAGCATACACAATGCTTCCTTATAGCAGTCAAGTAAAACCAACCCAATCCGCAATTACAATCACAAATTTATACATTCGACCTACGGGTGTCGCGCAGCTTCAATATTAAATCATCATCATCATCATGCAATATGATAATTCCAAATCTGTTTTCAGACATAGATATGGAACATTACGGGTTCCGGACCTTTGCGAAGTAATGTATTTTGACGAGGGACCCCCCCCCCCCCCACCCCTCATGCCATCTCCTGCATGGTTCCGCCACTGGTAATGAACTGGCTAGATCATACGACACGTTTTGTTTGTATTTTCCTGGAGAAAAAAAATCATTGATCCATCGTAGGTATATTTCCGTCAACACTTAACGGAAGTTTATTATGTTCTGGAAAGAACGAAACCGATAGTGTGGTGTGTGAGAGCGAGAGAGAGAGAGAGAGAGAGAGAGAGAGAGAGAGAAAGAGAGAGAGAGAGGAAATCAGAAGTGAGGAGAGGCTCATTCATTTGTTGATGTTAGACGCTTTAATACTTAAAAAAGTTGCTGCTTTATCAGTTCCTCACAAGCTAGACTGACACGATGGTGATAATGGAAAGGATCAAAGTCTCTTTGAGTGTTGTAGGTGTTCTCCTTGTCTGCGCAACAAGTCTCGCTTCTGGTAAGAAACAAATTTAAAGACACACTCCTTCCTTAACTATTTATTTTTAAAATCTAACAACTATTGTTCATATTGTCATTAGGTGAAGTTGTTTAATAAGTGTTGCACCTTGTATAGGCCTATGTCTTGATGTAAAGCGTAATAAGCAATATCTTAAAGGATTTTGCGCTACAAGTTAGTCTTCAGGTGTATATTTGAGCTCGTCATATTTAATATCATCATAGTGATAATAATAATTGAAAGTCAAAATTAGTTATAAGGGAATTGGGTCTCATTCACTCATGGTATAGCCACTAGTCTTATTACTTCTTTTTATGTGGGCCAGAGCCTTGCCAGGTACCCTACACACTTGGGCAGAGTGGGAAAAAAATTTTATGTGTGCAAAACACCTTAGGCCTATCCAAGGATTGTAAGCACCGAAGAATGAGGATCGAACCCAGGACCTCTGGTATGAGAGCCAAGAGCCTATACCACAGTCCTCCAACAAAGTTCTTTGCTAGTGAGTGATTCCGAACAATGTGAAAGTATTTCAAATAAATGCCTTTGTATTGAGATTTTCGTTGCTCTCTCTATTTTGTCTCTATATCCACAATCTATCACAATGTGACACACGGTATATACGCATGATGTTTTTAACATAGTGTGTTCACATAGCCATAAAACACTGTGATACTGTGATCCCATGGTCAAACTCTATGATTTCATATTATGTTACCATTGACCACCGTGTGTCATTATGTCACAGTGTGGACCTGTTGTTACACTGTGCGTGATACTATTCTATTTTTGTCAGCTAGGGAATCGGTGACAGTACCTCATGAAATCACTTCAATCTAATCTAATATATTGCCATTTTGCCATGGTCTGTACGTACATTTTTGTTTGTGAAGACTGTTATAAATCAACCAAATGCAACTCCTATAAAATAGTTAGAGACACCTGTTGAACGTGCAAACATGAAATTCACATTTGTATAAATAGACATTTATTTTAATCAGTTATTAATACTGCTCTTCCTGCAAGCCCTACGATACCATTATTATTACCCCAGTCAATAATTTCCAGGTAGCCATTTACACCTCCGCGGAGAGTGGGAAATGTGGATTAATAACTCAACAAAGGACGTTAGTACCGGGCTGAAATTTTAACCCTCATCCCTTGGATTGAGAGTCAAGTGAATGAACCACTATACAGTGCGTCCCAGAAAAAATGAAAACGAGAACTATCGCTGTTTTATCATAACATGAAGTCTTTCGTCCACGGCTGATAGTCAACGAAACGGAGTTAAGTCTATTGTTAATTCCGTTTGTTGCTACAGCAGACAGCCAGTGAAAACGAATTCGTTTAATAAAATTATGGAAATGCAAGCACTAGTTTAAACAAAACAGAACTTTTTTATTCCTACCTCATTTTTCCTGACTGAGGTGTCATATGAAAGGGCAGAAACTCAACTTTCTTGAAATGCGATTTTTCTCTTTGAAATTCAAATACCGTCCGCCAAATGACTTTTTGTTTTCCTCTCTTCAAATTCATTTTAATCACTCATGCGTGAAATATGGATTATACGAGTTGCATTAAATGAAAGAGGAGGATCTAAGCTTTACAAATATGTGTCATTTATCAATTATAATTGTGATTAAGTTAAGATAAAACATCGATAATTCTCGGTTTCGTTTTTTCTGGGACGCACTGTATATTAAATCAAGACACCTCCACAATAATACGCAGATCGAGCTCTAACGTATTATGTAAGAATGATATACAATGTGGTAGGCCTATTACAAAATGCCCTTGATTACTTGAAAGCCTATGCGACCGTGTTTTATTATCATCATTGTCCTGCATCTAATGTATGTTAATTATGCATTCAATATATTTGTTTAATTTCGTTTATAATTAGCTGTATTAAATTATATACACTTAAAATATTGTTTCAAACCATATTATGTTCATGAAAACGTATGATGAAAAAAAGGAAAAAGATGCAGAAACCAATAAATAAAATAAAATAAATAAAATCATCATATCTTGTTGGCACTGGCAGAAACTCCTTGGAGCAACTGGACCGAATGCACGCAGACCTGTGGGTACGGAGTTCAGTTTCGCCATCGTCCATGTCCTCACGGCGATCATGCAGAATGCACTGTCTCTGAACTAGGAGAACTGAAAAGATGCAAACTCCGTGAATGCCCAAGTACGTAAATTATCCAAAATGTTATATGTATACCACTGACATTTTTACCTCTAACGTGTTTACCTCTAACATGTTCACGTCTGGCATTTGTACCTCTTACATTTACACCTCTGACATTTTTAGCTCTAGCATTTTTACCTATGGCATTTTTACCTCTGACATTTTTACCTCTGACATTTTCACGTCTGACATTTTTACCTCTTACATTTTCACCTCTGACATTTTCAACTCTGGCACTTTCAACTCTGGCATTTTTACCTCTAGCATTTTTACCTTTGGCATTTTTACCTCTGACATTTTTACCTCTGACATTTTCACGTCTGACATTTTTACCTCTTACATTTTCACCTCTGACATTTTCAACTCTGGCACTTTTAACTCTGGCATTTTTACCTACACTGTCGCTCATAAAGTTGGAATATTTTTGTTTTACCCCAATTTACGGAATTATTTTAAAAATAATTTATAAATAATAGATCTAGATAATAGTATACATTCTAAGTTTTATTGAATAATAATATGCCAATTTGTGTTTTCCGTGACTGCTAAAGCATGTACGCTACTATGCTTATTAACTAGGGGACCTACTCCCTTAAGTTATAAATGACAGATGATGAGGATTAATGCCCCACAAAAGGGCACTAATATAGCACATCGACACGGTTTTGGTCCTGGGGCCTCTCAGTTACGAGGCCATTGCTGTGTCACTAAACCATGCCTGTACGCAGCGGGGGCTAGGGTAGGGGGCAGTTTCCATAAATAAAAAAAACCTCAGAAAATGCAATAAATTTTCCATAATTTATTGCATTTTACCCCGGTCCCCAACATAAAAAAATCCTTTGGACGGCCATGTATTATAGCTTTCTGTTTTTTTTTAAATACTATACGTATACGATACGTTTCTGATACGTCCCCCCACAAATTTTCAGGTAGTGAAAATATCCCTCCCACGATTTAGGTTAAAATCTTCTTTTTTTTTTCTTCTTCTTTCTCTCTTTCTCTCCGTGTTGACTTAAAAAAAAAAAAATTATTTTAGTTACTTTCCAAAAGTTGCCAGCTAAACTAAAATGTTCCCACTGTTTATACGTTATTTTGGACCGGTTTCTAAATTATTGAGATATGGAATTTTTGTTAAAGTAAGTTATATATTATAGAACATTTTCGCTTTTTAGGAAAAAATGCAAACATTAAAACTTTCGTTCATTATTTTGTTTTATTCAGTCTATGTATTTTACTGTTTCTGATACTAAATTTATATTGGGAGGGGGGTGTTAAGCCTTATGCCACACCATATCCTGCAAACACCGCATGCTATGTCCTCCGACCCCCTCCCCCTAATCATCACTGAACTCAGGGGGGGCAGGGGGTGCGGCCGCCCCTATCATTTTGAAAAAAAGGAAGAGGAAGGGAAGGAGAAAGAGGAAAAGGAGAAGGAAAAGGAAGAGAAGGAGAAGAAAAGAAAAGGAAGGGGACGAGAAGGAGGGAGGCCAGGAGAAAGAGAACTTAAAATGTAATTTATGACGTAAGGGAGAGCGGGGGGAGAGGGGGGAAAATAAAGATAGAGAAAATAAAGAAAAAGAGAGAAAAATCAAGCCAAATCAGGCTATCAGATTTTATTCATAGAAGCGTCTTTATTACATTCACATTACCAGAAGTTCAAACATTAGTTTACTATGAAAATATTTTCACCAACTGAAAAAAAATCAAATTAATTCCTTGTATCTCCCAAATCTTATGGCTGATTGTTCAATGGAAACGACAAAATAACAACCCTTCTGAAAAATATGGTGACACCCCCCTTGCGTTCTTGTTCCAGTTAATTGAACTTAAGACTGTTTTCTTTTTAATTTGGCAAAAAGTATGAACCGAATCGAGCCATTTATGCATCAATTTAAAACAAATCTTAAACTTCTGAAGGGGGCACACTCCCCTCAGACACCCCCTGCGTTCTACTGTTTTCTTTTCAATTTGGCAAAAAGTATGCACCAAAGCGAGCCATTTAAGCATCAATTTCAAAACAAATTTTCAACTTCTGAGGGGGGGGGGGGGGCACATCCCCCTCAGACACCCCCTGCGTTTTTCGTTTATGTTAGTTGAACTATCGACTTTTTTCTTTTTAATTTGGCAAAAAGTATGCACAAAAGCGAGCCCTTTAAGCATCAATTAAAAAAAAAAAAAAAACTTCAACTTCTGAGGGGGCACATCCCCCCTCACACCCCCCTTTTGCCCCCTAACAAAATAACCTGGCGCCGCTCTGTCTGAAATTGTGCCCCCCCCCCCCCCACGGTCTAATTTGGATTGACGCCCATGATTACAATACTATCAAAGTATATGAGTTTCTTTTGTCCAATTATCAAGTAGTTTTCTGATTCTCCACAGTAATGAAGAAGTGTTTCCTTCTGTAGCAGGAACTACCTTTTACCCCGACGTATTCAACGTTCTGCTAAATGCGTTTTTATTTCCTCCTGTTTTCATCCGTATACGGGAACCACGGAAGTCTTGCATTTCCTGTACTAGACGAATTTGATACCAAACGGGAAAAGCCCACATCGTGTAAACAAACAAAATCCTGATTCTGTAGTCTTTTCCAGCAGTATTGATATAAAATATCATCTACATCCAAAGCAATCTAAACGTCAAGTTAGGAACATTTAAGCCTTTAAAGTAAATAACGTTTAATTGCCGATAAGAAATATGAACGATGATTTGACCCTCATGTTTCAGTAATTTAGAGACGACCCCAGATTCTCTGGCGGGGAGGAGGGGGAGGGGGGGGGGGGGTTCAAATCTTTAAAAATTCTCTGAGAATCCTTGTAAATACGTATACATTTCAGATGCCTTGTCGAGGGGGGCATGAATATGGAATCATTTTAGTCAAAGTCGTAGTGTGGGTCCTGGCATTCGAGAGGGGACTAATGTCACATGAAGGGAGGTTCAGAAAATGTGAGAGAACAACATTATAATATTTTTAATTAAGGGAGGAGGTGTGGGAGAGGTCATCTTTACAGTTTGCCCCCTCCCCTTCTCTCTCTCTCTCTCTCTCTCTCTCTTATTCTCTCTCTCCCTCTCTCTCTCTCTCTCATTCTCTCTCTCTCTCTCTATCTCTCTCTCTCTCTCTCTCATTCTCTCTCTCTCTCTCTCTCTCAAGTTTTTTCTCCATTTCTTTTTACTCCATTCGATTGGTGTATACATCCCCCCATCCCCCTTCTCCATAATGTATCTACGCCACAGCTAATCACCGTTTTATTCCTGCTTTTTATTCCGTTCTCGTGTGTGAGCAGTAGACGGAGGATGGAGCGACTGGTCCAGGTTGCGACCTTGCAGTAAGACCTGTGGCGAAGGAGGAGTTCGGGCAAGGTACCGGACGTGCACTAAGCCCAGACCTCAACATGGCGGTCTGCCGTGTGAAGGAAGCAGAATGGATCGTATGCCTTGCTCTCCACTTGGGGCATGCCCTGGTAAATATAATAATGAAAATTAATCAAGACAATAAAGATGATGATGATGATGATAACAGGCTTAATTGTAACAATTGTAATAATGATAATGATGATAACAATAAAAATAATAATCGTAACGACGATAACAATATTAATCGTACCAATAATAATAATGATAATAATGATGATAATAATAAAAATAATCATATACAGTAGGCTTGCGGATGCAAGATGTGAGAGAGAGGGTGGATTGAGGAGTCCTGAAAAGGACTCTCGGTAATCTTTCTTGAGGGTGTGTAGTCGTGAAAAGGACTGTTGGTGTAGTCTTAAAAAAGACTGTTGGTTATCTTTCTTAGCATAATTTCTAAGGAGGACTGTAGCGCCAATTGGAGAGGATGGGTGGCGGGAGTGGCTCGACGTAAAAAAAAAAAATCATGTTACTTTTTAAAGATTCCCCTCACGTCACTCCCTCTGTTTCCGTGTGTCGTCGCCCCCTCCTTTTCACCCCCTCCTCTTCCTGTATTATGAAAAATTGAGGACATCAGAGTGGACTAACGGCCTACGAGACTGGCGAGGTCGGTCTGGTGAACAGCATTTCAGTATAGGCCCACGACACTGTTGGTCTTTTAGGCCGTCGGGCAGCAGCAGAAACAAAGCTATTCCAAGAGTTTAACTTCCACCGTCGTCTCTCTTATGCTTGTAGTCGATGGAGGTTGGAGTGATTGGACAGAATGGGGTGCATGTCAGGCCAAAGTCTGTAGAAAAAGAGGCAATCGTTTCCGGACCAGGCGCTGCAACAATCCCGAGCCCCTGTACGGTGGGTCTCATTGTGAGGGCGCTAGCAGTGAGAGTGAGAAATGCAAGAAGGCCGACTGCCCAGGTACGTTAAAAAAAAAAACAGCAACAAATTCAAACCCTTTAAAAGGCTACTTTGGCGCATTTACTTTAAAGTTAAATTTAATTAATCTTTAAAGTTTTGAAATATTTTTTGCATTATCTTTAAAATTAAATTAAATTAATCTTTATAGTTTTGAAATACTTTTTGAAAAATTTATCCCCCAGCTTTAAATCGCATGCTAAAAATAAACAAAATAACAAAACAAACAATAATTAAACACAAAAACTAAGAAAATACACTAGTGTGTGTGTGTGTGGGGGTGGGGGGGGGGGATTTTATATTTTCTGAACACAGTTCCCCACCTCTGAAAATGTCGAGGAGACACCTCCACCTCAATGCCGCACCAATGCCGCACTGTCTTGCATAGCGCAGGTAATCTGCTCACGTGGCGTGTTAATAGTGCCCATCCACTGCCATATTGCACTATGCAAGCAATGAACGAAACGCACAATAAAGAAGCAATAAGAGCCAACGCATGTGCATTTTTTCCCCTATACAACAAATGTTTTGCTTTTCCAGTATGCTTTCAAAAATACACAATTTCAGTCTCTTTGATTTTAAGATGAAATTAAGATAAGTTCTATCTCTAAAACTACCAAATAAGGGGGTTTACAGATAGCACATGGTACAAATGACCCCAAATATCCACAGATCTTTTACACATGGAGAAGTTACACTTTGAGCATCTTAGAATAATAACTGCCAAAGTCCTGTAGCAGCCTTTTCACACACAGCTAACATTCTATAAACATGACTAGTATAAACGTGTTTCGATCGAACGTGTTTAAACTAATCACGAGCCTTTCACACACAGAAATTTCGGTGCGATCGTTAATCGTTTCGTGATTAACTACTGCTCGTAAAATGCGCAGTAGTGCCATTGCGCATTGAAGGTCATGTCACATCAATCAAAGCGCATGCTCCATCCAGTTTAAACACGTCTGAAATACGTTTAAACACGAATAACCTTTCACACACAAAATGTCAAGCTCACTAGATACGAACTTCGTATCTGCAGCCTGCTTTTAGGCAGCAAATTCATTGTATCAAGAGATGATTAGAATCACTCAACAGTTTTACAGCCTTTTCACACCAAGGGCGTATGCATCGCGACTTCGTATCTATCCCAACATCGTATAAACGATGTTCACACTGGGAAATTTTGTCTATAAATATGTTTAAAACTGTTGAGTGATTCTAATCATCTCTAGATACGATGAATTTTAGCTGTGTGTTAAAAGGCTGCTAGATGTGCTTCATGAATAACTTTTGTTTGCCCTCTTGAAAAGAATACTTCCACCTGCGTATCTTAGAATGTACCGTTAGTGCATAAATGAATAATGTTACATAACTTTCATGAGCGCATATCCAGTATTCATCTCTGGTGGGTTTTATCTTTAATTTTGGTACAAATGACCTTTATCTGCCCATGCGCAGATTGTATCTTTAAACTGGCTAATTGGTTTCGATGTAGCGTAAATAGAGTTTGGCTGGCAGATCAGAGCACGTTTGACATCCAGTGATCCTTTATATTAGTTTCCGCTTTTTGTCATCAGTTCACGGCGGCTGGAGTGCGTGGAGAGATTCTACCTCCTGCTCCACTACATGTGGAATTGGTAATCAAATACAGACCAGGACCTGCGACAATCCGGCCCCTGCCGATTCCACTACCAGGAGTGGAAAAGACTGCATTGGGGAATCATCGAAAACGATCCAGTGCCGGGTTCCAACCGCGTGTCCTTTTGATGGGGTAAGATCGACTTTTGTCCCAGGAGGTGGTGGGGGGGGGGGGGGGGGGGGCAATTACACATTTTGACATTACTGATTATCCCCTATGGAAGAAATACTGGCAATATTACTAAGAAACAGGCGTTTCTTGCCCGAATCTTATACAATGTAAGTTCATCGGCAAAAAGGTTGGAAACTCAAATTTGATCGATGAAATGCTTTTCTATTGTTTAATATGCCAACATGGTTTGCACTATCAGATATTTGTTTGACTATATTGTCATTAATTTGTTAATAATTTGCCATTCCAATTCAATCCGAGTCAGTTTTTTTCTTCAAAATGCGATTCCTTTATTACCACTTTCCAATATCGGCTTGAAATTAAAAAAAAAAATCGGTATATATTCTCTGCGGACTTGCATTCCCCTACCCTTAAAGAGAAGGTTGAGTTCTGGGAAGAGGTGAAAAATAATTTGTGAGCATTATTCATTCTTATTATGCAAGTGTGGAAGAACATCAGTTAAGACATGTTCCCTGAAAAGCATGGCTCGTCAAATGCCTTCATATTCTAAATATGCATGTAACATCGTAAAAATCGGGGGGCCGGCTTTTTACGCCACGTGTTCGTGTAGTCCCATATACATCTTTCTGTGCAAGTGTTTGTAACTTTACCAAGACTTGGCCACATTTCTTATCATTTTGATGATTCCAGAACCTTGCAATACACACAAATTCTTATATGCTAGATGATCAACCTTTTCTGGTCGGTTCCACACCGTTTCTTTCACAATGCAATCGCATGACCAGAACTCAACTTCATCTTTAAATACCTTAATCTGACAATAACTATTTTAATTCAAATGTTTCACTGTCTTTTCCCTCCTGTTGCTCAATCAAACCAGAGTGATGGCTCGTCCTCTTTTGAGTCAAGTTTCACCACAACCACCTCAACCACCCCAGGGGAAGTGGCCATAGACAGTGAATGGTCATCCGTTAGCTCAGTAGCTGATCCTGATCCTGGCCCAGAACTGCCAAAAGAGAAACCAAATGGTGGAAGTTGGGCCAGTGTTAGTGATGATGATTGGGTAAGTGATGATTGGGCAGAAACGACTACCCCCGCGACTACCCCAGAGAATGAGCAATTAAGCTCTTTTGAAGAACCATCGGTAGATCCTCCTGCAAACCCTGGGAATGAGCCATCCGCAAGCTCTTTTGATGATTCACAGGTAGATGGTTCTACAACCCCAGGTAACCATGGCAACGGAGGAGATGAATGCGATCCCGCGTCTGATCCAGACGCGTCATCTTTCTGTCCGTAAGACAATAGCCGAACCCGTGTTTACAGGCATCGTTTAACCATGGACCTACTATCGAAGTAGTCTTAGTAGGTCCATGGTTTAACAATGTTAAATCTGAGATACATGACCCCACGTATCATCAGTGTAATAGTGTAATATTGAAGCCCAAAAAAAAAATGCGCTTCAAAAGGATAAGGAGTGCCTCAACAAATTACAAATCTTTGAGTGACTTTACCATACTCATTTTTCCCAATAGACTCACTGTAGTGTTATGAAAACCGTTAGGAAAACGAATTTTTAAATTTCGATTTCCAATCATAAATATCTTGATAATCAGAGAGGCGATCGGCTTGTAAAAGTCATGGAGTTCCTGACTGACCTAAAGGTTTATAAATATCATTGCAGAATGTCATTGAGCTAAATCCAGGATTTTGTTTCAGTATCTTAGACAAAGTCACCCTTTAAAGCTTGTTCAGATGACGCAGCAAAACCGCGGCGTTTTTTTTTTTTTGTTGTTGTTGAACTTTTTAATGATGACGTGAAATGTAAAGTGTACAATGTATAATACGCTCCACATTAAACAGAGCTCATCGCATACGCGCAAATCCTTTGTTGAGCGCAGACTTTGCCGTTTATTGTACACGTAAAAAACCGCGGCGGCTTTAAAGGTAATACAAAGTTTTGGGAAATTTTGGAAATTGGGTGGATAGTGATTCTTTACAATTTTGATATATTTGGATGCCCCTGTGGATGTATTATAAGCACTAGAAAAATTAGCCCCTAAAACACTTCTGCTTTCGAGAAAAATTGAATATAAAAATTTACCGGTGCTCCCGGTGAACATATTAGAAGCATATTCGATCCTACAATATTCAGTGATCGTTGTCGCGGTTGAAATCGAGTTTAAATTTATGAAATTATAAATAATAAACTGTTTATGTTGTATAGCTCCCTCTAAAGGTGAAGATATTAATTAAGCTATATATTTGTATTACCTTTAAGCATTGGTTTGCCGCGCCATTATCTGTGCAAGCTTTTGGGTTGATCGGTTTTAGTTGTAACTTCAAAAAAATGCACCAAATTTTATCTCTCTTTTCATGTAACCAGGAATATTGCAGATCGAAAACATCGATCGAATACACTTTCGAAAAAAACAACTCGAATCAATTTTAAAAGCCTAGTCCATCTACTAGGCTATTTGAATCTGCTATAACATTCCAATGATGTACTACGCTATATTCGAACATGATTTAAAGGTAATACAAAGTTTTGGTATGGGGTCATGAATTTGGTTCAAATGAACATATTGGAAGCATATGCGATCCTACAATATTCAGTGAATGTTGCCGCGGTTGAAATCGAGTCTAAAGTTAAGAAATTGTAAATAATAAACTCTTCATGTTGTATAGCTCCCTCTCAAGGTCAAGATATAAATTAAGCTATAAAACAGCGTTTCTTGACTAAAATCGACCGATTAGCTATTTTCTTTTGAAAATTATATATCACAACTACATAATCTGAGATGTTCATGGTCGCAGCTACCAATGTACGGCCGTAGGCGCTACTTGAAATTGATCAAAATTTACCGGGAGCACCGGTAAATTTTTGTATTCAATTTTTCTCGAAAGCAGAATTTTCTATTAGGCGCTGATATTTCTTGTGCTTTTAATACATTCACAGGGGCATCCAAAAATATCAAAATTGTAAAGAATCACTATCCACCAAATTTTCAAAATTTCCCCAAACTTTGTATTACCTTTAAGGGGGATGTACAATAGGGAATTGAAATCGCCCTTGACTTGATTTCTGGAAAGTCTTTGCGATCAAATAATTTATAAATGAAAAATCATTTTAGTGATTAAAATCACTACCATCAAATTGGAACTGAAGGCTTAAACAAATGCCTTTTTCCTAGCTAGCTAGCGTATATGATATTGGCATTGTATTAAAACTGGCCATTATTTTAGGTTCAATTTTAAATCAATGACATGAGTACATTTTTGTTCAAACAAAGGTTTCTCGTCAAAAACGTTCAACTGTTCAGGATCTAATTGTATCTAAAAACCTATTGACATCCGAGTTTTCAGTGAAAATAATTAATTGTACATAATTATTATGTGGGACAGAAGAATGATAAAGTGAGAAATCGCTCCAGAGGACGGGCCAAAAAAGACAGAGTATGGTAATTATTGGAGTATGGTATAGATAGTAGAGGGATCTGGGAGAGTTTGTATAGGGGTTAAAGTCGAGAAGTGTTTGCTTTTTATCAATGTAACTCATTCACAAACCATAATATCATGACATCGATAGAACAGGGATAGATATATAGAGGCACCCCTCCCTACCCCCCCCCCCCCCATCGACGGGGTTGTAGTCAGAAATTTTGGTGGGGAAGATTCGATAACCTAAACCTAGCCAAAATGACATTTTAACCCTTGGTTACCATGGTTACAATAATTGATATTCGGAGAGCTTTAGGTTTAGTTGAACAATGCAATTGTTTTTTTTATTTTTTTTTTATTGTTGTTTTATTCTTTATGTATTTTAATTGTTCCTTGTTTATATGTTTTTGTTGTTGTTGCTGTTAGTTCTGTTAGCTTTTGTCGCTGTGTATGTTCTGTCTTTACTATGTAAAACCTGGTCAGAGTTTTTTCTTTCTTTCTACACGTATAATTGAATGACATGTGATATTTTTCATGCAGATGTTATTGTTAATGTACCATATAATACTTAAACATAAGAGAAACAATTTTTTTGAAATAATTATATAAACTGTATGATTTATATAATCCGATCTAAGTATGTAAATGAAAATGAAGAAAAGAAGTTGATTAAAAGATGTTGGAAATGTTCTCGCTCGGTCGATGCACTCCCTCGCAAAAATGCAATTTGTTTATGTGAATAGTAGAATACAGTGTTCGATCCTTCCCTCTTTAATCGCGTTGCTCCTTTAATGTTGGGCTCTTCGGATCTTTCCTGCCCCCCCCCCCCTCAAAAAGGAAAAGGAAATCACTGGCCCTATTTCCTACAAATTTCTGAAATACTATTATATTTCCATATGTAAGCTACTCCAAAAAAACATTCTTGATGATGATGATACGATTAAAATGAATTAAGAATACCAAAAGTGATTAAGAATGCGGTTGGGTGATGTGCTTAAATTGTGTATGTTCATCAATTTGACGTTCTAATTATGATGTAAATTCTTCGAATGATGAGAGGGAGAGAGAGAGAGAGAGAGAGAGAGAAGAAAAAAGAGAGAGAGAGGGTGGGGAGAGAAAGAGAGGGGGTTGGAGAGATAGGGAGAAAGGTCAGACGGGGGAAAGAAAAAGAGGAGCAGATGGTGAGTCTGAGGAATGGGAAGAGATTGGGGAGAGAGAGAGAGAGAGAGGGGGAGAGAGAGAGGGGGAGGGGAGGAGAGTAGAGATGTAAGAGAATGGGATATAGGAGCTGAAGGAGAGAGAAAGAAAAAGAGGAGTAGACGGCGAGTCTGAGGAATGGGAAGAGATTGGGAGAGAGAGAGGGGAGAGAGAGAGAGAGAGAGAGAGAGAGAGAGAAGAAGAAAAGAGAGAGAGAGGGTGGGGAGAGAAAGAGAGGGGGTGGGAGAGATAGGGAGAAAGGTCAGACGGGGGAAAGAAAAAGATGAGCAGATGGTGAGTCTGAGGAATGGGAAGAGATTGGGAGAGAGAGAGGGGAGAGAGAGAGGGGAGAGAGAGGGGGAGAGAGAGAGAGAGGGGAGAGAGGGAGAGAGAGAGAGAGAGAGAGAGAGAGAGAGGGTGAGGGGGAGGAGAGATAATATAAGAGATTGATCAATGTATATAGGGAGAAGGGTTAGGAATGTGGAAGAGATTTGTGAGGTACTGATACACTGGTTGTTAGCAAGGAAAAGGAGCAAAAGAGCGATCTAAAGAGAATGATAAAGACAAAGGCATATTGATAGTGGAAGTGACAAGATAAAGAAGAAGAGAGGGAGGCGCTGGGAAAAGACAGAAAGTGATAGAAAGGAAGGCGAATGGGAGAGGTTGTAGGTAAAAAGTGAGGGAAACACAAAAGGAAAGTGATTGAGAGATAGAGGACAAATTAAAAGGCAGGATGAGAAGAATTCAAGAAAAGGAGCCTGTGGAAGAATTTGGAAGAAGGAAATATCTTATTAACAACAAAGTGAGTGTAAAAACAACATGAAACAATAATACAGTAAGATAAAAAACTAGAAAACACATTAATGAAAGATTACATCAGAATATTCCAGGAACAAATAACACTTTATTATATATATTTTTTTTTATGCGGTATGTAATGTTGTCTGATTACAGAGCAACTTGAAGTCGTCAATAACATTTATCCATCTTTCAATATTACAATTAATTTATGAATTCATAAATTTGCTTTTTGCGTGTCTCTTTTATTTTTCTTCTTCAATTAAAGTGGTCTTGTTGAACGTTGCAGTTTCCCGTTAGATATCGTTCAGTACAATGTAATTTGTTCGATATCTGTACAATATCATATTTGTAGACGAAGCTGCTCGAATATTAATTTGAATTTGTTATATAGCTAGATTGTTCAACTGCTGCACAAAATTTGCCACGAACTATAGCTCGGCTTAGGTTTGGATTTTCATTGTGATCCATCAACAAATAAAGAAACTGTATTACCGACTTACGTTATTCAAAATTATTTAAAGCCCGTCCGCACTAGTTTGGCTAGGTGGGATTAGACCTCCCTGCATGGTCACTGACAGGTGGTTATCTCATCAACTCAGCTCCCAATAAAAAGAGGGTCATGGGGGACCTACGGCCGCCGATTATGCTATATTTTCTATATAGAGGGAGCAAGTAGCTACAAGTAGTGCAATGGGGCTGTAAGAGAGGTCTTCGTTAAGCGCAAAACGGCTGTGTGCTAAGTCTACGCACACTTCGTGTAAATCCTAGTTTGCTCAGTCTGTGCGCGTCCTATTGGTTGGAAGTTTTTGTTGCGTAGGAAAGACGTCAGTCTCAGTGTATGCGCGCGCATCCTGGTTAAACAAAATGCAAATGCAAAACAAACGTACAGTTTTCTCTATGCAGCGTATACAATATGACATTCTAACGGAGACAAAGCAGGGGTACCGCTCCGAATTCTGGACTTTACTTAGATGAATATGAGCCATTTTTCAACTTATAAACAAAAAATATACTCGAAAGAAGATTTTGAGTGAGTTGTCTAGACGGTAAGCTTGAGAAAGCATTTTAACAATAATTGTTTTACACTACTTATTTGTTTTGTAAGAAATGACGATGTAAAGAAATTCATTTTGGTTTGAGAATGTAGCGTAAATTATGTCTGTAGACCTACTCTCTTTACAAGAGTGGAAACATTTTCGGGGAGTCGTATTCTGGATCACCAGTCGAAATTCCCATTTTAATGAGAAATATTATGTGGGATCCCCTCTCAAGAATAACTCAATCCTCTACTTTGGCATGGGTTCCATTTCCACTTTCGTTTGGGGGAGTGTTCGACTCCAAAAAGATGTGATCTCTAGATCTAAATATGACTCCTACAAAGTGCACATCCACTCTTCTGCGTAGATAGAGCGTAAGTTAGAGGAACAAAATGATGTCGTTGCTACAAAACTAAACGTCTACGTATGCCTTTGTGAAGTGCCTCAAAACGAATTATTCCATTCACCGGTTACAAATGGGTAGTATTAAAATAAGAAGAAAAAATACATTCGACACGAAAATATACAAACCTACATGTAGTTATTTATAAACACATCATGGTCAATATAAACTTATCTTCCAAGCGCCTTTAACTTTCAACCAACCACAGTAACTGTTTGTTATGGATATGGGACCACGGATATCGGGTCCCTCGCGGGGTCCCTCGCGGGGCCCCTCGGTTCGACCAGAGACGCCTGATGTTGGACGAGCCCGTCGGTCTGATAGACTTACCAGGCGCCGAAAAGCAGCTCAGGCTGGCGAGGGTGTCGACCAGCCTACCGACTCGTGCTCGACCAGTGGTCAGGGTATCGATGACCAGCAGAACACGGTGTTCATAGACCAGGACATCACTCAGACGAAGGCACAGACGCAAAAGGTGGGAAGAATATCATATTTGATTAATATCAAACTGGTTTAAAAATCGGGTTGCATGAAGATTTGCCAACTGAAGAAGATCCAAGATTTATTAACAAATATCTTGGTAGCGAAATGGCTGAATTGTGACAGTGTTGTGCAGATAAAAATCATGATAACAAAATAATATTAACAAGATGGAGAGAGAGAGGGGGGGGGGGCGACAATACTGCGAATCTGTTCACATACCGGTACACGTTTTAGGTAAGGAAGTATTGTGTTTGGTTATCTTAGAACCTTATCATATTCTTTCTTTTTAATCTTGTAGGAAAAAGAAATACAATGTCATAAAAATGGATTCAGTTTTCATCGTATCCATATCTCGGGAAAGCTATTGTCTTTTTGTATTCTTCTCTAAGAAAAACAGCGAAAGATCGAAGGCAAAACTGAAGAAAGCAGAGGCACAGGTTGACGAAAAGACAAAGGAAAACAAGGTACTAGGCAGGCACGTAGCCACAGGGGGGGGGGGGGGGTGCCCCCCAAAATTTCCAAGATCGGTTGAACTTTTTTTTACCCCCTTTTTTTTTACCTCGATCGATTACATGTATGTGCCCCCCAAACATCAAACTCTGGCTACGTGCCTGGTACTAGGTATATGGATTGTGTCAGGGACAGATTCAGGGGCACAGGGTACAACTCCCCCACCCCCGCTAAAATATACCCATGCTTAATGAATCAAAGGGATCCGGTTACTTTGTCTCAGATTCTGAAACAAAATCCTGGATTTATCTCATGCTGCAATGACAATTATAAACCTTTAGGTCAGTCAGGAATCCCATGACTTTTACAAGCCGATCGCCTGTCTGATTATCAAGATATTTATGATTGGAATTACAAATTTTGAAAACCGTTTGCCAAACGGTTTTCATAACACTACAGTCTATTGGGGAAAACGAGTATGATAAAACCGGTCACTCAAAGATTTTTACTTTTTTGAGGCACTTCTTGATCATTTTGAAGCGCGATTTGTTTAGGGCTTCAATATCACATCATATCACGGACACTGAGATTTAACATTGTTAAACGATGCTTTTTAATATGTGATGTGTAGTTAATCCTAACTCCTCCCCGCCCCATGTTGCTGTTGTTATTGCTGTTGCTTGCTTGATTGATTGTCGGATATTTTTTACTCATACTTGCGTCACCTCCCCCCCCCCCCTAATCAGACAACAATTCCTGGTTCCGCCTCACCCACATAAAGAATGAAATTTTTGAGGGGGAAGGAGGAGGAAGAAAAGGTCGAGCATCTGATAAAACAAAACACGCAACTAATACGAAATATCTGTCTCTATTATAGCTATACGTATTTTCAATAACATATAAAAAGACGAGTAAAAACAGTGAGCATTATCTAATGTTATTAAAGTTCATTATCCCGAAAAATTCCAGAAGTAGGAATCCCATTTCACTATCAAACTTACAAACCTTTGGATAAACGGACCGCCAGAATAACGAGACAAATGCTCGAAATTATGGGCCCTATTCCATATTCGGAATTGTGAACTCTTCGGTATATTTTGTATTCGGAATTATGAGCCTTCGGAAAACGGGTTCCTGTTGGATTTGCTCCCATTCTCTTAGAATCTTTTGATGAGAAGTGAAACTCTGAGGGAGGAACTCATGACGGTGAAAGCACAGCTTGGAGTAACAAATAAACAAAACCAAGTAAGCATGACGAATAGGTACAATATCAAGAAGAAGTAGAAGAAGATATGATCACTATAATTAAAGTATTAGTTATAGTATAATGATAATGATAATAATAATTATGATAATTGTGTTATTTTACATATGTAATAATTTTATGATGAACGAAGATGATGATCATAATAATAATAATAATAATAATAATGATGATTATAATAATAATAATAATAATCGTTATAATAATTATAATGAAAATAATGATAATAACATTAATTATAATGATGATTATGTTAATCATCATAAAAATGATAATAATTTAATAATAATAATGATAATAATAATAAAAAATATTTATTTTTTGAAATAGCGAAAAAAAATGATGGTGATAATAATAATACAATTTGCATAGCGCTTAATTTAGTGGTTGTACTTGCGCTATACGATTGAAACAATTACCAGTATTATCCAGTCGTTGGATTCAACGACTATTCCACGCATATAGCGTGCACCGTATATGATGCAGCATCCCTTTTTCCGTCGGTTATATCCAGATTCTAGCTGAAGAGCGGGACAATGTGTTGAGAGAGGTTGAGAAGTTGAAGATGGAGAAAGATGAGCTGGAGCTGGAAAACATTTCGACCTCAACCACCTCTTTCCAGGAAAGCTGCACAGATTACAAGCAACAAATAAAAAACCTTAAGAAAAGTTTAGAGGTAGGGGTCATTTGGCGATTATGGGTAAATAAGTGGTATAACTTGGGATGAGCTAGCGAGGTCAATACTCTTACAGATGGAGAGATGAGTGTTTTTAAGTAACGAGTGCGTTTAAGTCAAAATGCGAGCGAGCAAGGCAGTCAAGTGATGGTGTAGGAAGGTTGGTTATTTTTCTTTTTCGATGTTTTTTGTATCTGCAAGTTGCCTTTAAATTAGAGAGTAACTGTTTTACATTTTAATCAGGGTATGTTTTTTTCATGCTGATGAATTACTACTATGTATTAAAGTCATTCAGAATGATTACCAAATATTTGAACCAAGCTCTAAGTAACCAATATCTAGTCATGATTGTAGGTGTATCCCTAAGAACTTTGCGCTCTAATAATAATAATAATAATAATAATAGTTTAATAGTCCACTCCAAATTTTATTAAACCGAAACGGACATTTTTTGCCCAATCGATCGTGAGCCCGGCAGCCACTGAGCAGCGCCAGATCGACGTTGCTCTATCCCTTAATGTTGAACGCCAAACAAGGTAGCAACAACTCCCATCTTTTAACGTCTTTTGGTATGACGCGGCCGGGGTTCGAACCCACGACCTCCCGGTTGTGAGGCGGACGCTCTACTGACTGAGCCAACACTCCGGTATGAACAATAATTACAATGCTGGAAACCTCAAGCAATGATCTTTCTTCAATCATACAATGTTATTATTAACTCGACTGATGTCAATCAGTTGATCATAATCATGATAATGTTTTTAATAATTTCTCATGCTGTCTCCTTGACCTTCCCCCTGACTCAGACTGCTAATAATGAAATCGTGAAGGGAGAGACAACTATCATAATCCTGGAAGGGGAGAAGGAAGACCTGACAGACGAGTTGGAGAAGATGAAGAAACAGAAGAAAGTTATATCCTCCTCCAGGCTTTTTAAGGAGGAACCACGGTGCCAATCCCGTCTTGATGGAGATGCAATGACCGCAGCTGAGAAGCAAATAAAGGTAGTGTCTTATTATCGTAAATGTTATACCTACGTCAGTGATATTTCCCCTTTGGTATTTTTTGTGATTCTTCTTATCTTTGATTTGTATAACTACAGTGTATAAGTATCGTGCATAAGCCTTTTGATAGTTTGTATCACTGATTTGATGTCATTTTCTTTTAGTATCGATTGCCATTATTCCTGTGTACTCTGTTTGATATATTTTTCAGTGCTGTGTGGTAGACCAGTTTTCTTGAACCGTCCACCTTGAAGAGAGATGCGAAATAAATGCATGAAATAAATGAATACATAAATAGATGGAGTAAGTTAGTTAAGTAGGTAACCGATATAAGTAAATAAGTGAATAAGTAAATAAGTTTTTGAAAAATGAATGCATAAATAAAGTAAACGTAGTTATTAGGTAAGTAGGTAAATAAATAGCTAAATAAGTAGGTGAATAAATAAATGAATAAACTATTTTGTATACATCTCTATAGTTAGTATATACACCTGGTATTTTCTCAGGGCTTGCCATAAGTTCACGCTTCTTGGGTTGTATCCTTTGAATGCAACTGGCAGTGGTGGTCACGTGATTCTCATGAGAGTCACGTGATTCTCATGAGATTCAAAGAACAAATTCGAACAAAATCTCTGACAAAAAATAAAATAAAAAATCGTGCTCCCGTTTTTTAGGTGCGTTTTTAATCCGAAATTGAAAAAGATGTACACATGCCTATATCGGGAGTGACTAATGCATTTGAAATTTCTTTTTACTTCGAAACGGAGATGAGGTGAAGATTTCAAATGCATTAATAGCGAGCAATAGAACAATTTCATCGTTTTGACTCGAGGAAATCCGTGATTTTTGATATGATTTGATTTATAAATAATAATAATATGGTTATCATAGCGCCGGTATCTGTCAGGTTCAGACACCCATGGCGCTTTACACATATTACCCTGGTCGTAGCCGAACTGTCAAAGTAACTAGCGCTCAAGCATTCAGGTACCCATTACACCTGGGTGGAGTGTGGCAAATGTAGATTAACGTCTTGCCAAAGGACATTAGTGCCGCGGCGGGACTTGAACCCCGAACCTTGTGATCTGCAGTCGGTTGACTTATCCACTAGTCCACAACACCTTTATATAATTTATGATTGTGTTCCATCCAAGATGCTAATTGAAGAGCGAGACACAGCGATGAGAGAGGTTGAGAATCTGAATAGAGAGCTGGAGAACACTCCTGGTACCTCCTCCCAAGGTTCCATAGCAGATCGTAAATATGAGGTCAGGATGATGGAGAAACAATTGGAGGTAGGAATGATTTCTTAAAGCCACACTGCCACTACTTATAGCTACTTGCTCCCTCTACATAACAAATAATGCATAACCGGTGACCATTGGTTCCCCATGATCCTCTTTTTCTTATGTTAATTGAGAGCTGAGTTGATGAGATAACCACCTGTCCAGTGACCTTGCAGGGTAGTCTAACCCCTCCTGTTCACTATTATTGATGGGCTTTAAATAATGTTAGGCCAATGATTATGATACAATGATAAACGATGGTACGTACGCGAGACATAATACGTACCTATATTATCTTTGACAAAATCAACTCTCATACTTATGAGAATAATAGTAATAATAATAATTATGATAATAACAAAACAAGAAAGAGAGAGAGGGGGAAAAAGAGAAGGAGGAGGGTAGATTATAGAGAGAAGACAGTAAGAGAGGGAAAGAGAATGGAGAGAAAAGAGAGAACAGAGAGGGTGAGTGTGAGGAGAAACAGAGAGAGAGAGAGAGAGAGAGAGAGAGAGTGAGAGAGAGAGAGAATAATTATGGGCACGTGTCCCCTTATCAAAATAATAGTGTACTTCTCTCCCCCCCCCCCTCAAATAAAAAATTAAGGAATGATAATAATAATGTTTTCTCTTCCATACTTTTACCCTAAATAATAATGATGACATACTAGTACTTGAGTCAGATTCATTTTTATGATATAGATTGTAATAAAAGATAGGAGTGTTTCTAGATCATCTTCTTTCTATCGACCTCTACCAATAATTATACAGGAACTATTTTCTGAAGTGCGATCCATCGCCGGTCTTTCGGAGGATGTGTCGCGGATGGACTCGGCTGTGAAGCTCAGGGAGGCATGGCATAGGCATGAGAGCCGCTACCAAAAACTGCGTGATAGAGTCGAAGGAATCAACGATAGAAAGAGGGCTGCCTATGCCAATACTCAGGTAAAAGATACTTTCACGTTTTAAATATCACTCAAGTTTAAAAACAGCTAGGCTATAGGATACTGTCGGTGTCGATGTGTCATTTGATTCCGTTTTTAATATTTGTATTCAGTGATAAAAAGAGAGTCGATAGACATTTTGATAGTAATATTCTGGGTTTATATAGCGCGTAATAGATCAACGATTATTACCCAGGCATCGATTGATTGCCCCATCGACCTACTACGAAATGAATGCGCATTCTCCACTCCCTTGGGAGTATTCTAGCCAGGCGCCATTTTACATACGCTCACAATGCTGAGCAAACTACAATGACTTTGGCTTCATACCAGGTTATCATTTAACGCCAGAGAAGAGAGTGACTAATATGAATTCATGTCTTACCAGAGGACGTAAGTGCAAGGCTTGGATTCGAACCCCCAACCCTTGGAGTGAGAACCACTGTACCACCACACCTCAGTTGGATCTGTCCGGCACAGTTCTTTTTTTCTTCTTCTTTCTTTCTTTCTTTTTTGTTTTGTTTTCTTCTTCTTCTTCTTCTTCTTCTTCTTCTTCTTCTTCTTCTTCTTTTTCTTCTTCTTCTTCTTCTTCTTCTTCTTCTTCTTCTTCTTCTTCTTCTTCTTCTTCTTCATCTTCTCCTTCTTCTTCTTCTTTTTCTTCTCCTTCTTCTCCTTCTTCTTCTTCTTCTTCTTCTTCTTCTTCTTCCTCTTCTTCTTCTTCTTCTTCTTCTTCTTCTTCTTTTTCTTCTTCTTCTTCTTCTTCTTCTTCTTCTTCTTCTTCTTCTTCTTCTTCTTCTTCTTCTTCTTTTTCTTCTTCTTCTCCTTCCTCTTCTTCTTCTAATTCTTCTTCTTCTTCCTTCTTCTTTCGGTTAAGTCTACCTCCCTCACAGTTGAAGTTTCCCGACAGTGTTCTTTCGTCGACACTCTCCCAATGCTTTCAACAAGCAAACATTTTTTTTTTTTAATGTTTAACCCATCAGATGCACCGAAAAAGGAGTAATTATAGGTAACAATGGCGGTCACAATACGAGAGATACAGAACGAGAAAAGGAGACGAAAAAGAGAGAAGCTATAACAGGCAATGAACCAGAGACACATGGAACGAATGAATGTTATAGTCGCACTTCATTATAATGAACTTTCACATTTCTTTACCATGAAAATTAGCCTAAATGCTAAACTTTCTCCTTTTGGGGTATATAGAGGCAGAGATGTTGGGTCTAGAGGATAATTCACCCGACTGCAGATCACAAGGTACGGGGTTCGAGTCCCGCTGCGGCACTAATGTCCTTTGGCAAGACGTTAATCTACATTTGCAGATGCGAAATTAAACGTGGTTGGATTAGCAAGTGGTGCGCTTGTAAAATGGCGCCTGGCTAGAATGCTCCCTATGGAGTGGAGAATGTGCAGGCCTAAATACGATGACCAGGGTAATAATGTATCTTTAAAGCCCTTAGACACATCGTTGATGTATTAAGCGCTATATGAAATAAATATTATTGATTTAAACCGAAATAGTTCCAGCATTTTCTCTAATATGTTATCGATCTGTTACGCGTGTGAACGATACAGCTTTTGAGGGAGGCCATCGAAAAGCTTCTAGAGGTCAAACCAGGCACGATGGAGATCACCGACCTCGTCGAGAAGATACAAGACATCGAACATTTCTACGCACTCAAGATCGACAACGTCAATGCCAAACTCGAAGCTAAACAGCAGGTAAGCATACAGGTTTGATTTATTATGAGGTTTCATTGTTGTAAAAGCGGTGGGTACTGGGGAGGGAAGGTGGAGACGGATGATGAAGGGGGTTGTTGATGATGATGATGATGATGATGCTGATGATGCTGATGCTGATGATGATGATGAGTATAATGGTGATGGTGATGGTGATGGTGGTGATGATGATGCTGATGCTGATGATGCTGATGATGATGATGATGATGATGGTGATGATGATGTTGATGATGATGATGATGATGATGGTGATGATGATGATGATGTTGATGATGATGATGATGATGATGATGAGTATAATGGTGATGGTGATGGTGATGGTGGTGATGGTGATGATGATGATGATGATGATGAGTATAATGGTGATGGTGATGGTGGTGATGGTGATGGTGATGATGATGATGGTGGTGGTGGTGTCGATGATGTCAATGGTAAGGATGATGATGATAATAGCGATAATAATAAAGAGGACGATAATGATGATCGTGAATATGGTGATTAAAAGAAAAAAAAATATCATTATGTTTCTAGTTGTTGATACGTTTAAATTACTTAACCTTTCTCCTTTTCAGTCTTCCAAAGAAAAGCTTCAGAAAATTCGGGACATTTGCCGGGTAAGTTTATGGTTGTCGATTGGCACAACAGTGCTCTACCCATTATCATGATTACACAAGATTAAAGTCTGTTAATCTAACATTGTATACTTGATCAATGTATACTTGATCAATGAAATGAATCCTTTTGTTGAAGTCATGGGAGAAGAAAAAAAGCAAAACATGTAATATGCATTATTCTATACCGTTAAACCTAAGATGTGCCTAGAACTATTGGTATTGCATGGAATGATAAAATCCAAGTACATAAAAATGTTAGGTTACTTGGATTAACTAAAAATATGCTGAAATGATTTGCTTCTTTTAAAGCCCCACTGTACTACGTGTAGCTACTTGCTCCCTCTATATAGAAAACGATCCCTAATAGGTGCATGTTGGTCCCCCGTGATCCTCTTTTTCTTATGTTAATTGAGAGCTGAGTTGATGAGATAGCCATCTGTCAGTGACCTTGCTGTGTGGTCTAATCCCCATGGCCAAACTAGTACAGACGGCCTTTAAATTGACTAAAGGTAGTTTATTTAATACCCTTTGAATGGTATGAAAACGCCGTTTGAATATTATGACTTGGTCATGCATGACTTTTCTGTAAGTCTTGATGTATAATTATGACGTCACTGTTACATGTATTTTAATTACACCAGGCTTCAGCTACGGAAATGGACATCAAATTCAAGAAGAAGACCAAAATCCCAGAGTTCCTTGCTCTATTCAGTAGCGTATGGAACAAACATCAGGGGCTATTGACGTTATTAGACAAGAAACTTCTTGAAAGTGATTGCAGAATTGAAGTAGGTTTCTCCTTATTATTATTCTTCGTCTCCTTCTTCTCTTTCTTCTTTTTTCTTCTTCCTCTCCTTCTTTTTCTGCCTCTTCTTCTTCTTTTCCTTCTGATTCTTCTTTTTTTCTTCTTAATCTTCTTCTTTTTCTTCTTCTTTTCCTCCTTCTTCTCCTTCTTCTTCTTCTTCTCCTTCTTCTTCTTCTCCTCTTCTTCTCCTTCTTCTTCTTCTTCTTCTTTTTTCTTCTTCCTCTCTTTCTTTTCCTGCCTCTTCTTCTTCTTTTTCTTCTTCTTCTTCTTCTTCTTCTTCTTCTTCTTCTTCTTCTTCTTCTTCTTCTTCTTCTTCTTCTTCTTCTTCTTCTCAATAATCTTCTTCTTAATAATCTTCTTCTTCTTCTTAATTTAGACATCTGTCAAAGATTATGTAGTAACTTGATGGTGGTGGCGCAAAATCCTTTAAGATCTCTGCACGATATATATATATATATATACACCAAATATATAAACAAATATTTTGTGTATATCATGCAGTGAATCATAAATATATATATATAAATGTATTTATATTGTATTTATAGATATCGAGCGCGATGTGTTTCCATTATCGAAAAAACGGTTGTTGTTGGTGGTGGTGGTGGTGGCGGTGGTGCTGGTTTTGTTGTTGCTGTCGTTGTTCATATTAATTTCCTCACATTGAATGGCACTTTCAGAAAAGTCAATTTTCAAATGATCTTGTGTCATTGTCTATCTTATTGCATTTCATTCCTTCCCCTTCACTTCACGTCATTTCCTAAGACTATCATAGTGCTCATTCATTCATCTCCCCGTTATCCTTCTTTTTTTATCAGTTTGATTCTTTCTTTACCATCGTTTATGGTCCTCCTTGTAATTCTTGCCTTCTTCCTATCCAAAGGAGCTAGAGTCCGCCTTAGATCAGATGAAGGAAGAACTGGAACAGACCACAACTTCTAAAGAAATCAAGAAAAAGAAAAAAAGACTTCTCAGGACGATCATTAATACGATGGTACCAAAACAGGTTAAGTACAATAAATGGGAGATAGAGAGAGAGAGAGAGAGAGAGAGAGAGAGAGAGAGAGAGAGAGAGAGCGAGAGACAGAGAGAGAGAGACAGAGAGAGAGCGAGAGACAGAGAGAGAGAGAGAGAGCGAGAGACAGAGTCAGAGAGAGGGAGAGAGAGAGAGAGAGAGAGAGAGAGAGAGACATACACACAGGCAGAAACAGAGAGGGAAAGACAGACAGAGACAGACAGACATAAAAATTCATAATTCTTTTAAAGAGGCAGTGATTGAGTGAATAGTGGAAAAGGAGAGGGAAGTGTGCAAAATAATAAAGAGAAAGAGAGGGGTATAGGGGTAACAGAGAGAGAGAGAGAGAGAGGGGGGTAGCTTATTTCCATTTATGGCTGTTAAAATCTTTATAATTTAAACAAAGACCATCTTGTTTCTTTCCTTCGGGATATTATCTTCAGGTTAGTTAAATAATTTTACTTCAAATTATTTGACATGTAAAACATAATCATCCTGGTTAATCGTTTTTGCATTTTTATAGACCTCAGACGAGAAAGTGAATCAAATCAAGGACCAAGCTGATCAGATACGGTAAGAAAACACGTATTAACTCATATTAAAGATACTATGTCCCTTTTGCAGCCAACATCAATTCTGTAGAATTTCGCAGGAATTATGAATATGTCATGTATGTCGTATCTGTGAAATGTAAACGTTAGCAGTGTCCTAATATTCAAATTATGCAAGGAAACCCGTTTACTTGCTAAACTGACTGACTTTTTTCTTCTTTGGTCATAACATCAATAAAATGAGCTGTAAAGGGTAAATGAGCATTTGTCTACATCAATAACCCACTTCTTGTAATGGCCAAAATTAAACTGATTGAATCTTTGCGCAGCATGAAACGTACGTACATTCGGAACAATGGTCTGAAAATCAGACTATTACTTACTGGCTCTATAGCTCTTAACTCGATTCGACAACTAATAGTCTTTATTTTCCTACTTAAAGATATTTTCAAGCCCCCCCCCCCCCCTTTTTTTTAATTTTTTTTTAGGGAAGTTCAAAATTAGTATTATCCTTCAAATGCCGTTGTAATTTAACCTTTTCATTTTTGGTACTGCAAATGGGACATAGTACCTTTAAAGAGAAATTAAGGAGAAAACATGAATTACAATTAATTAAGAGTGAAAAGATGGAAAGAGAGAGAGAGAGAGAGAGATAGAGAGAGAGATAGAGAGAGAGAGATAGAGAGAGAGATAGAGAGAGAGAGATGGGAATGCAGGAAGGGGACATGGTATAGATGATGAGAAAACAATACGTTGAAAACAAAGACAGATTATGCGTATAGAAGTTGAAAAGGCATTAAACTTGGAAGAAAAGTGACAGAACTTTATAAATAGTTAAAGAAGGAGATAGATTTCTGGAAACGAGACAAAGAAATCTATCAGATTAATGTCATTCGAAATGGATTAATCATAATGACATAGAATGCTTCTGTCTATATTTCTCCCCGTTTAGCCGTCTGGAGGCCGTTCAAGATTCTAAGTACCGACAAGACCATGAAGTGGTAGCCCTTCATCGAGAGAGTAATGCCATCAGACAAACCAACAATGATCTTCAGAAGAAACAACAACAGCTAGAGGAGGTCGTCATCGACCTCAATCACCGTCTCGATCAGGAGAAGCACACCGTCCAAGAACTTCGCCAAATCATCCAAATGTAAGTCAAACCGCTGGTTTTCAGGATAATTCTTTATTCCTTATGCTACGGTCACAAAGGTTCGTACCAACGATAATTTCGTACGAATCTCCCTGTTGTCCATTGTCTTCCCGAATTTCCATTGTCTGAAAATCGTTCGTACGGCGTTCGTAGCAGTTCGTAATGGCATTTGTGACCGAGGCTTTACAAAGTTAGGAAAGCGATGTTTCTGATGGCTCGTTATGAATAGGTGGGAGTACCTTGGTAAATTGGTAGAGGCTCTTGACTGTCATGAGAGAGGTCCTTTTTCACAAAACTTGTC